GCGGGCAGTAAAGAAGGGGGAATTGGTACTCAGCTATGCTATACTCGGACGTGTAAGTCGAGGATTGAGATATCGATGAAGCAATCCAGAGAGAATGTATGTGAGTGTGTGAGTGTGAACCGAGTAGAATCTGTGGGATGTGGGGCTTGGCATGGGACACGTCATCTGTTCTGTAGTGGAATATCCTTGGTCGTGATGGTGGCACTACCATGGAGGCATTTAGTACGGAGAACTTCCATATCGGGAATAGTTTTCCCCTACCTGGCTGGGTCTACTGGCGTGATGGGATCATAGTACTAGCAACACACGTGCTACGAATAGATAATCCGTACTTGGTACCTATCTATATCGCATCCCAGGGACGAAGGTCCCATACCAGGCCATCTACAAAGGAATGGTACTAGTACTCGTTGATCTCCATCCTCCTCGCCATTTCCACCGATTCACTTCCTAACCACCATCTATTCCCTTCGTCGTCTTGAAAATCTGACCATCTGATATCCCGATTTCAGAAAGTCCGCGCAACGTCAACAGGGGGGAAGTTGAAAACTCCTCTACCCCCCGCTTGCGGATCCTACCAAAACAACGTCCGCCCCCTTGGGTTTCTGTGCAATTTAAGAAACGCTCCAGGCCCTCGACCATGTGGTGCGTTGTACGTACGATGGACTTGTACTCCAGTATCGTCTTCTAGCGTGTTGACATTGCCATTTCGTTTCGATTACGGCCACGCGGTCAGATGTCGTGCAGAAGCGAAACTTTGTGAAAAGAAATGGGCACGAGTTTCAATGTCCTATACTCGGTAATGACCTTCGGACTTCAGGGCTTCTTTTCACGCCCTTGAAGCACTGCCATTACATCGCTCACGTTGTCTTTATCCCCCTTGCGTTTCTTTGGACCACGCTTCCGTCCACTTTTCTTCGCCGACCCTCCACCCTCGTCCCACCCTGCTTCGTCGTCGTCGTCCTCGTCGGCAATCCGACTCTCACCGAATCCTAGATCCAGATCTGCAGCGTCTGCCCTATCTCGTTCTCTCAGTCGAGCCAGCAACTGCTGCTGCCTCGCGGCTTTATCAGGATCTGACTGGACAGCTGATTCCCCACCCGTCTCCTCTGTTTTTCGTAGGCCTGCGGCCCGCTTCAAGGCCGAAAGGAGCGTAGGATCTTTCAGAATCGGATTGGTGCGATCATCGGCTTCCTCTTCTTGATCTTTTGTCGCAAAGTAATTTCGTGGCTTGTTGCTCGTCGATGCAGCGGTCTGCTCGGTGGTCTCTGCTCTTGTCGCCGTCTCCTTGTCGACCGCCTCATCTTCTGACTCACTATTGATAGCGGCGAGTGGATCGTAATCGGCCACTCCTTGGAAGATATCATCATCATCCTCTTCGCCCGCCTGCTGGTCCAGAAGGGCTTGTTGCTTCGCTAGGAGTTCTGCCGGCACTTCCATCCCAAGAGGTTGATTTCGATCGCCTTTTGGGACATCCTCCTCCTTATCAAGCCAGCGAGTCTTCCTCTTCGTCGTTCCATCTTTATTGGCGATGAGTAACACCTCTCGGCGCCGTCCATTGATGATTTCAACGAATTTCTTCTTGTTTGGCTTCTCCGAGGTCACCTTCTTGAACCGTGCTCCAAGTGCTGGTTCTGGAGGGGTGGCCGCTGACATTCCACTTCGGCTCTCCTTCAGCCGTCGCAAGATGGCATCTCGTGTCATGGGTTCTTGGAGATCATCCGGGGTTTCATCTTGTGGTTTCTTCGAAGTCGGCCTCTCCGCCTTCACATCTCTCTGCAGGGCTTCCTCCAGTTCGTCGTCTACGTTCAATTGAGCAGGCGCATCCCCCCGCTCGGATATTGGAGCGCTGTTGACATCGTCGCCTCGTCGAACTCTTTCCAACAGTTTCCAGTCCAAGCCTTTTACTAGATGTGTACTCCTAAGATCGCCACCAATCCCAATCTCGCTTTTCAGCTTCTCAAAGGTAGCCTCGTCAATCTGTTGTAGTTTGTACATCTCTTCCAAGGCTTTGACTCGCTTCTCCTTATCATCGAGTTCCTCCACACGCTCCTCGTCCGTCTGTCGAGCCAAGGTGCGGTCCTGGTAGCCAGAGGCGAGTTTGCTGCCCTTCGGTGCGCTTGACTTGAACTTTTTCGTGGGAGGTTGTCCATCGTGTTCTTTTCGATATTCTGCAAGTTGCTGCGTGAATACTTTGGCGGCATTGAATCCCGCTACGGAGCGAGGCGTCATAGGAATCGATGCGCGGGCTCGAGAGCCAAGTGCGGGCTTCTTGAAAGTTGGCGGGGAGGTCCCGCTGCTCGATGGGGTTGCATTTCGGTCGAATTGAATTAGACTTCGAAATTGAGAATTGTCCATCATCAGTTGTGAAGGCCTCGAGAGCCTTGGATGAGTGCACAGTTGGTTGTTGAGGGAAAAGGCGCCTGCTGTGCCTGCCAAATAAAAGTTGCGGGCAGAGTTGGAGTCGAGAATGAATTCATCGTCGGTGATTTTTGGCGTCTCCGCTCCGCCCCATCTTCACATCAACTCCGCCGATTCGATTCTCGCTAACAATATCTGCCTAAGTACCAAACAGACTTCTAGACGTTAGGATGGGAAGGAAACGCAAGAACACCGAGCGCGCTGAAACTGACAATGACAATCCTTCCAAGAAGCGGCTGCCTGCAACGCCTTTGCCCGAAGGCGTTCATCATTACCAGAATATCGAGGAAGTTCCATGGGACATCCAAAAGTATGAATCGCAACACCCATTCTCTACTGAGACTGACCTGTTCCACTTTTACAGATACTGGCATCAGGGCTACTCGATCTTCTCAAAATATGACGACGGTATCTGGATGACTGATGATTCATGGTATGAAGTCACCCACGAGTCGGTCGCAAAGTAGGTTCCTCGTCCCCTCTTTCCCTCTATATGAGGTTTGTCTGACTTCGATTAGCACAATTGCACAACACATAGCAGAGGCCGCACCACCGGGCAAGTCGATCATCTTCGACATCATGTGTGGCGTGGGCGGCAACACCATCGCATTCGCACTTTCCGGCAAATGGAAACGAGTGTATGCGATTGAGAAAGACGCCGCTACCCTAGCCTGTGCCAAACACAATGCCGAGATCTACGGTGTTGCTGATCAGATCACCTGGTTCCAGGGAGATTGTTTCGAGATTCTAGGCTTGGGTGAATCTAAAACGGGGAATACTGTGGAAGCACTGAAGGCGATTGCCAGCAGTTATGGTGTCATTTTCGCCAGTCCCCCGTGGGGAGGTATGTACGCAAACACCAGTCGATTAGACCGGCGCTTACATTTGGTGCAGGTCCTGGATACCGAGAAGCTGAAGTCTTCGATATCGAAGCGATGCAACCATACTCTTTCAGCCATCTCTACGAGTCCCTCAAGACGCTGACGCCCAACGTGGTGTTGTATCTACCGAGAACTAGTGACCTGAGGCAAATTGCGAAAGTAGTAGGTGAGGATAAGAAGACTCAGATTGTGCATTACTGCACCAAAGGCAGCAGCCGTGCCCTGTGTGCATACCTGGGGGATTGGGGGCTGCTGAAATTGGGAGACTTGTGATACGAGTTGGCACGACCTGTTGCATAATGTCGCCCTGCATGGATTACCGCTATGATACCCTGAAGTATTGGATTTCTCATATTGCTGCTCTACCTGCGGCCTTCATCTCTCGAGTGACAAAGTAGGTGTTCTATCACGTGTTTGGCAAGGCTGCGCAAGGCTGCACAAGGCTGCCATAAGCGCGTCAGGCTGCCGCCAACTCACGCTAAGCCCAAGTCACGCGGCCCGATTGCTCGCTTTCTTCGTAGGCGCCTTTTCTCCAAATCCAGAACTTGTCTCGATCTTGCGTATTTCCATCAATCTCACAACACCTCCTATCCACCGTGACCTTGGGTCGTGGCATCTATACGACTTTCCAGCTCACTATCTGACGCCCTATCATGAAACCCTCCGTTACCTAAAGCGATGCGAGACCTTGGCCGCGAAGGAAACACTCCTGCGGGGTCCGCGCGGTTTCACCCAGACATCACTTCGTCTTGTAATCCTTCACAATGGCCACCGATGTCTACCAGCAGGCCAATGACCTCGATGGTCTCTTCGATGATGTCGACGACGAGATGGCGGACTCGACGGCCAATACCCCCTTTGACCAGAGTTTCAACATGCCGGCAGATACAAATGATGAACTCAGTGCGCTGTTGAACGAGGGTGGCGGCGAGGGCTTCAACTTGGATGAGTTGAATGAAAGAGAGCTGGAACAGGGTGAAAAGGCAGATGATGCGGTTGACTACGAAGATATTGGCGACGATGATTTATTACCTGAGGAAGAGCCGGTACAAGTCGAAATTACGACCGACATGCTGCCAGGGATTGAGGAGAACGCTTTGGAAGGCCTCGATGATGACGATCTCTTCGGTCCCTCTACCACTCCGCCGCCTCCTGCTGCTCCTTCGAAGTCTGACGAGAAGCCTACGAGAGAAGCCGACCAAGAGTCCGACCTTGCTTCGGAGCATGGCGATGAAGCAACCCAGGACTTGTCTATGCTCGAACCCGAATTGGACGAGGTTGAAGATGCAGAGTATCGTATACAGTTGGCGCTTTTCGCACAGTCGGGTAAAGGCTACATTCCAAAGACGGAGCAGGAAAACATCGAAGAATGGCTGAAGGTCGAATTTCCCAAATTCAAGCGGAACGAGGCACCGTTTTTCAATGAACTTTTCCCGCCCAGACCGCACAAATGGCAGGGGAAAACGCCGCTGAAGCCTCCAAAGCAAGTCCGCCCAACCAAAGTCCACTTGGAAATCGAGCAAGACCAAAGAGTGGCGTTCAATTCAGCGGCTCCAATCAACGCGCCAGAGGTTGATGCAGATTTCGTGAAGATTCGAGAAACTGTAGCTTCTGTTGAAGCTGTAGAGTCTTCAGAAGAATCAGACCTGGACGAGCCCCTCCCTGGCGGTTTGACGATGCGTGATTTGGAATTCATGTGCACGGAATTCGATACACTCTCGCATCTGGCACCTTCGGACGAGGAGTTTGTTGAGATCAATCCTCGAGTTGTCGACAGTGACGAAGAGATGTTCGGTTTCGATGATGATTTTGATCAGGAGAAACCTCGTAAGAAGCGCCGCCTTGGGTTGGACCCTCAAGATCTTGTCAAGATCCGCGAGCTCGACGTACCATCCTTCGATGACCCCGAAAAGATCACTGCAAGACTCGCCACAAAGGTCGTGTTGGACTTGAACGACCCCGATCTCCTTGTCGAAGAGGTCGATCCAGAGGCTCTTCGAGCAAAGGTCCGTCCTGGTGAGAAGCGACCTGCCGTCAAAACGCTTAAGGATCGCCTTCAACATCGCTTCAAAACATCCAACGATGCCGAATACGACCTGCTCAAGCAGAACCATAGGCACAAAGTTCGAGGCCAGCTCACCAATCTAACGATCGAGCACTCACTGCCTGCCGTCCGTTTGCAATACCCATACTACCAAGTCCAGTTGTCTCTCCAGGAGTTGCGCAACTTCCACAGGAAACGAATGCACTTCAGACACCCTATTGTTTTTCGACAACCTGCCAAGGTCAAGAGGAAACACCAAAAGCATCGACCCGCTTTGGAGCTGTATCCCACCACGAAAGAGATTTCTATGGCCGATAATTCTTCGATTGTTCTCCTCGAATACTCCGAGGAGCATCCTTTAATGCTTTCTCAGACTGGCATGGGTAACAAAATCATCAACTATTACCGCAAGAAGAGCAATGAAGACAACTTCCGGCCCAAATATGAGATCGGCGAGACCTCGCTGTTGCTGCCAGAGGATAAATCTCCTTTCTACATCTTCGGTCAAATCGACCCGGGGGAGACCATGACAGCCCTCTACAACTCTATGTACAGAGCTCCGATCTTCAACCAAGATGCCAACTCCCACGATTTCTTGGTAATCCGTGAGACCACGGGGGTGCACGGGCAAAGCCACTACTTGAGGAACCTCGAAAACGTTTTCGTGGTTGGACAGGAGCTTCCTTCGGTCACCGTCCCCGGAACACATTCGCGTATGGTCACCACCGCGGCCAAGAATCGTTTAAAAGCCATATCATACCGTATCGCTCGCAAGAAGAGAACCAAGCGCATTCATGTCGAGGACGTCACGAGGCATTTCCCTGGGACGACGGACATGCAGAACCGACAGAAGATGAAAGAGTTCATGATTTTCAACAAAGAATTCAAGGAGTGGGAAATGCGGCCGGGTGATCAGGTCCCAAGCGAAGAACAAATTCAAAAACTGATCCGACCGGAAGACATTTGTCTTTTGGAGTCAATGCAAGTCGGTGCCCAGTATCTTCAGGACTCCGGGTATGCGGATAATGACGAGGAAGACGACACCAAAGAGAATGAGGCCGATAGTATCGAGCAGCAACTCGCGCCATGGAGAACAACAAAGAATTTCCTGCAAGCCGCCCAAGGGAAAGCCATGCTCAAGTTGTACGGTGAGGGTGATCCGTCTGGCCGCGGTGAAGCATTCTCATTCATCAAGACAAGCATGAAAGGTGGATTCCGGCCGATCGGTGGCTCTGCCATGGACGCCATTGCTTTGAAAAAGGAACTCGGTGGTCACAGCTACAACGTTGCTCGCCAGCAGAAATCCTACGAAGAGTCCATTCGTGGGATTTGGGACAAGCAGAAAGCCAGTCTCGGGTCGAAAATTGAGCCTTCCGATTTGGACATGGATGGGGACGTGGACGCACAGGAAGATAAATACCCAGAAAGCCGGTCGAATATCCGAGCGACGCCAATGTCCGGAACGCAGACACCCTCGATCTCCAGGCGTCGGGATGACGAGACGGCCACCTCATTCAGTAGACGCAGTGTCGGCAGTCAGACCCAGAAAGCCCTGCGGATTGTGCGCCGAATCAAGACCAAAGACGGCGAAATCATAGAGCAAGAGCACTTTGAAACTGACCCAGCAGTGATTAAGCGATATATGAAGATCAAGGAAGCGGAAGAGATGCAAAGCACAAGGTTTGTGGCAACCCACACTTTGGTCTCCGTGTCTCTTGCTTACGTGCGTATAGCCTCAGTGAACTCGAACCTACCGGTGACCCGGAGCAGGATGCGAGGCGGAAGAGACGGTCAGCATACCGTTCCTGTCATGTATGCTCGAACCTTGGGATTGCTAACAATTCCACGCAGACTCGAAGAAGCACTCGCGCAACTCGAGAAGAACAAAGCCCGCCGGCAAAAGCGCAGCAAAAACAAAGAAGCCCTTCAAGCCGCTACTTCTCCCGGTGGCACCGCCATGTCTCCGGACGGAGAAGGGGGCGGCGGCGGCGGACGCAACACACAGCCTACGCAGCGAAAGTGTGCCAACTGTGGTCAGGTGGGCCACATCAAGACCAACAAAAAGTCAGTCACGAATGCTAAGTGTAAAAATTGCAATCTCCCCATTGATCGCAAGGTTGGATCGCTGTGGATGAGTGCGCCGGGCTTCTCAGGTTGATGACATTGGGAAGGTCAACTTTCTCGTTCACCTGTTCACTTTGGTCTGAGAATGGTGGCTCTTCACAATGGTTTCAACGTGGGAATGGCACCCGCCGTGTCTCATTTGACGGCTATTCCGGTCCAAGGACATTTCATTCTCTCTTTCCCTGGCCATCGTTCGATTACTGACATTGTTTGAATATCAAGACTATGCCCTCTGCTCAACGGCACCGTCAAGCAGGAAGATGGCTTCAACAACGCTGCGTTTATGGGAGCACCACCCACGATGTCTTGAGGAGACCTTTGAATTCTTCTCTGCTGGTAAGAGTGTTGAAACCGGCATCCCCCACGGAACGAGAACACCATTGCGGCACATAACCATCATCAACATGTGGGCGACACGGTCTGCGGTGTCGGCAAGGCGCAGGACATGGAACATGATTGCATCTATATAGATCCCATCAATCTATCGCATAGCGTGGGTACCCCGTATCAGCTGATGTGGTCTTTGACGAAGCATTGGGACTTTGCGAATGTCACCGCCTGCACAGGAGTGTCTGGCATGTACCAATATGACACAAGATCCAAGCCTCGACGATAGTCCGTCTCATTCGTTATCTCGTCTCATGTCCTTGCTAAAAACTCCCCTTCTCTTCCATTCCTCCCATCCTCAGGAGAACACCGCCTTGTCACGTGGCCGGCCGTGCGGCATCTCCCACCGATCTCGTGACGGAGTTTTATCGGCACACCACATGTCGATACTATCGGCGCGCCTTTTGACCGCCAGGGAACAACAAGCTTGTCTGTAAACGGGCATAATAACCATTTGTTTTGCCTCTTTAGTATCCCACAAAACCATTCTTCTCATAAACTTGACCGCCCCAGCAGTGTAGACAGTCCTTGGTGCTGGAAGTAAGAAGATCACACAGTGTTCATACGTTCAAGATGACGTCCGGCAAGCAGTCGTACCTCATCGTCGGGGCTGGCGTGTTCGGAGTATCCACTGCCTATCACCTTATCAAGAAGTACCCTGGAGCATCGGTGACGCTGGTTGACCGGGACGCCTATGATGCAGAGAGCCGGGTAGCTGCCTCGTGGGACTGGAACAAGGTGGTGCGCGCCGACTACGACGACATAGTCTACTGTCGACTGGCTCTCGAGGCACAAGACATCTTCGAGACGGATCCGCTGTGGCAGCCGTATTTCCATAAGACGGGCATCTTCTGGACGTGTCGCAGCAACTATGCACAGGAAGTTATCGACAACTACAAGAAACTCGGTCGGGCTGCCGATCTTCGAGCCGTGTCCGTTGACGAGGCCCGGAAACTGTATGGAGGCTTGTTCGAGGACGCTGACTACAACGGTGTCCAGGAGGTGCTGGTAAACAAGACCAGTGGCTGGGCTGCTGCAGGAGATGCCTTGCGAGCTGTCACCCGCAAAGCTATCGAACTCGGTGTGAAGTATGTAACGGCCGAAGTGACGAGCTTGCAGCTGGACAATGGAGGTCGTTGTCGTGGTATTAAGACGTCGAGAGGACAGACCTTGACAGCCTCGCACGTTATCATTTGCACAGGCGCATATACGCCGAAGCTGCTGGAGCTGAGCGCGGCAGACACCGGCCTCAAGGATCTTCGCACCGAAGGCAGGATTGTCGCCGGCGGCATCACCACGGGGATGACGAAACTCGATGACGAGTCCTATAAGAGGTTTGCAGACATGCCCGTGGGAGTCCAAGGGTACACTGCACAGATCGGTAACGGACCACACTTATCTATCTACTTTCTGAGCCATCCAACTAACTAAATCTGCCACAACAAGGTCCATTTATCGGTAGTCTCCCGCCAACCCCGGACAGAGAAATCAAGTGGTGGGGACAGACCATCTTCAAAAACACCCACGAAGTGCTTCCCGGACGCCAGGTTTCCGCGCCGCCCGCACAACCAGACTACGCTCAGTGGAACGTGTCCCGAAAACTAAAGGAAGACATCGACTACGCGAACAAGGTGTTTTACGGCAAGAACGGCGCCAACTGGACGCTGGAGAAGCATCGTATCTGCTGGTATGTTAATACACCACTCCAATTGCCCTCCTCCCTACTACAAGTCCCGACACAGCCTACGAGAAATGGACTTGAGATTTGGGCAAACTAACCTCGGATGGCAATACGCAGGGACGCCTTTACCACGAGCTCCGACTTCATCATCTCGCCACACCCGGCGGCGAGGGGCCTGTACCTCGCGACCTGCGGCTCCTTCCACGGCTACAAGTTCTTCCCCGTGCTGGGCAAGTACGTCGTCGAGATGCTCGAGGGGTCCCTGTCGCCGGAGCTGGTCGAGAAATGGGCCTGGGACCGCGAGCGGCCGGACCCGTCCCTCAACCCGGACTACCCGCGGTGGGAGATGAAGGATTTCTTGGACCCGGTCAGGACTTCGAAGCTGTAAGCTCCAAGATCTACACGAAGGCCCATTTCGTGTGGCTTTGGGGACGAGCGAGCGTCTTTCGGGGAGTATGGTAATAGAAATCGGGTGGTTTTGGATGTCGTCGACGAGACCGCGAATTTAAGAACAAAAAAGTGCGTATTTATGAATGCATGCATGGATGGAAGAGCTAGATGGTCGTTGTTCTTAGTCATTCCCTGGTCGTTTTCTGCTTTCGAGATGCCATTGGAGTCATCAAGCGAACTTGCGTGATGGACAGGCTGGGTTGTATATAGCAGGTAAGTTAACAGCCAGAGCGCTCTGACGACGCCTATTCTCGTCGTCGAGGAATTGGAAGCGTATCATATCTATCGAATGAAATGTATCGAAAGTCTCGATGGTCAAAATTGACCCCTCGCTGGTGCTGATTTCACGAGGGTTGCCTATCTAAGGCTTCACACTGTCATACATGTTGTCTCTCACAGAAGGTTCTCCGGAGGGACAGAATCTATCCTCTGTAAGTATATCTCGACTTACTCCAACCATCCAGACGACTTTGTGCCTCCCTATACACCGGATTGGGAACCGATGGAGTCACTCCAGAGTTTGAGGCCATTGGTCGAAGATCTAGACTCTCCCAGAGCCAACGATACTCATCCATCGCTGAACGGGGCAGTGGGGGTGCCCGGGATCCTCCATATATCCTCTCATGTACGAGACCCACGGTATCAAACTATTATAAACATAAGTTTCGTATTGTATCGTATCTTACATGATATGGGATCAGACGACGCCCTCGTCCGTCCCTCCCTGATCAGGCAAGTCATGCTTACCTACCCGTACAACTACCTGTACGACCAAAACTACGCGTCCTCTGCAGCCGAGCGATGCATTTACGCAAAGACTAGGTGTCTTGTCCGCAAATAAACCAAGAACCTCCTTGTAGAAAGTAGGATCCCGGTCTCCACTGCGGCACTGGACGCCGCTCCTCCGGGGTGCTCGGCTATAGTAGTTGGTGAGCAGCTGACTCGTCTGCGCCGGGACAGGATGAACCGGGGCGTGCAGGATCGTCTGAACTGAATTGGATAGAGCATCATGCTGGGACAGCGGTGCCGGGTGGAGATGGAAGGTGCGTGTCGTGGACCGGGTGGAGGGATGGTCTGGCTCTTCACCTCTCGCTTCCGGGATATGTGGTATACTCCTTACATCTGTTCTAGACAGTGGCACGACCTCCAATCCAGGACGGTCCTAAATGAAAAGAGAGACTACCTCAAGTTCACCAAGCCAAAGCACGTCGAGTCCTACAGTTGAGAAGTGGGAGAGTATTCAAGGGTCCTGGATGACATTCTCACTCAGACAATTACATATGTAAGGTACCCCTTTTCCACAGCCTCGTGAAAGTCGCCAAAGACATGTGAAGCTCTGTCGTGAGTAGCCTGTGTCTTCCATCTTCAGCGAGTAAGAAAGGAGTTAGAGAGCCTCGCGGGCAAGGCTGACGGGGTCACGGGGAAGAACCGATTCAATCACATGACACCACGTGAGTACCATAATGCCAAGTATTTGAAATGACACAAAGTCGTTTTCTTGGTTTATAAAGTCAGACACAATCCAACAACTCAATTCCATTAATATTCTGTTCACCGTCCTCCAATTGACTTCCCGTTCCAATCGGAGCAGAGAACTGCCACGTAGTCTGGTTTTATCACCGCTATGCTCAACAAAGAGACGGCGCTTATCAAACAGCTACACTCTTATGAGAGTTAAAGCTTACTGTACGAGGCACAAACTACGGACTCGGTGTTGGTGCCCAGCTCCCGCACCCTCCGAGCCTCAGTCATCATCATCTCCTTTCATATCGTGGACCCTTGCTGTGCCTGGGCTAGAACACGGCATATCATCGAGATTGGGTGCCATTGTCAGGATTCCAAAACCCACCATGGTTAGAACATCAGCTGGTTCGTGACGAAACCCAATGATCTCACGGTGAGTCATGGAGGTCAGGAACCCGGGACCGATCACACTGTTGCACGCGTCGACAAGTTTCGGCATGTGTTGTCAGGAGCATCGATAAGGTCGTCTGAAGGTTCTGGCCCTTCCGATGGGCACATGTTCTTTATCTGCCAATAATTCTCCGCCGCTGCCGCCAGCGGTTGCCCTTCCTGTTTGATATCTTATGCCGGGCCCGACGCCCCGATCATATGACCGGCGTTCCGCCTTGACCCCTTTTGGTTTCGAATTCCTGAGCAGTCTAACGGAGGTGGTTGAGACGAAGGCGGCCACCGTCTCCGATAAGGACATCAGAGGGGCGTCTGGAGGGAGGGAGCATATCTGGATTTAAGCTTCCCCATTATCATGTCCAACTTGGTCCTTCATCCTCATCGTTGCCCAGTTCTCTACGTCTTCTAGTCCTTGCAAAACCATGGCACAATCGTTCTTGAAAAACTACTTGGGCCTTGGGCGGTCGTCGTCAGTGGACGACGACAAGACCCCCGTCAGGGCTTTGCCGGCCTCATGGTACACCTCTCAGGAAATGTATGAATTGGAAAGACGAGCCATTTTCTCAAGAAAATGGCTTCTGATCACCCACAAACTGAGACTGGCCAACCCAGGCGACTGGCTCCGATATGATGTGGCTGGTTTCCAGTTCATTCTCTGTCAAGACCGCGACGGGAACATCAATGGTTTCCACAATGTCTGTCGCCACCGTGCTTTCCCTATCGTGACCGAGGAAAAAGGTCACAACAATATCTTTGCTTGCAAGTACCATGGCTGGTCATACGGCCTCAATGGCAAGCTAGCCAAAGCACCAGAATATCAAGACCTACCAGGATTCGATAAATCTCAAAACGGGCTCCTGCCTATCCATACCCACATTGACCACAACGGTTTTATCTGGGTCAACTTGGATTGCGGTGCGAAGCCCGAAATCGCCTGGAACGACGACTTTGAAGGTGTCGACAAGCAAGCCAGATTCGAACACTACAACTTTGATGAGTACCAATTTGATCACAGCTGGGAGATGGAAGGTGAATATAACTGGAAAATCCTGGCCGACAACTACAATGAGTGCTATCACTGCAAGACCACCCATCCTGATATCCCGACCATTGCGGACCTCAGCTCTTATGGGGTCACGACCCAGGGCGGTCACATTCAACACTTTGGCAACCCTACGCCGGAGCAGATTGCTCGGGGTCTTCGGGTGGCGGCCACCTACTTTTTCCCCAATGCATCCTTGAATGTTTCGTAAGTCCATCACTCCCGAGCCACTTGACGTCGCACTGACTCTTTCCCAGGCCGCACTTTTTCTTCATCCAGAGATTCGTCCCCAGCGGCCCTGTCAAGTCCACCATGAGATATGAAGTCTACAGGAACAAAAACTCTAGTGATGAGGACTTTGAACTGGTCAACCAAATCTATAAGAGAATCATGTCGGAGGACAAGTACCTCTGCGTCAACACCCAGAAGAATCTCAATGCGGGAGTCTTTGTCAATGGCGAGTTGCATCCCCGGATGGAGAAGGGCCCGCTGTTCTTCCAGAAGTCAGTGCGTGACCTGGTGCAAGCCCACCACAAGCGAGAGACGGAGGCGCATGAAGAGATCTGGCCAGCCCGACAAACTCTACCAAAGGCGGATGTGACCAGCCAGAAGGACGTTGCTTTCTGTTCTGCAGTGGATTGTTGCCGGATCAACAAGGAGCCCATTGCTGTGTAACGATGATGGTGTCATGTTGGATGTCGCGGGTTGATAGCATCTTTTCTAGTCTAGCGTCGGTCGTGTATTAGAATTGCGCATTTAACAAGTATTTGATGTCCTGACGTCCCAGTGTTGGTCAAGTGATTGGCCGGGTATGATCCCAGCAGCATCTCCGTAGATGAATCCCTCGCAGCCTCCCCGGGCCAATCGATTTATAAAGTAGAAGATGATGCGCGGGGTCCCGTGGCGAGGTGGCGAGTTATTTAGTGTCAGGAAAATCCCAGTTGGTGCCGCGGGTTCGTAATTAATTAACCTTAACGATCATGTCCGCTACGTCAATGTCAACAGAAGATAAGGCTTATTGTCTCCTTTTCTCCTGCTACACAATGGAATCATCCCTCATATCCATGAATTCCTCATCAGTTGCCTCTCTCCCAGACCTGTAAGGTCCCGGCTGGGTCTTCCTGGTCGAGGTGGTTCAAACATGAGTCCGATGGACGAGTCGACGGCCAAGTTTGACGGAAGAAGACGATCACACCATGCGTGCCTCACCTGCAGGTCTGTCATTTCTACCGCGGGAGTGTTTGATATCTCGTGTGCCAATCGTGTTATAGGCGGAAGAAGACTCGCTGTCCAGGGGAGAAACCCGCATGCTCTAGCTGCGTCCGCCTGAAGCAGCCATGCTCTTATGCCCCGGTGCTCAGGGCGGCACGAAACGGCCGATCGGTATATTACACGAATCCCTTGTCGACGGGTTGACTGACTGACACCTCATCTTTAGGAGGAGAGATTGGCACATCTGGAAGAGAAACTAGATCTCTTGTTGAGTGGTGGCTTGTATGAACAATCAGCCCGCAGTCATGTCATGCTCTTCCCCCAAATCTTCTGACCAGATGATCCAGGCCGAATCATGCCGCACGTCAAGAACAGACACTCGAAGACACCGTCGACTACTCGGAGAAGTCGTACTCGGTGACTCCCCCAGCACGCGAACCCAGTTATCCTACCAGCCATCCTTCTTCAACCCTCGAATTCGACACCGACAACGCAAATCCACGGCCACGCCCATCCGACATTGCTATTGGGCTCGACCTCTACTTCAAGTACTGCCACAAGCAACCCATCTGGTGCTTTGGGAGAGAAGACATTGGGGATCACAGCTCGCTCCCTGAAGAACTCGCTTGCAGTATCCTGGCTCTGACTTCACGCTTTCCCCCCAAATGTGACCAGATGCAGCGTTACGGCAAAAACGCACGGAGTTTGATCATGCTTCGTATCGCCAACGGTACCGTGGACCTTACGACCATTGAGAGTTTGTGTCTACTTTCATACTCCTTTTTCATAGGCATGCACATATCTGACTGAATTGTCTCAAACTCTTGCTGACACCTTGATAGACGGAAATATGTCCCTCGGCCAATTTCATGTCGGTCTTGCTTTTCAACTCTGTCGCTCGGCCACGCTGGACCTCGAGTCTATATACACAGTAGAGGACGCGACCACGGAGCGCAAGAAACGGCTGTTCTGGAGTCTCCAGTTACTCGAGCAGTCTTTCGGCCGACAACATGGCCTTTTGAGCGTTCCCACAGAAACATGGCGACCATCCTATTCTTCAAGTGGCAGAGGTCAGGGGCCAGACAGGGAAGTGGACCAAAAAGCCCCGCCTCTCCCCCGAGATGACCTGGGATGTTCGACACCCACTGAGCCGGGCATCTGGAACACAAGCGTCCAGCTGGGATGGGTCTGGAGCCGGGTCAGAAAATACGTGTCCAACTGTGCTCACAACATCTGGAAAGAACCCTGGCGACACGACTCGATGTACGCCATGGTGCTGTCTGATTTCATGGAAACCGAGAACAGGATACCCATTTGTCACCGCTACGACTCGGTCAAGTTCTACGAGCGCAAAGTGGAAGAGCTGAAAGTCAACCGAGACTATTGGGCGCCGTGGTTGAGGGAGCAGTTCACCTACCATGCAATCCCCACGGTCCTGAATCACCCGTTCCTGTACATTATCGGCGCACAACACAATCCGAACCTGGCAATCCCCAATACATTTTGGAGGCGATCTTCCGAACTGGCCCTGTTACACTCGACCTGGATTGTGCGCATGATCGATATGGTCCTGGATAAGCAAATGCCGCTGGTCGATCCATTCTTTGGCCATGTGGCTGCGATTGCGGCGACAGTGCACCTCTATTACTGTTGTGCAGCCGATTCCAGACTGAAGCACAAATCAAACACGGACTTTGCAAAGTGCAGGAGGTTTCTGAAGAGCTTTGTGCCCTTTTCACCGGCCTGTAAAGCCTTGGTATGTCCTTACAAGGCAACTAACGACGGGACTAACAGATTCTAGGACACTAATCTGGACAAGATGACGCGGATTGCGGCCGGATCTGAGACCATGGACGTTGAGGATTGGATGCCGTCCAAAATCTACCTGAGTGTGCCCTTGATGTGGGATATCCTCCAGTTCAACTGTATGGCAGACTCTCGTGAAACACCGACGGCCGGTTTACTCGACGCGTCGCTCTCGCCGGCCATGCCACAAAAATACCCGGATGAGAGCTCGACCCTGGAGATCATTGTCGCCACCTCGCCGGAAATCAGCGTAAACACGGCCGATGGAGGACAAGACGCCCCGATATTGTCATACCGAGCCCCTGTTTCTTCCGCACCAGAGTCTACACAGAAGAATGTCTGCAATGAGATATCCGTTGAGCAGGCCGATAGCCTCACGTTGAACACTACCCCCTGGCTCTGGGCAGACCCTTCGCAGTTCGTGGGCATGGGGGATATGGGCTACCACGACTCACAGTCCACCATGGGCGATGCTCGAGCTGCGGCATGGTGGGAGGTCGAAAACATTGGTAACGTCATGTTCAATCACTTTTAGCGCGGCGTCTCGTCACTCTTGGAAAGACTGGTTCTAGAGTACAAGGTATGCTTCTCCGGTGTTTACTGTTCCCATCTGCCTGATCTCCTCGGGACTAACCCATAGCGTGGCAGAAGGCGACACGGTCACACTGCTGGTGTCATGGTTTTTTTCCCCTCGATGTTGAAACTCTGTGCTATTTGCGTTACGTTGCGGTGCAAGCGGGCTGCGAGCTAGGAGTTCCACGGGGCGCAAATGACCTGACCTAGGAACTTACAGGGTGATTGAGTTGTTATTGTTTTTCTTTGACAAATTCAAATATCCTGATTCGACAGTCTGCGTTGGATAGACTCCCTTTTCTTGTGGAAAGAAGATTAGTGCGACCTTTGGTATTATCAATCGAAATGGTCGAAATAGGAACGAACGAGAAAGACATCTTTGCAAACGACACCATGTCTGGGCTGGCCAGCAGTGAGTGCGTCGAGCAAAGTCAAGTGGGCCGAGAACACCTCATGACATCCAAACGGACAATGACCCGTCGACATGTACGGCGCACGCAACCAACACGTGTGTCTCTCTTTGAGGGGTTGTGGTCGAAGAAGCCAGCGAGCGAACGAGCGAGTGGCTGGGATGGATGCCGAGCAAAGAACAGAGAAATAGTCAAAAGGGTGGAAAGCAAGGGGGTGGGAGCAACCTTGAAACGATCACCAGACAAATTTGTACACCCGCTCAATCCGGGACTCGGGCCGTGATACATATCTACCTTTGGTATGTATCCATTGGGTAAGGGGTCTGCCACCGTCTCACGCACCACCGCGACGCGGAGGTATCTTACTCCATCCGGGGTTCCCTACGGATCTGGAGAAACCAATCCCCTTTTCTTCACAATCTTGACGCCCAACACAAAAATAGAGGCAGGGAGGGAAGGAGGGAGGATAACAAGACCCAAGTTGGATTAGAAAGAAAGGAATAAGGGCGGCCAGTTCGGCTCCGTATGCCGCGCTCCAAACACCACCCTCCCAGTCATGTACTAGGTAGAGCAAGAGCATTTGATTGAGTTTCAAGTCAAGCACACAAGCACACAAGTACACAAGCACGACAAGTCAGGAGACTGGGGCGACAGAACAGAACAACCGACGGATCGACAACCAATACGAACGATATTATTGGGAGAGGGGGAAATACTTTGGAGGTAATCCCGATTAGGAGAGTTTACTCGTATCTTATCTCCTCCCCTACCTCGTCCAAGCGACGTCCCCCACGATATCAGACGCACATACACACACTCTCTCTCATGGTTGGTTCTGGGTATCTTAGATGTCAGACGAATATTTTAGCGTATTGCGGATGAAAGACGAAAAGAGCGTGTGTATTTATACGGCCGTTTTTGTTATTGGTCGGGGGACCTTCAAGCATACCCTGTGATGGACCATGAACCGCCTCTCACAGTCGGATCTATACAGACAGCTCCATACAGCTTTATTCCGATGCTGGGTTCATATCCTCTTGTGTGATGTAACTGCCTCTGAGAGAGATATAGAGGGGAATTCATTGCTGGGCGTTGGTATATTACCTCATTCCATCCCACTCGATTTCATGCAAGGACCTACCTCCTGGGATCTGGTATGATATGCCCTGATATACATATGATGTACCCATGTCTGCATCATCCTCGCGAGTTAGGTCGCTACGTGCCCCGTTAGGGAGGCTACTTTGACGGCGTCGGTCGATACAGGCCACCGCGGGTTCTTGATTGATCCACGATTCGAGTCCACCTGCCTCTGCAACCTCTGCATCGCTGCAGGACGAGCCGAGCCTTCCTCCCTCGCTCATTCATTCTTGGAACAGACCTGGCGTGTATCTCCACATGACACCACTTCATCATATCCAATGCGGGTGTCCAAAGGGATGCAAGGCTATATACCGATAGATCCAGCCTCGCTGTATACAGTACATGAACCACCGTCGTTTCCCTACTGTCCTGTCCTGTCCTGTTCTGTTCCCTCATCAAAGATATCTGCACCATGATCATCCGTCCCGCGACGCATAATGTCCTCTTGCCAGCATGACTGAGCACAGGGTACATACCTATGGTGCTATTCTTTCACCACCGTCCATACAGGATTGACTCTGCTGAACTAGATGCCTGGATATCTACTACGGCGACCTTTGAGGCTTGCATTCCATCATCATTCGAACATGGTCAACGTACTCACATACATTCAACCCTCATGGTCCAGTCGCGAAACGCGGGAGACTCTCAGCAACTGACCCCAAACCACATCCCCAACGCTAGCCACATCCGGAAGCCTCAACCTCGTCATTATCACCGCGGAGACGGACGCCCTTTTGCTGAACACCAGAATAGCTGAGACAAGTCGCTTGCGATAACACCACCCGGTACGCGGAGTAGTCCCCCTAGCGCTTCCTCGAGGCGAACAACACGTAAGATTCCCACTGATAAGGCTATCACGATCAACAACGATCCAGACCCGGAGTCCGGTATTCGGGGGAGAAACGGCCGGGCGCCGATCAGGTGATCGTCACTGAAGCCGGGGTGTGGTATTGAATTGCCACAATAGGAAAGGACACTTGACGGAGTGACTTGCTCGTAAGTACAAAGGGTTCCTTCGGCTCTCTTTACTCTAATAAGAACCCCCCTGGGGTGTTTTGTACGTATGTTTCCTGCGAGAAAGTGAGTGAGATAGAGGTAAGGTCGAAGAAAGAAATAGATTGTCAAATATCCCCATCAGAAGACGAGACGATACCTAGTCGCCTCACCATGGGGTCCATCACCGTGGCGCCCGTGCCTCGCGTCGCCATCATCGGCGCCGGCATCGTGGGCACAAACCTCGCCGACGAGCTCGTCTCGCGCGGCTGGTCTGACATCACCGTCATCGAGCAGGGCCCGCTCGACATGCCCGGCGGCTCGACGTCTCACGCTCCGGGCCTGGTGTTCCAGACGAACCCCTCCAAAACAATGACCCAGTTTGCTCGGTACACGGTGGAAAAGCTGCTCTCGCTCCAGGAGGACGGGCAGAGCTGCTTCAACCAGGTGGGCGGGTTGGAGATCGCCACGACGCCCGCACGTGTCGAAGAGCTCAAGCGCAAACACGGCTGGGCCTCGTCCTGGGGCGTCGACACCCGCCTCCTCAGCAAAGACGAGTGTCTCGAGCGGTATCCCCTGCTGAACAAGGACCTCGTGCTCGGTGGCCTGTTCATCCCGACCGACGGGCTGGCTCTGGCGGCGCGCGCGGTCCAGCTCCTCATCGACCGCACTCGCAAGGCCGGCGTGCGGTACCTGGGCTCCACGCAGGTGACGGGAATCGAGCAGAGCAACGACCGTGTCACGGGTGTAATCACGCCCGAGGGCCTCATACCGGCCGACATTGTCGTCTCGTGCGCGGGCTTCTGGGGCGTCGAGGTGGGCGCCATGGTCGGCCTGTCCATCCCGCTGCTGCCCCTGGCGCATCAGTACGCAAAGACGACGCCCGTGCCCGCGCAGGCGGGACGCAACCCCCAGCCCAATGGAGCCAGTCTCCCCATCCTACGCTACCAGGACCAGGACCTCTACTACCGCGAACACGGCGAGCAGTTTGGGATTGGCTCGTACGCGCACCGGCCCATGCCGGTCGTGGCGGCGTCTTTACCCCTCGCTTCCAAGGGCGTCGATGAGAAGAACATGCCGTCTCGCATGGAGTTTACGACCAAAGACTTCAAACCTGCGTGGGACCTGTCGCGGGAACTCCTCCCGGCGCTGAAGGAGAGCGAGATCGACGACGGCTTCAACGGAATCTTCTCCTTCACACCAGACGGCGGGCCCTTGGTCGGCCAGTCGCCCACACTGGACGGTTTCTACGTCGCCGAGGCCGTGTGGGTGACGCACTCTGCTGGGGTGGCGCGCGCGGTGGCCGAGATCCTGACGAACGGGCGCTCTACGGTCGACCTGGCCGAGTGCGATCTGGGTCGGTTCGAAGAGGTGCAGCTCACGCGCGCGTACGTCGAGGAGACATCGCAGCAAAACTTCGTCGAGGTCTACGACATCCTCCACCCGCTGCAGCCGCGTGAGTCGCCGCGAAACCTGCGCGTCAGTCCGTTCTACGCCAGGCAGCGCGAGCTGGGCGCGTACTTCCTCGAGGCCGGGGCGTGGGAGCGGCCGTTCTGGTTCGAGGCCAACGCGAAGCTGATCGACCAGCTCCCGCCCGAGTGGAAGCCCGTGGAGCGCGACCCCTGGTCCGCGCGGTACTACTCGCCCATCGCGGCCGTCGAGGCGTGGAAGACGCGCACCGCCGTGGCCATGTACGACATGACGCCGCTGCGGCGGCTGGAGGTGGTGGGCCCGGGTGCGGTCGACCTCCTCCAGCGGCTCACTACAGGGGACGTGGGCAAGAAACCCGGCGCCGTCACGTACACGCTCGTCCTCGACAGCGGCGGCGGGATCCGCAGCGACATCACGGTGGCGCGGCTGGCCGACGAGCTGTTCCAGGTCGGGGTCAACGGGCGCGTCGACCTGATCTACTTCTCGCGCGAGGCGCGGCGGCAGTCGCAGCAGGACCCGAGTCGGTGGGCGTCCGTGCGCGAGATCACGGGCGGGACGTGCTGCGTGGGACTCTGGGGCCCGCGGGCGCGCGAGGTCATCAGCGCCGTCAGCCCCGACGACTTCAGCAACAAGGGCCTGCGGTACTTCCGGGTCAAGCGGGCCAGCGTCGCGGGGATCCCCGTCGTGGCCATGCGGCTGTCGTACGTCGGCGAGCTGGGGTGGGAGATCTACGCCAGCGCCGACAACGGCCAGCGGCTGTGGGACGCCCTGTGGCAGGCCGGCCAGGCGCACGGAGTCGTCGCCGCGGGCCGCACGGCCTTCAACGCCCTGCGCCTCGAGAAGGGCTACCGCTCGTGGGGCACCGACATGACCACGGAGCACGACCCCTGGGAGGCTGGCGTCGAGTTTGCCGTCAAGGCCGGCAAGCAGGGGTTTGTGGGCCAGACGGCGCTCGAGGGCCGTGCCCCTAGCAAGAACGAGGAGGGAGAAAAGACAGAAGTAACAGATCGAAAACGCCTGCGCTGCCTCACCGTCGACGACGGCCGCTCCGTCGTGCTGGGCAAGGAACCCGTCTTCCACGACGGCCGTCCCATCGGATACGTCACCAGCGCCGCGTTCGGTTACACCGTCGGCAAACCCATCGCGTATGCCTGGCTTCCTGGCAACGTGGGCGAGGGCGCCGCCGTCGAGATCGAGTACTTTGGCAAGAAGATCCAGGCCACCGTCACGCCGGAGCCGCTGTTTGATCCGCAGATGAGTCGGTTGCGCGGGTGAAAAAAAAGGAAAGAAAAGATGGAGGAGTCTTTTGACCAGAAGGAGAGGGAGAGGGAGAGGGAGAAGAAGGAGAAGAGCTGGGCAAGGCTGTGCGAGGCCGGACGATATCCGAGGAGAGGAAGAGACTTGATCCCTTCGGCGCCTCTCTCCCTCCCTCCCTCCCTTCTCCTCTACTTCCTATTCATCCCTTGTGTCTTCGTGGTCAGACAGACACCAACGACGTGTCTTGCTTGACCCTTTGAGCTTTGACTTTATTAGTTTTTCGGCTTTGAAACAAACAAAAAAAAGGCGCAAAAGGGGAACCAGAAACACAAACAGATTGACTGCATTGCATTGCATTGCATGACTTTTTTTCTCTTTTTTTTTTGTCCCATCTACCAACCTACCTACCTATCTCCCTTCTTTCATGCGAGGGAAAGGGGACTGCCACTGCCATGGTTTGATACTTTCACATCATATCATATATCTCACCATGAACTTCTTCTGGTTGATGTTCATCGTGTGTCTCTCCCTTTCTTTTTGAGCCTGTCAGGCTATGTGGCCATGTATGTAGATTGCAGCGAAGACGAGTCTGTGGGCGTTATATATGCGAGGAACGAAACGATATTTCCAGAAATGAGATGAGATGAAGTGCAATGAAACAAGGACAAGAAATACATAACATGTTCCTTACAGTACCATCCATCCACACTCCCCTTTCTTATTCTACTTGGCCTTTTCTAGTATCTGTGAGGGAGCATCACACACTATGACAAAACTTTTTGTATTTGATCGATGTAGAAACTGACCGACTGAGCAACGCCTTTTTCTATCACATGTGTTATTATGTTGTAGCTTGATGTACAACTACAGAGCCAGAGATAACTTCCAAGCCACACGCGCGTGTGGCCACGACGAGCTCGTCATCTTTTGCTAGGAACCTGGATCCTCTCTCGCTCGGGTCCTTTCGGTCCTGATCCAGATCCAGATCCTGCGGAATCCCCTCCTCCAAGAAACGCCTGGTATGATTGTGATTCCGTAAACCTCACTCACCAAAACACGACTTTTTTGAGATACTCGGCTCACACAATGCTTGTAAAGTGCTGTGGTCGCCTGCTCGCTATCCATCCATTCAATGCTTCGCATGCTCAAGCTTCATCAACGCCAACCCTCATTTCACAGCCAGGCACTTGATGTCAAACGTCAGCTTGCTGTTTTTGGGGATGCCCGGCAAGGCCTTGTTTCCATATGCCAAGTTCGCCGGGATGATCAATCTTCGTTCTCCCCCGACCTGGATTCCTTGGAGACCAATGTCCCAGCCCTTGATCACTTCGCCGGCGCCCAGCTTGAAGCTGAACGGCTTGCCAGACTTGTTGCTGTCAAAAACCTTGCCGTTGTCGAGCTTGCCAATGTAGCGCATCTCCAGACGTGCCCCTTTCTTCGCGGCAGGGCCACTGCCAAGCTTGCGGTCATCGATAGTGACACCTTGAACCTCCTTCACCCCCAACGTGCCAGAGCCGGTGCCTGACTTATCCTTGCTGTCAGACTTGGCAGGCGTCGCAGATGGGGTTGGTCCTTGCTCCAGATTCTTGGCGAACTGGACTTTCTTCTCAGAGCTGCCATTGGCCTGCGCGGCTTCCTTCTTGCTTTCGGCAGAGGCACCGACAGCGACAGCTTCACCATCGTTCTTCTTGAGTTTCTTGAGACGCTTCTTCTCCGCTTTGCTGAGTTTCTCGGATCCTGCTGCTTTGGCTTCCTCCTTCTTCAGTGACTTGGCAACGATGTCATCAAGGTTGTCCCCTTCCTCATCGTCCTCGTCATCTTCGGCAGGACGTTTGTTCTTGCCTTTCGCAGCCTGCTTGTTGACCTTGATGGTCTCAATCTCTTCATCTTCATCGACTTCGGTGATGCGAGGGTCTTCGAGATCATCGAGAGCGTCAGAATCTTCGTCGACATCCTCGAGGGCATCTAGCTCCTCCTCGTCTGGGGACAAGTCATAGTCTTCCTCGTCTTCCTCATCGTCTTCATCGTAGAGGGACGCCGAGCCGTCGTCTTGAGGAATCACGTAGTTGCCAGTGAGATTGACCGTGTATGCACCAGAGACCTTGAAAAAGATCTTCTCGCCTTCACCGACGACAAAGTCAAGAGTTTGTTGGCAGTTCTGTCATCGACGTTAGACCATGTCTCACACCTCAATGGCGGAGACTTACCTTTTCGGGATCGAGGGTGCAGACAACAACCTCGTCCATCTCAAGGGCCTCGTCATCTTCATCTTCTTCATCGTCCGCATCGTCCTCTCCGTCCAGAGCTTTGGCTTTCCCTTTCGCTTTAGCGCTCTTCATGAGCTTGGTTAGTTTCGCGATGGCTGCCAAATCCTCCGCGGTGACTTCGTCGTCATCTGATCCTTCCATATCTTCGTCCTCATCTTCATCCTCGCCTGCTCCATCAGCTTTGGACTTTTTCTCGCTCGGCCCGCCATTCACTTCTTCGTCATCCTCGTCGTCTTCTTCGCTGTCTTCGTCCTCGTCAAGACCAGCAAGGTAGTCCTCATCGTCTTCATCATCGTCATCATCGTCAAGCATGCTGTCCGGAACGCGAATAAGTTTGAGAGTGGCTCGGGGAGGGCGCTTGTCATCGGGATCGTCCAGTTCAGGTTCAGCACTGGGATCAATGGCAGCCATGGTCAGACGAAACTGCGCAAGCCAATTAGTACACACATCCTGCTATTTGGACAGTGATAAAACATACCATGGCAGCAAACTCGGGAACGGCAGGGACCATGATGTCGCCCGGAGGGACTTTCATGGCGTAGAGCGCCACAGGTTGAATGCCCGACATATTGGCAGTGCACTTTCTGCAGGACTGGCAAAAACAAAGAACCGATGAGATTGGATTAATTTCAGGATAGGATAGTCCCAAAAAGAGAGTACTGGAGACCGAGTTCGATCTTGTGAGACTCAAGTGAGGCGCAAAAGAAGAGAGACAAAAAAGGTAAAAAAAGAGCTTTACAATAATTGGAGAGACTTTGGAGTTTCGCTGCCTCAGAAACGAGTCCCAGCCAAGCCTTGAAATTTTGCTTATCGATAAGAACTGGGCAAAGAAGTGGCACTAGTGGGGGGCGTGAAAGCGGCGTTGGATCTGCCTGCGCCTGTCGCGTTGCTTCGCTCCACGCGCCACTCACCTCTCTCTGTGTCTCCGTCCACACTCATGTTATGGCCATACATTCACGGGATGGTCGCGATGCTTAGACAGATTGTTTGGCGATCATGACACCTCCTAGCCCACCATGGGCTCCCGACTAGAAAAGAACTCGACGCTGGTGCGAAAGCGCATCGAAGGCCACACCTTCAGCGACGAGCAAGGCGAGGAATATGAAGCCTCCAAGTTTGGCGGTTTCGCCGACTATATGCGAAGGAAAAAGATCAAGCTACAGAATCTAGATGTCGAAATACGTGCCAATTCCTCTGACAAGCCACCCATCTTCCGCGGCGTTGTCGTCCATGTTAATGGCTACACCCAACCGTCGCTGCGCGACCTACACACCCTCGTCGTTTCTCATGGCGGCGGTTTCCTTCAATACCTCGATGGCAAGACTGCCGTCACTCACGTTATTGCAAGCCATCTGACTCCCAAGAAGACGGTCGAGTTCGCGCGATACCGCATCGTCAAACCGGCCTGGGTGGTCGATAGTGTGCAGGCGGGGAGACTGTTACCGTGGGATGGCTATCGGTTGGTGGATGAAGGGGTCACCCAGAAGGTGTTGAGTTTCGAGAGTGGCCAGATCACCAGCCAGGTCAATACTCAACAGAGCAGATACAAGGATCAAACCGAGAGAAGTTCGAGCCCTTTTCAATTTCCCACAGGAGAACAGCATCCAACTGGAATCAATGAATATAATACCCAAGTTCAGCAGACAAATGACACCATCTCTGACAAGGAAGTCGATTCCGCACTTCCCATCCGCGGACATGAACAGGAGACGAATGGCGATGTTGCCATACCACCTGGAATTGCTGCAGCATTCCATCTCGACGGTGGCGTGGAGGTTTCCACAAACGACATCGCTAACCTCCAACAAAAGTCTCCTGAGCTGGTTCAACCAGCAAACACTCTACTAGGTGACCCTCCAATGCCCGAAAAGCGCCAGTTGACGGCCGAAGAGCACAATGCTGTTCTCCTCTCCAATCCTCATATGGCCAAATCGAGTACTGCGAACCCGGACTTCATCAACCAATACTACCGCGAATCCAGGTTGCATCACTTATCCACCTGGAAGGCAGAACTAAAAGCACAGCTGCAGGCCCGCACCCAAGAGAAGCTTTCCTCCCAGAAAAGCAGACTCAGAAGAGCACCAGGTGCAAGGAGATACATCCTACATGTCGATTTCGACAGCTTCTTCGCTGCTGTATCCTTGCGTAAACATCCTCACTTGCTTGACAAACCTGTGGTGATTGCGCATGGTAGCGGACCAGGGTCCGAGATTGCGAGTTGCAACTATCCCGCTAGGAAATACGGCATCAAGAACGGTATGTGGATGAAGTCTGCCTTGGGGCTGTGCCCTGATCTCAAAATTCTACCATATGACTTCAAGGCCTACGAAGAGGCCAGTCGTCACTTTTACGATTCTATCCTGGAGGTTGATGGTGTGGTTCAGAGTATAAGTATAGATGAGGCTTTGCTGGACGTCAGTGAGCAATGTCTCAAGATCGGCGGGTCAGATGGAAGGGGTCTTTCGGAGGGTTCAATATACCGTGAGCAAGAAGCTGCGCAGCGTCTCGCACAGGAGTTACGTGCGTCTGTGAAAGAAAGGACAGGCTGCGACGTCTCAGTTGGTATAGGCGGTAATATCCTGCTCGCCAAAGTCGCCCTACGCAAGGCCAAACCGGCTGGACAACACCTGATTAAGCCAGAAGAGGTCCTGGATTTTCTAGGCGATCTGACAGTTACGGATCTGCCCGGCGTTGCATGGAGTATTGGGAACAAATTGGAAGAAATCGGGATCAAATTCGTCAAGGATATTAGAGCCTGCACCAAAGAGAAACTCATCACCACCTTGGGTCCCAAAACTGGCGAGAAGATATGGGACTACTCCCGAGGCATCGACAAACAGGAAGTCGGTGACCAGGTTGTCCGGAAGTCGGTGTCGGCCGAGATCAACTGGGGAATTCGCTTCGTCAATCAGCAACAAGCAGAAGAGTTTGTTCAGAGTCTCTGTGAGGAACTGTCGAGGCGGCTTCTGGAGCAACTGGTCAAAGGCCGTCAATTGACCATGAAGATCATGCGCAAAGCTGCGGATGCTGGTCTGGATCCTCCCAAGAATCTGGGTCATGGCAAGTGTGACACTTTCAACAAGAGCGTTGTTCTTGGAGTTGCCACGAACGACGCAAATATCCTGGGAAGGGAAGCAATCTCCATTCTGCGTGGTTATGGCTTCCCACCTGGAGAGCTACGAGGCTTGGGTGTGCAAATGCAGAAACTGGAGCCGCTGAAGCCGTCCACCACCAGCACAGGCGGCTTTATGGATGGTAGCCAGCGTAGGCTGCAGTTCAAGAAACCTGGCACACAGACTTCGACATCCCCCAGACTGACAGACGAGAACAGGCAGAGTCCACTACCCAAGCAGACGCCGATGTCTAAAGAGGCGATTGATCCTATCGAAGAAGTCTCAACTCCCGAGAAGCCGAAACCGGGTCAAGTCATTCCTGGTGCTACTGATACCATTTTCATGACAGGCGAAGAGAGCTCTGCTCAGAAGCCACTGAATATCAGCGGCACACAATTCATGCTCCCCTCTCAGATTGATCCCACCGTACTGGCAGAACTACCAGCGGATATCAGGAACAAACTTGCGCCAAAGCAAAAGAGCATCTTGGACATTATGAGCACTTCGACTCGTGCAATGTCACCTTCGAATGAGCCTCTGTCGCGCTCAGTCTCACCATTCGTGAGTGACAGTGAAGCTGCAATACCGAGTCAGAGTCAACTTGATCCCGAAGCTCTTGCAGCCCTCCCACCAGATGTCAGGGATGAAGTGCTAGCCCAGTACAGACATCGGGACAAAAGAGAAAAGCCACCAGCGCAGCAAAGTGTGCTACCTCAATCCCCTCACAAACCCAGGACATCGGGTCAAGGGAAGAAGCTAGTTGTGACGCCAACCAAAAAGCCGAAGACGGCTTCAATGTTCGGCAAGGCTACTTCGAAGCGCGGCGGCGAGTCTTCGTCGACTCTCACACAGTCCAATTTCGTGTCCATGCCCAAGATGAATGTGCACCAACCACAGCCACATTCCCACATGGCTGAAGAAATATCCGAGTCTTTTCTGAACGAGCTGCCCGAAGACATTCGCCTGGAAATCCTGGCAGAACAGAAGAGAAATCGAATGAAAGCCAAATCTGGCCTGAACTTCGACGTGCATAGGAAAAAGACCAAGAGTACTAATACTCAAGCAGAAGCTACGGCACGAGGGCAACAGAAGATCCAATTGGGAAACAGACCAGATAAGCCAACGTTCACTTCCCAAAGGCTGAGTTCCCTGCCGGAGTTGCGGGACGCCATCTCGGCTTGGGTGCGAGAGCTCTCCGTGGATGGCGAAGAACCCGACATGGAGGATGTGACGGCGCTCTGTGAATATCTGAGCAAGGTCGTCTCTGTTGAGCGGGACATGGCGAAGGCTGTCGCTGTGGTCAATTGGTTTGGGTTAGTGATAGAGTATGAGAACTTTGGGAGGGACGAGACGCGCGGGTCGTGGGAGAAAGCGCTGGCTGCTCTGAAAAGAGACGTGCAGAAAGCTGTTGTGGACAGAGGCCTGCCTGCGGTGGTGTTTGAATACTAAGGCAAATTCTCACCGGTGAAGTGGTACCATCACATTGACATGCGCTTGCCTCAGGCTGTAGATGAAGAAGCAGCAGAAGAAAGCAGAGAGGGAGAGAATGTGAGAGACAATTACACAGTAGGTGCGTTCCTTTGCGACTTTCGCAGTCACAGTCGTCCTGACCATCCGCATCTTCCTTTTTGTTCGCTCTCTTTGCTCATCCCGACACCAGAAACATCCCCATCGACATCGACATTGGCTTTCGCTTGACTTTACTTACATCTTCATTGCTCTTATACTCGTACCTCATACAGGAACTGACAGCGGCTCTCGTAACAAGTCTCGCAGCCAGTATTCACCATCCACGCTATGACACTCATGACTGCGTTGGGTCGAAAACGACGCCCATCATCTCCTCCTCCGCTCTCCCTCTCAGCTCGCTGGGCCAACCCTCCTCTTTCCAAGATCCCAAAACTCAATCATCTCTTCGACGGCACAGGCTCGCGATCGATGGAGTCCACCAGTACTGGCCGGTCAAAGCTCAGCGTCAAGAGCCAGTTCAAGAGGGGGGTCTCCAGCATCAAGACGGTCTTGGGCATGGGGGATAGAAGTAGCGGTGGCAGCATGCAATACCACCACGAGACCACGTTTCCTCTGGCCCACGAAAATCACTCCGTATACTTACTTGCCAATGAATCGAACACGACGACGATCCACCAACCTTTGAAGATTCGACTGACTGCTATTGCTGACAACTCGGCCGATGATGGGGATATCTCAGCATCGCCAACTATCAAGAGCGCTCCGAGTACCCCTAGGCTATATGAAGTCCCTGAAAACGAAGAGGACGATTCATACGGTTCTCTTACCACCAGCAAGAATGGCAGTGAGCTCTCGCGGAGTCAATCTGCCCCTGGGCTCCAGCGTCGCATAAGCCAGAAGTTTCAACAAGCGTTCGGCAACGGGAACTCGACCATTGTCAAGAGATCAGGCTTACGTTCAAGACCTAGCGTTCAGACACTCTTAAGGGAATCAGCCGCAGCGTCCTCGACGCCGTGCTCATCTACCCCTCCCACATTGATTAGCGGTACATCTTCCTCCATCAATGGGACTTTATCGACTCCGCAAACCTCGGAGCCATTGACTCCTTCGTCAACCGTCCGCCGCGGTTGCCTCGATTTGGTCGAAGTCGACCAACAGAAATTCATGGTAGAAGGTCGCTTGCTTAGTCCGATCCCAGAAAGTATCAATTTTCCCTTCCTCACCATCAGGACGGTTGAAGCCGCTGCGACGACCAAAATATTCTTCGAGCTCCACTTCAACTCGTTGTTCCAGGGCACACCGCCAAGAGCATCACGGCGCAAGGAGTTGGAGAAGCGTATGCGTAAACTGCAGCTGCCTCCGGATATTCGGGACCGAATTCGGACAGCGTGGGAGATGGCTGAGAGCGAGAATCTCCGACAGCGTCGAGTGCTGAAAAACACGACGAGCTCAGCCAAAGCGAGCCAGGGGGTCAGCATCGGTGGCTTTGAGGTGATCAACGTTCTCGGAAAAGGGAGCTTCGGGGTTGTTCGACTGGTCAAGGCCAAAAACAGCGGCGATGGGTTGCAGAATTCTGAAATCAAAGGCGCCGACAAAGTGCTGATCAACGCACCATCTCGATCCAGTTTGAAGTCGTCGGGCAGGTTGCTATCTGGCAGTCTTTTCAGCAAGCGAAAAGATGCGACCAAGGCCAGGAAGGAAGTGTATGCCATGAAAGTCATTCGAAAGTCAGACATGATCCGCAACGGACAAGAAGGACATCTCCGAGCTGAGCGTGATTTCCTTGTTGCGGCAGAGGGTTCGAGATGGGTCATTCCACTGATTGCTGCTTTTCAGGACCAAAAGCACTTGTATCTAGTGATGGAGTACTGCATCGGAGGCGATTTTCTGGGGTTGCTCATCCGCAAGAACACTCTCAGCGAAGAGTTCACGAAATTCTACATTGCGGAAATGATTCTCTGTGTCGAAGAAGCTCATCGCATGCAATGGATTCACCGAGATGTGAAACCCGACAATTTTCTCATCGGGTTCGACGGCCATCTGAAGATTTCCGACTTTGGTCTGGCTTTTAATGGAGACTGGTCTCACGACCAAAGATTCTATCAAAAAACTCGCCATTCGCTGTTGGATGACTTGGGGATTGTGATTGATGGTGACGATCAGGACAAACAAGAGAAGGAAGCCCAGTCACACCATGCAAGCAGGAGGCATGGCAAGGAGGACTCGAATTACAAAGAAGAACCCATGCTGGGAGAGCCAATTTTGGATTGGCGCAACCGGTCGCAACGTCGACGCCTGGCCCGTTCTGTCGTTGGCACTTCGCAGTATATGGCTCCCGAGGTCATTCGCGGCGAAATGTACGACGGACGATGCGATTAGTGGAGCATCGCGGTCATCATGTACGAGTGCCTTTTCGGTTTCACTCCCTTTGCCTGCGACGACCGCCAACAGACCAAGCTCAAGATCCTGCAGCACAAGAAGACTTTGATGTTTCCGCAACCAGAGGGTGTCCCCATTCCGAGCATGGAAGCGTTGGACCTCATGATGCAAATCTTGGTGGAAAAGGAGAAACGCCTCTGCAGTCGGCAGTATGAGCACAATGACTTCACCAGGAAGATTGTCGGCGGCCGCCTTGTCCGTTGCGTCGCGGACAAGGCTCATCAAAACTACCAGGGGTATTTTGTCTATCCTGGCGATGCTGAAGATATCAAGCGTCATGCATGGTTTGCCAACACTAATTGGGACACGTTTTACCGGCAACGTCCGCCGTATGAGCCTCGCGTCAGAGATTGGGAAGACACCAAATACTTTGATGAAGAGGATGCCCTATCCGACATGGATTCTGCGACAACGCTGGACGAGGTTGCGGTCGCGCCCGGACAGGAAGCCGCTGCTCAGAATACAAACACCAACCCCAAGCGCAAAACTACCCAACTGAGCCATCATCAGGCAGAAGGGCAGAATATTGTGCCATCCAGCGCCATGAACATCCCCCCTCCCCAGGACTGTCCCGGACTGGGGGTCAACCATGCTGAAGCGGAACAGATGCATGCGCTGAAAAATCCTCTTATGCAACCACGGGTGAATGGGTGCCTCACGACTGGAGCCACGCTTGTGGACACAGGTCTCCATATTGAAGGCACTCTAGCCACGATAATCACGGAAAATGTGAAGCCCAAAGCCAAGAAGAGGGAAAAGAAGAGGCCCAGAGACATCATCTTGCGGGACCCTGCTGCAGGAGCACCGGCTTTGGAGGCTCGGAAACTCGGCGCCTTCATGGGATATGAGTATCGTCAGCCTACAACGGCGCAGGACATTATAGAACAGGTGGTCGTGGAGGAGATGGAAGGAAACAACATCAAAATGTACCGGCAAGGATGTGATCAGCATGATCCAGACCTAACGTACGAGAGGCGGGTATACATGGACGCCGGCGGGCAGTTGTTTCCCCGCCAACGAGCTGCGCTGGTGTGAGCAGTCGGTCCTTTACCGCGGTTGTTATCCTTGTGCTTGTGCACATTGGTCGTTCATTCCTCTGCCTACCTCCCTGGTGGGAAGAGAGCTCGAGAAGCAGCGAAATCGGAGTGAGAAGATGGACCCAACTTTGTCTTCCGTACGATAACATAGGTTTAGCGTTGGAAAATGCATATTCTTAATGGACATTCCAATTGGTGTCATCTATATATTTTATGCTTTGATCGTCTAGTTACATGGGAGTTTTCTAGAGCTTTGTACTGGCAGCTTCAAACTCTTTGCTGAAAGGATAGTCAATGTAGCCTACTTCGGATTTGGGGGTGTAGAAGGTGCCTCGGTTGTACTTTGTCAAGTCAATGTTGTTTGCGATTCGGAAGACCAGGTCGGGGGTGGATATGAAGTAGCGGCCGAAGACAATGGCGACGTCGCGGTCCTTGTATTCCTCGTCGACGGCGCGGCGGGCGCTGGCCGAGGTGAAGCCGCCGGCGATCAGGACGGGGGAGACGTCGGCCCAGGTGGCGATCAGGGGGTCGATCTTCTCGGTGGCCTCGACATCGGCGTTGCCCGAGATGCGCGACTCGACCAGGTGCATGTAGGCGAGGTTGAGCGGCTTGAGCCCCTCCATGAAGTGGGTGAACTGCGGGAGGGGGTCGCGCATCTTCATGCCGTTGAAGGGGCTGAAGGGGCTGAGGCGGATGCCCGTGCGGTGGGCGCCCACGGCGGCGACCACGGCGCGCGCCACCTCCAGCCCGAACCGCGACCGCTTCTCCACGCTGCCCCCGTACTCGTCGGTGCGCGTGTTGCACACGTCCTGCGTGAACTGGTCGATCAGGTAGCCGTTGGCGGCGTGGATCTCGACCCCGTCGAACCCGGCGCCCTCGACCGCGTTGCGCGCCGCCTGCGCGTAGTCGTCGACGAAGCCGCGGATCTCGTCGGCGCGCAGCTCGCGCGGCACGGGAGCCTCGCTACTGAGCGGGGTGGGAGACGACGATACGATCTCAATCCCCTGCGCGGCCGCGGACGTCGGGTTCGCCGTGCGGCCCAGCGCCCACAGCTGCAGGTAGATGTGGGAGCCCTTTGCGTGGACGGCGTCGGTGACGCGCTTCCACGCCGCGATCTGCTCGGGCGTGTAGATCCCCGGGACGTTGTCGTAGCCGCCCGCCCGCTGCGAGATGAAGGTCGCCTCGGAGATGAGCAGCGTCCCCGGCACGCACGACCGCTGCGCGTAGTACGTCGCCGCCATGGGCAGGATCGTGTGCGAGTCGTCAGCCCGGTACCGCGTCAGCGGCGCCATCACCAGCCGGTGCTGCAGCGTGAGGTGGCCGACCTTGAGGGGCTCAAAGAGCCGCGACGGCGCCGACACGGGGAGAGAGCCCATGTCTTCTTACTTGGTGTTTTTGGTGGGGGGAGGGACGTGGGTATGTTTCTCTTCCTTTTTAGAACAGTGGTGAAAAAGCAAACAGTCTTTGGAATACCCTTGTACAAGTTATTTACTCGGTAGGTAGGTATTTTTTCTTTCTCACAGGCGATGGTTGTCTGACAAATAGGACGTTGCGGGGAATTTCCCTTGGGACGCAAAACGATACCCGGCTCTGAGGGAGGGGTTGTTGGGGTGTGGATAATTGTGAATTGCCTATTGAGTTTGAGGCGGGGCGACGAGATAGATTGTCGTAGTAATGACTTCTACCTTGGTGTATCATCCAAACGTTCTGGAAAAGAATATATACAAAAACCTCTGTGTAGGGAACAAATATCTGACGAGTACCCAAGTCTACTCGTACCAGAGAGATCGGCAGGGGGTTTTTCGGGAATGGGGTTTTCATCGATAGACATGGCTCTCTTGGTTGGTTGGAACGCCAGTGCTGGCTGCCATCAGCTGTTGCATTTCATTGGATTGGTCAGCAACATCACCGACGAGTATCAAAGTCCGTGGTCACTGGCTGTGGTGAACGGCTAGATTTCCTATTGAACGGTTAAGTTTCCCTAATCGATTGGCCACGGAGTTCTGGAACCCCGTGGAGACAGGGCGCTTGATTCGTTGATTTTGACGACATCGGTTGGCAAGGGGCGAGGATCTGGAGGGCGACAGCTAAGGTTAGCGAGCCAATGGTGTCGCGACAAGCACACGCCGTCGAACCAGACAACTCGTTGTTCGGCTGCAGGGCACGATCCTCGTACCGAGTACTTCGTACCAGGACTGGTGAGTATCGCAAGGCTGACCAGGCCGGAAGAGAGCCAGCCATAGACCAAAGTCTATTCAAACTTCCAAGTTTGCTGGTCGTTGTATTGTCATGGCCACGCGCCGTGCTCGTAGGACCTGGTAGTCTGATGACCAGATCACTACTCACCTGCGAGGGCAGTAGATTTTCCACCACGACGCCTCGGTGGTGCTTCTCAAGTTGATCATCTCTGGGAGGAGAACATGCACTTCCGCTGTAGGCGACACCATACCTTGGGGCGGGATTTTCGAGTGTCTAGTCGACAACCTCAAGTCGAGCTTACAAGACTCGGGACAAAGGAGCGGGGGATTGTGGGCGAGGTGGTATTCAGAAGAGCCTCGTGTTGCTGCGGGGAAACAAACCTTGCTTTGTCTTCAGTGGCTTGACATTGGTCCTGTGAAGATTAGGGAGCATTGAACGAGCATTAATTGCCACTGAAGATTTCAAGGTTAATGAACGGTGAGAAGAAAAGGAGTCAAGGAGTCAACTTGTGGTGGAGGTGGTTAAAGGAGAATAGAAGAAGCCTGACTGCGAAGTGGATCAAAGTCACGTGTAAATACGAGTGGAGCCTTGCGGGCAGGACGGCCGCATCCCTCTTGGCGCCAAGATATTTAGGCCTACGCCTCCACCTCCGGGCATTTGTGTCACCGAGTTACAAAATCAGACTGAGCATCCTTTGATGCCCTCCATCTCTCTTTTTCTCTTTCTCTCTGTTTCTCTCTGCTCGCGGCAGTTGCGAGCTGGGCATCCATGTAAGACACAAGCAGGAGACTGTGGGACAGGTTCTCAACAAGCCAATCGGCTCTGGTCTGAGCTAATTCCGAGATACAGGACTATTACGTCTATTACGTTGGCCAATATTTTGACAACCAATAACACCACCTGCTAGTCTCGATCGTGGCCCAGCCGAGCACTTGGAATGGTTTCTAAGCAAAGCCGAAACCTCCCTGCGATGGACTGGCGCTCTGGATGCCTGGCTGGGACGAGTGGTCGAGGTATTACGAGAACACCATCGCTAATCATCGGAGTTGCCGTGGAGCTTTAGCGTCACATCTCTCACCAGGAGAGGACCCTGACAGATCAGAAAGACCGAGAGGGGCCTGGCTATCATGAAGTCGACCACCTGCTGAAAAAATCACTTGGACGAATGCATCTCCTGGTGGTCCTGGGAAATCGATCTACTCGAGATGATTTGGCAGTGCGGAGAGAACTCGCGGAAGCTAGGACATATCAATGCGACAAGGTCTAATAATGGCATATCACGAATGGCGCCATATCTAGACATGGAGGTAGGTCCTATCGGCTGATCTTCACCTGCCAAAATGATCAAGTTTCCCCATGAAGGTAAAGCACGACTGAGGTTGTGACCCCTGTATCGGGTAAGAAACCGGATTCAATGTACATCATTGCTGCATCAAGGATCTGTTGTCCCCAGTGAGATCGAACGATCTCCTGTAGAAAATGGGATCTTCAACAAGATCTGTGTTATAAAAAGGGTGCAAGGACCACTTTGTACCCTACACCGTTCATATCAACAGGTAATCCGCCTGTCCAGCTTTGCCGGTACCGACAAGCTCGTGTCACCGGACTGCTCTGCACTGAAACTCTCAAAATACCTAAAGAGCTTCCCTGGGTCTTCCCTGACTCGAGCTCTCGTGGATGGATTGATTATAGAGTCCAGCAATACGTCACTCTCAGTCAAGACCGAGATACACCACCATACAATGGTCTTGCAGGGCAGGCCACAGGGCCTGATGCCAAGTACTCGTCGCATTTCGCAATATTCTTTCCACGCTTTGAAGTGCATGAGGCCAATCTGTCGGTGGCCTGCACAGTACTCTGAAAGGGCCAAGAACAAAAAAGCCACGACGTCTTCATCACTCGAGTCCTTATGATTGGCCAGGGCAGATATCCTCTGCCGGGTTTGTGCAAGGATGAAGTTCTGTCGAGCGGCGAGATAGTGGTTCTCGGCATCGAACAGATCGCTCTCTGGCTGGGGTCCGTGTTTGCGGTAATGGTTGGCGCTGAATAGTAGTATCATGGTCTCAAAACACCATTGGCTTGACACAGCGAATGGGATAAACAGCTGCAGCACAGGGTCGTGTTTGTGCACGATATCCGGGTAAACGTCCAAGCCCAACATGGATGCTGCGTTTAGCGCGAAGTACCGGATCAAATTACGATCGGTGGGCGTCAAGACAATACGCGACCCTTCGACCGACTGTTGGAGTTCCCGCACCACCGTGCATTGGGGTTCTTCTTCGGAGCCTGAAAGGCGCTCTTGGAGGGTCGCCTGCTGCCCCGGGGGCGTGTTTTCGATCTTCAGGCTCTCGAGAAACGATAACCCGAATTCTGATCGACTCTCCGTGCTCGGCCTTCGCGATTTAGAGGGCAGCTGCGGAGAATGACGCTCCGCATCATAGGCGCTGGCGCTGGAGCTGGGCGATTCGGTGTCGGTAAAGGGAAATGGAGAGTTGCTTAATCTGGAGTCCTCTGCCAGGTCGCTCTCCCTCGGCGACTCTGCCCGTCGCTTCCTGTCGATCGTGGTCCGTTGAGACGGCTTGTTGCCCTGGCTCCCCCCCTTTGTCCGTGGCTCGCCTTTAGCTGCAGTTCTCGACCGCGGTGACTCTGAACGAGGCTTCCTCAGAAATGGTGACACCGTGACACTGTCCCTCTGGAAGTCGATGACGGCTGCATAATGGGAGATGCCGTGTTTGGTCGCCCCGTCTGATTCGCCCGATCCGGAGGGTGTTGCATTGGAACCATCTGGATTTGACTGCGCATTTTCCTCTTTTGGCCGCATCCATCGCAACGGCGAGAACTGATTTCGAGAAACCCATTCTGATCGAGCCTCTCTCTTGGACCGCACACGATCCTTCATCAAGTGCGCGCGTGCTGTCTCGGTGACTCCGCGTCGGTTAATGTCATAGTCTACAAAGGTGAACACCCTCCCCTCTGGTTTTTGGTTCGACATGGCTGGCTGGCCGGCGGTGGTCTGGTTGAGTTTGCAGGTCTATAGTGACAGGGTGACTTGGCCCTTCCCTGTTGGACAATAATGTATTGTTGTCCTGGGGTATATAGAGCCTTGGAGGGGGTCCGGGATCGATGTTTCTACGGCTGCTCTCCGCTATTACTCATCCCTGAGCTCCATCGACCATGATGCTTTGTACAGGCGAACCCTGGGGGGCTAGTGATGAGGAAGTTGGACCTGAGGAGGGCAGGATCTCGCACAGCATTGAAACGGCGATAACAAGCAGGGCCTAGTGAGGTCGATCCAATCGGCAACTCCGTGCCGGGAGCGCCATCAGACTATTCCCGTTTTTGAGAAGAAGAAAAATGCGCTGATTGGTTGCGGGTCGGCCGTGGTCAAAGCGAGACGGGCGCTCTGATTTCTCCATTTTGAAGCAGATTCCAGACAGAAATACCCACGAAGAAACGGCAAGCTAGACCATGGGACTTGTCGAGGAACCATTCCTTTTCGATTGGTGTCATAGCGGCCGCCCCTCTGGCTTACATGGTCGACCAATCAATCCCGTCGTTGGCCGATAGTCGTCGTTGCGGTAAGTTCCACCGTCGAACCATCAAGGGTCTTCGTATCCATGCACGCCACGCAGACGAGGATTCCCCCTCCCCCCTTTTGCCAGCATCCAGCCACCAGCCTGTCTGGCCCTTTGGATCCAAGTGGCCAGACTATACAAGCCCGGGATTCTTTGTCAGCCGCCATCGGCACCAAGATTCTTAGTCATTGCGTCTTGTACCGGGGGTTTGCTGGTTTGCGGAGCAGTCAAGTCCCGACACACCAGGCAGACACCAGCAGGCGAGGCGGAATTACATCATGGCCTTATTGCCTAAGGTACGAGGAACCGATGTTGAGCTCCTGCAGGCACTCGAAGCCATATCTCTTTGGGAAGTTCTTCCCCCTTCACACGGGAAAAGACCAAAGACCGGTGATCGGGTCGGAGGCTAAGGGTACTGTTGCGAGTTTGGCACAACCCGTTCAATCTACCCAGTACTCGTGAGGGGTGCGACTGTCGATATCCTGATAAGGCTCCATGCCCGAAGCGAAAGGGATTCAATGCTAGGAGCAGGAGCCGCTGACTGCATTGTTCTGTAACATATCCATGTCAGCTATGTATGGAAAAGTCAGGACCACTATAGCACCCAGAGACCCTAGCGGACGAAGCGAGTGGGAACGAAAGAACCATGTCCCGAGTAGTCATCTACCTAGTACCGAGTACTTGTGGTATCTCTTGGTACAGAGGCAGGTAAGGATGAAAATCTTCCCCACTTGAATATGTCCTACTCGCGCCGGACGTATAAATTTCCCATTCGTGGCAGAGATCCCTGCTGTTCCAGGTAGGTATTGTCTCCGAAGCCCCTCGGTCGAAACAGCCCTGGTTATACCCGCAACCCCCGTCTGGAAAGACCCTTTTAGGGAATTTGCCTTCCGCGGGTCCCTCTGACTACACACACTAAACTAGTAGTGGTTCACTAACCAACTAACTAATTAAATAGCAAGATCTGACATTCTTTTGGGTGTCGGGGATCAAATCCACATCTGACTGGGCCAAAGCGCGAAGAAAGCGCGAGACCAAAGCTTCATTTCAGGGGAGCGGGTCCAAACGAAGAGATGGAAATATGCCGACTAGACCATTTCATGCTTCGAATACACACATACCTTGCCATCCCACCAACTCGCATTGACCATGATAATCCCATCCGTCCCATGGCGAAAGGCTAACCCCCGTTCCGAAGTATCGAGAACATTACTGACTGGTCCTGGCGTCGTTGCGGATCTGTCCATCTCCGCTTGTCTGCCTGGCTGGCTGGCTGACTACAAGTACAAGCACAAGGGATCATCGGTAGTGCTCACAGGGCACTCTTGTTTTGTTTTATGTCAGAATCTGTATATATCTCCGAGTTTAATTATGTACGCAAGGGCCCAGGCCTAATTTTACTAGAGAGAAGTCCCGGGGGGGGGGGGGGGGGGCGGGCGGCACATCTACTTACCTGATCGCTTGTACGTACGTACGTACGTACGGAGTACAAAAATGTACTCGACAGCCACGCAAAGGAGATACAAAGGACCCCCGGCCCCATTCCTTCCTTTCACCAAGGGAGATTTTTCTGCGCCCTGCGCCCTTTTAGATCTCACGGGTCGGTACACAGTCGATCCCCCCGGCGGCTGACAGCAGGAGAGTAGCAGTGAGCAGAGTGGCAGTTTGGTGCCTGTGAGGATGAGACAGGGACGTATCTATCCATGTACGAGGACGGGATAGGCTATAGATGGTGGCGGTAACCTGAGTCAGACTACTCCCCTTCTCAGCATATCTCCGCGTGTACTCGGTATGTATGTATGTGTGTACGATACGAGCACCAGCACATTACCCTTACTGTCCCGAGCAGAGTTTTGCACCCGAGTTCTTTTACCCGAGTCCTCGCAAATCATACATCTTGACAACAATAATAACCGCGCGGGAAGGGGGGGGGAAGAATGGGGATAAACTTCGCCCAAAAAAAACAAGAGGGGGGGGAAATCATCGCTTTACCGGAAATAGAAAACTGTAAACTGCTCGAATCAGGCTTCGTCTCCGGATTTTCTCGCTTGGGCTCTCCCAAGCAAATCGGAAAGAATAAACAAAATGTCGGTTTCCTTTTTCTGCATTGTCACCGCCACATCGAGGCCTCGTGGGGGGGGCCCCCTTCCCACCAAACAACACCCACCGCCACTGGGCGGGGGGGATTATTCTAGAGACTAAATCTGGGATCGCTTGCCCAGGTGCCAGCCTTGTTTTTTTTCTATCTGTTTTCTTAGTCATGGAGGCGAGAGGAGGGGTGGGGGGGAAACCAACCGGATTGAGTTTGTCCACTTGTCCAAAGCACGTCGATCTCCCTTTGACCAGGATAGTACCTCGTATACGAACAGTCATAGCGGGTAGGTAGGTAGGTAGGTAGGTAGGGACTTTGTGGAAGAGGACGGCATGGGGGCGCCATGGGGGGCACGGAGAATCGTTCAAGCGTTCCCCTCCAAGAAAAGCTTATCGAAGCTTGACCTTGAAGTACTTTCAGCATGCTGACTACACAAGCCCGTGACCAAGGTCAGTATCTACCGCACCGTAGGTACCACAACCAGGTATACAAGTATACATTGGATGGATGGATGGATGCAAACAGTTAGTGTCGTTTGATAATCGCCAACCGACTCGAAATGTATTTCGCATAAGCAACAACGGAGACAATCCGGGGTATCTCCTCTCACTGGCACAGACAGACAGCCTTGGACACTGTGAAAAAATTGGGATATCTACTTGTGGCTGGTGTCATGGGTGGAGGGGTGGGAGCCGCAGTGAAGAAACTAAACCGTAAAGAGCAGGTTCCTGGTGGATTTGTTGAGCGTCTACTCACTACCAAGTACCAAGTACCAAGAACAAGTCTCCACAAAAGAACAAAGACAAGACTGACGGCTGGTGTCAGTACTTTGTGCTTGTAGTTTGGATGGCCACGGCCACGGCCACGATACTGTGACTCTGTGAAGGTGTGTACTCGTACCGAGTACGGAGTACAGCCCACCGTTACATTATTCCCCTGGTATGTGCCCTGACCGGTTCCGTCTGCCCCACCCGTATCGACGAGACTAATTCGCTAGTCTGACCATGAGGCGGCACGCGGCCTTTACACTTTCGGAAATATATCCTCCCGACCATCTTCTGCCTACCTACTCTTCTCGACCCTACCACCTAGCTCCCTACTCCGTAGATACCGATGTTGTCCTACGGAAAGGGAAAGCCACGTGATATAGGTGTACTCCGTAAACAAGTCGCCTTACACAATCTGCCGTGGTTTTGGGAAAAGGACTTCTCTTCCTTTCGCCGCAGTAGAGAATTGACAATGAAATAGCCAAATCGATCGATTGTGGTGGCATTGTAACTCTAGTCTCTGTCGAAATATCGACTTTGTCATTCATTCTTAGGTTACTTGGCTTTTCTGGATCCTTGTGCTAGCCAGAGTCTGATCCCCACGAAGGCACGATACTACGCAGACAGCCAAGGTCAAGGCCAGAGATTCCGGGACGAAATATCCGAGAGAGAGTCTGTGGCAGATTCAGGAGGAGTCTTCTCCACGGCGATCTGGATTTCAGTCCTAACCCTCTCAACAACTCACTCCTGACGGCCTTTCACCGTGAGAGGTGACACTTGGACTGGAAACCGAAAACAGGCAACCATCAAGACGGCCGTGCAGAGATGCCTATCTTTTCTGCATACAGGTATGATGGCCCATTTGTGTTCAGTTAGGCAGAGGGCTCGTTACCATCCTTTCCTCTGGGCCTGTTCACTGTTGTTACACCATGAGATGCTTTTAGGACATTGTCGTCTGCTTGTCTGGACCAAATGCAACAACATCACATTCCTCGATTCCGTGTCTCCACGCTGAGCCAGAGTGTCTCAATCCACAAGTGTCGCAATTGTGATTCTACAAGTTTGGACATCACCTACCACTATAACCAATTTCGAGATGGCTTGTTCGGTTGAATCAGTTCCGCATAACGCTCAAACTCATCATCACTTAGTCGCAGTCTTCGGACAGATTCCTTCCTAGCTGCTCAGTGCACGATGGATTTAGTGCTTATAAAGAGTACCTTTCCAAAGAGGCAGGCCAAAAGGCGCAGTTGCCTCAAAACGCGCTATGTCCAAGTCTGGTGTCAAGGTGAAGATTCCACCGACATTGCTTGTCCCGAGCTGGAAACTTCAACGCAGGAAAGTGAACTGGGTGTCAAGACGCCTTTTGAAGATTCGGGCACCTTGGCGGGGTTATTTGACGGGGATTTTGATGTGTGACACGGGGATAGAGCAAGGCTGACGAGGGTGACGAGGCTGAGCTCCTTTATACCCTGTTATGCGGTGTGAGGTCATATGACGTCATTTTATGGGCTTTGACTACAACCTCCGAAAGTGACATTTCCTGATGTACCGAACCCCCTTCGACCTCCGTGTGTACAACATCACGAATATCGTACTTGGTCGACTGCAGCACAAGACTTCATCACTGGTTTCATCACACCCGACACTCCGACCACCGCATTCGCCATGGCAGATTCCAAAGGCGGCCACTCGGCCCAATTCGACCCAACGTCACTCGACGCGAAGCAGCACGGCATCGCACGGTAAGTGAGGCTTGAATTCCCAGTACGCGGCTCCTTCGGAGAAACTCTACTGTGGGAACCGCCCAAAGGGGAGTTCAGCGTCGGGAGAATGAACCAAAAGTGAAAAGAACGCAAACTCAAAAAAATACCCCTTCACCGTCTGTCATTCCATTGGCCTGTCTCAAAATAGTGTTGATCTGCCCAACTCACTAACTCGTATATGCTACGTTGCACGTGTCCTAGAAATACGATCGACGAGCAGAAATCCAACTACGGCGTCAAGACTTCGGTAGACCGCGACGTCGGAGGAAAGATGTTATCCACCAAATCGTCGACTGGGATATACAGTTTGCCCGAAATCAGTAGTGGTGGACAGTCGCTGAGTGACAGTGTGAATGAGGCGTTGGAAGGGCGGACGGGAGTGGCGCAGGGCAAGGCACAGAAGATTGACCAGAGTGTGAAAGTCGGGGCCGAAGGACACTTGCACGACAAGGCTGCCGCGAAGCAGCCGTGAGGTCTCGTCATGCTGTTCAATTCGCGTTTCCAACTTTCGCATTTTCAGACACAGTCGATCAAGGACGACACTCAACGAGTGAGACGGATCCTCGTCTTTCAAACGCAATACGATCATCACACCATGTTTGGGAGCGACAGATGTGACATACAACTCTCATAGAGCTGAAACATACAAAACGCCGAACTGGGTGGTTCTACCCTGCTGGACAGGGAGCAATGCAGCCCAACTGCCCTTTGACACTGGAGGATCTTCCTATCGTCGGTGTTGTTGCTTCATCCGCCACAAGTTACACTCATACCTTGAAGTACCGAGTATTACGAGTCTTCCTTTCCAGACCCTGGCGAGAAGGTTGGCTGGCTGGATGGCTAGCTAACCACCTCCGAAATGCGCCCCAATTCCCATCATCTCCTTTAGCCTAGCTAGCCTGCCTGCCTACCAGCCTTTTACACAAAAGGGGGCCGAAACAACGGAGAAAAGCCCCCTTTTGTACGTTGTTCCCGTGAGTAATGCGGTAGGTGATCAAACAAACCCCTGGGAGCCATTCCATCCGCGTGAGGTTGTTTCGGTGTCTACTTTCGATCTGTCTGTCTGTCTGGCTATCAAAGTATAGGGAGATGAAAGGAGAGAGGGTTAAATTCGATTCGTGGCCCCTGGGCTCATTTGATGGCTGGGCTCTGCCTCGTCCAAAGAACACCAACCAATCAACTACCTAACTAATTAACCCTGGGGTCGAGTCTTGCTCGTCTCGTCTCGTCTGGCTTGGTCTGATCTGATCGGGGAGACCCTCGATACTCCGTCCCAGCCGAGCGGGGGAAGCCTGTCTCCTTGGTTCTCGACGGAGCGGAGTTTATTCTTCGCGCACTATTCATCACCACCATGTACGAGTTGAGTTATGCAGAGTTTCCCCCCTCCCCATGTCAAGCCACAGGGTGAGTTATGGCTGTGGAAACCACCTGTGGGGGCTAGGGTGGACGGGACTGGACCGGGTTGGGTTGGGCTGTGCTTACATACACACTATACTCGGTACAGTACGAGGTTTTTCGGCAAAGGATTATCTAGTATTCGACCCTACCAGGCAGGCCCGGTGGGTCGATCCCCCTGTTGAGGATTCAATCAGACTAACTTGTCCATATTACGAGTGAGTATGTAGCTTGTTCTCGCTAAATGAGTAAGGCAAGGCAAGGCAAGGCAAGGCAAGGCAGGGGTAGGTACCTAGGTACACACACTCTGAACCCACTACGGGGTACCCACGTACCCACTCCCGGAGGACATTGTATCCATTGAACCCGCCCCACCCTACCCGTCTAGGTCCTCTACTCGGTACCGAGTAGGTAGTCTACTCTATACCAGAGCCAGAGCAGAAGTGGGGACTTTGAGAAACCTAAACCCCTTTCGGAAGGGGCACTTACCTCTTTGTCGTTGTTTCCCGTGCAATGTTAGAAACTTCTTTGCTCCTCGTAATCTTGCCTTGCTGGAGCATTCTAGTCAAGTTCCCTCCAGAAGAGCGGGATGAGCAGGTCCACAGGGCCTTGACTGTGCAGGCTGGCAGGCTGGCAGGCACACAGGCAGGACCGTCTGGTGGAGAATTGAGGAGGAAGCATTGGGTCTCAACAAGGCATGGGACCCGGATCCCCCACTCTAACCCATAGATGCACGACGGACGAGGTTGTCAACTACGACGAAACGAATGCTGATATGATCCCGATAGTGGGAAAGACGGGAAGGTGACGATTTCCATTTTGGGAATATATCGTTGGCAGGAGGCCTATGTACTCGAGTCTTGAGGAGTGAATTTGCTGAATAGTCGCTTTGTCACGGGTATATACCAGGTATACCAGGTGCGATGAATGGTCCAATCGACCTGATGTTCTGGATTTCCGGCTCTGTGGGGAATGCACCGAGTTGTACGAGTACAGGCTTACCCAATAGCTAACCTACACGGCGCTCTCTCTCTACCTCGCACCTTTGTCATCGACTTCGTCCTGGAGGGATCTACACTGTTCTAGACATCTAGGCCTTGAGCTCCGCTGACTGATGGTGGGAGGATCTGGGGGAACCTGCCCCTTTGGTCATCGACACTAGACAGGCACACAGACTACCTACAGAATACAAGTCCCTCACAGGATGGCCGGAGACCCTGTCCCATTCATGGGTCCTCCTCATAGTCCTCGTCCAGGATGCAAGTCTTTACCTACATGAGGCTGATCTGGTCTCGAATGAGTGGTTGTGGAAACATGCTCACATCTTTGTCGCTTCCGCCACCTCTTAATCCTTACCCATCCAACCCCCCCTGAGCCTCCGTCCATGTGGCACGACAGGGCTGGATTTGGTCAGCACCAGTGATTGCTTCAGCCTCTACTGCCCCAGTTCAAGTTCAAGCCCCCCCTCTCAGGGTTGACAATGACAATGACTACTCGAAAGAATGTCGCGATGGAATCCTCCGTTAATCCTCGACCCGCCGAACCGCTGGGGGAGGATGAATGTCACCGTCGTCTCGTCAGTGCTCCCTCCAACAGCCCCCGTCGAAATCCCTCAAACCCACCCTCTGAGAACGTATTGCCACGGCACATCCAACAGAAAGCATTCCAACGATGCCCCTTGAGAGTCTGGGATCTTGAATCATCCCTGACTACTACCACCACTACCCGAAACTGTGGCCCAACAAGTTCGTCGAAACAATCAACCAAGGATCGAATCATCCTCGTTAGTTGGTCGTGGGGACCCTTGGTCAGCACAAGACCAGGCTCTGTTTCCCTTGACTCCTTGACACTCTGTTAAGCCGGGACAACCACACATCTCCCTCGACCGTGGAGCAGCTCCTACACAAGTCCTCCACGAAGGGGATAGACAAGCGGGTGCTAGAGTATCTGGCTATCGTATCTGACAAAGGATGATGAGTTCCTGCTTCACTTGGACAATAGAGAGCGACAGAGTGAGAGAGGCTGGAGATGGTGTTACATTCCTCCCATTCCTTCCATCGATTCCATTCCCCGTGTCTCCTCCCTTGCAAGGTCATCAGTCCGCAATGATCGTGTGCTGACGGGACTCACTGTCCAGCCCCTGGTAGAGATACCTCATTTTCAAGTCTCTACGCTGGCGTCGACGGGACTCCAGGAGCCATACACTGTCTCTCTACCAACGATGACTGTGAAATCAGGACCGTATGACGGGAGAGAAGGGGAAGTCACCTTGGATCCTGTCCTGTTGAAACAAGTGGAGGAAAAGGCCCGGTTGCCGTCGTCAAAGTCAAGTCTATACTCGGTACCTCGTACAGTCGATGCACTCAGACTGTATGGCCATCTCCACCTACTTCACTCACTCTACAGAGTGTACACTCTCTCATCACCAATCGACCTGTCCCGATGACCATCACAAGGCAAGAGAAGAAACTCCATCTGAAGTCTGAATACTCACTTACCGACATCTATCCTACAGAGAACGATTCGAAAAGCCACAGGCACAAAGGCGTCGAGGATCCCTTTCCAGTTTCTCCCACTGCTGAAAAAAAAACCTCTCTCTGTCGCTCTACTGAACCAGAATCAACGCCAGAAGAGCAGCATATAACGCGGTCCAAGATCTGGGTGTCCTGGATTCATTTATCCGACTCATAGACAAGACGCCGTCACCGAGGAAGGATGTCCTGGAGGGAGTCGGCCAGACCCGGGAGTCGAGGCGCTGATATCACACTGCACACTCACAATAAACCTCGCTATTGACACAACAATCGATATCGTACAACAGGTAGAATTTCTGCGCGAGAGGGCCGACGGTCTCGTCGAAAATCACAATCCCCAGTACCTGATATTTACGAGGCGGCAATCCAGATTCATCTGAGATGCAGATCAAGGTCCGAGATGAAAGACTCGAGCCCAGTCTCCTCTTTTCGGCCAATGTCAAATCGCTGCCACATCTGTCTCCAAGGATCTTGTCAGCCCGGAAGAGCATTCAAGGAGTCTGCGTTCCTGGTATTATTTTTTATCTTGTCGAAGAAACAAGGTCCTTTGGTCCCCCCGTCACAATCACCACAATCACCACCACCACCGTCACACGGGCCATCTAGGCTTCTGTGGATATGCCATAAATATTACATCGCCGACTCTACTGCGCTGCTGAGTGAGTATGCACGAAGAGCCTTCGCACATCACTCGGGAGGGAGGGAATGTTGTCAATGGTATTCTCTCAAGTGGCGTGACACTTCGGGAGAGCGAGAACGAGTGCCATGCTGCAAACGCTGGAAGAAAAAGACTTGGCCTTGGCTGGTCAGGTTTGTTTTCTTTGGCGTGATATGGCACGACATGACATGACATGACTAGCTAGCTAGTTAGCTCACAGGCTCGCAGGCTACCTATCACCTACAGACCGACCTATCTACCGGACTGATACGACCTCTATCCTCGCGGCCAGATCCGATGATCATACCGAAAGACCAGAGGCGAAGGAGGTGGGGACAGGAAGCAATGTGCGTGAGAGCGAGAGAGATCTAGGCCTTTCTTCACCTCGCATTCTTCCTGGAACACGTGGAACGAAAGAACCGGTTACAGATATTCAGATGGGTCCAAAGTCCCAAGCAGTGTCACAGCCAGACGGACACAGGAACAGGCAATGTCGGCGAACATCGTCCAGGCGAGCGAAGACACAGGCCTCAAGAGCCTCGTATACGGGCGTCCGATCTAAGATCAGATACTTTATCTATCCCTCTCGCTTACCACGGCGTTGGAGCATCCAATTTGCGACCCAGAGCTTCTATACAAAGAGCGAATGAGAGCAACCGCCCCTAGAAAGACTTGGATCAGATACCAGCTTCAACGCAGCCTCGATATCTCCATCACTTCTGTCGATAGCAGCTCACGATTCCACGCTGACCTCAGCGATACGTATCCCTCACCACTCGTCTCTTCGTTACCTCAAATCTTATATCGGAAATGCAAATTCTGTTTGTCCGTGAGATCATCGAAGCCTTCGAGCAGTTCTTCCTGCTGCCTTTCTGCGTGAAGACCCTTTGCGTCGCGCGACCGGTTCTCAAAGTAACACAGGCTTGTATAGATGACTTGTAGGAAGCAGAGCGCGCAGTAGGTGCCCAGTAGTCCTTTGATGGCGGTGAAATATCGCGGTTCCTCAGAAGGCAAGAACAGGTGCGGGCCTGCGATGTTTCCGGCGCAATAGAATCTAAGGTTGTCTGTGTAAGCTGCGCAGTTTCTCAAGCACGGTACAAGCAGATCCGCCGTCACGAGCAGAAAGACGGCACTTACACGAAGAAGACTCCGACAACTGCAGTTCTCTTGGTGTGCCCTGCCACATTCACACCCGGTAAAGTCCATCCCAAGATAATAGGTGCTCCCAGGACGTTTTGTAGCCAGCAACAAGCCACCAACGAGTACCGATGTTTGATGTTAATGGTCAAGAGACCAATCAAGCCCGCGATCCCCGGTAGGCATGAGACTAAAGTGCCAAAAGCGTTAGCCAAGCCGCCCATGGTCAATCGGAGCAGATGCTTCACTGACGGATAACCGTGATACCCAAAAGGTTCTTCCTGGTTGCCACCCAACCGAATCCCATACATCCAATGATTTCAAAGGCACCACCAGGCGTCTGAAGCACAGTGGTATGAAGTGCATCGAACCCAAAGCCCTTGATGAGGGCTGAGAAAAAGTTGGCCACGGCCCCATTTAGGAGGCCCGTGCATGTGCCCATCAGTATGACAAGGTAGGTCTTTGGATCGAGCACTGCCTCCTTGAGGTGGCCGACAACAATCTTGTGATGTTTGATTCCCATCTGATTCTTCGATACACGCCAGACAGCAACCATACGTTCATGTTCCGTCAGCATTCTGGCGTTGTGTGGTCCGTCGGGTAGGTAGACCACGATAACGAAGCCCCAGAGGAATGTCATAGCCCCGACAATCTGTAAAGGATTAGATGCTGCACCGTCAGGTACTAAAAGATTCCCCTACCAAATAAATCAACTTCCAATTTTCGACAGCGAGGTGTGCTGCATGGCCGCTTCCATACGCAAGCAAGGCACCAAGAATCGAAGAAACTCCGTTTGTCGACAGCCAGAACGAGGTTCGAAGCGCCTGTTCCTCCCTCGTCCATAGCATAGAGGTGAGGTGCACGAAAGCAGGAGATATACAAGCCTCGACCATTCCCAAGACGAAGCGAATGGCAAAGAAGCCGGAGAAGTTGAAAACAGCTGCTTGCAGCATGCAGATAGAACCCCAGACGAAAAGCATATATCCAATCGTCCGGCCAATGGGGAAGCGTTGGAGAAAGACGTTCGAGGGGTATGAGCCGGTCATTTGACCGAAATATAGTGCCGATGCAACCCATGAATAGTCATCTCCCTTCATATGAGTGTCTGCTTGAAGACCGTATGCGTTGGAATAGTTGAGGCTGCGGATGTCAGAGCTGGGACTGGGGCGCGTGGAAGATGACCCACGTCTGTTTGTCGAGAAAGCTTAGCATATAGGTTGTCATCATCTATCATCGTCCAAGAATTAGCCCGTGATCTGTTGAGGATTGATCCAGAGAACCATACCATTGGGATGACCATCCAGTCAAGCTTCCTGCGGACTTTGAGAGCATCTCGTTCAAGTTGAGCTTCGTCAAACTCAAGAGCCTTCTGCAAGAGCTCTTTTCCAAGGACATCGGGGTCATTTGCACTGCCTTTGAGACGGCTAAGGAGGGTTCTAGAAGGCTTCGAAAGAGTATCGGCGGTCGGTTCAATCACCTGGACCGGGGTCTTTTCCACGTCGGCCATCTTGCAAGCGTGGTTCTGACAGAAGTGTAGCACTCGCAGAATCAAGACAGCCGTATCTCATGGCATGCCGGATATATCTTATAGACATGACTTCGATTCCGTCCGGGTTCCGTCGGAGTTACATCGTTATCGGCACTAGACGACCTGGTCATAGCTCTGCGGTACAAGTAGTAGGTGAGATAAGGATCTCGAATGGTAACGGCATGCACGTCCCTGCTTCAAGGATCTTGACGCAGAGGCAAAGGTGTTGTCCGTCTGTCGCCACATGATATCCCAGCTGCTGTTGTCCCTACAATCGTCGAATGCGGAGTTTTGCGACCAAGCCGTGGGGCCCTGGAATGATCTGCGTTAGCTGCGGTTGAGGCTTCAGGCCACACGAGCGCAGAGCAATGTGATTCGGGCGAGGAACAAGCAATCAGTAGCCCCACTCGTTCTATATAAGCCGGTGTGCTTGGCCATCAATTCGTTGTTGATCATGCTGATGTTGTTGAGTTAGTATGCTCCTACAATCCCCTTCTCTTGACAGATATCTCGGAAAGTCCCCGTCCAACTTTGCCTCTTGGCCATAGTGGTGAACGGTACCAATAATACCATGCTCGATAGGGCAAGAGAGGTGCACTGAGAATCAAACCACAATGAATGGCGCCATAGTGAGCCACGTGGGAATATAGGATGATAGGTTCAAGGCACGGGGCCCAGCTGCCAGCTGCCAGCTACCACCTTCGAGTACAAACTGCCGTATCATTGAACGTGGTCGGTCCTTGGCGATCCACCTCGGATTCGATGCCGCAGATAAGAGGATTGTGTATGCGGGAGCAAACAGGAATGTGAGATGTTCTCGCAAATTCGTCCTGGAGGTGGTTGTCGGGGTTCGAAAGGGTCGAATCCTGCATGAGGGTGTGTCATTCTCAGATCTCCATGGGGACATGCAACTGGTCCGCAAAGGACAACGGCAAACGTGGCAAAAAAAGAACACGGTTGTTCAGGGAAAATGGTGCAGGCGAAGGTGGAGGAGTAGGAGATGCAAACTGACATCACGTGCCAGACGGTCCCTTGCCGCGCTTTTTCTCTGGCCTTTTCTGGCGCGCGTCATTGGCACGAATTAGAATAATTGCTTCATTCAGCAACACCTCAGGGAACACGTTTACCTGCCATACTCATCATGTCATAACGCACATCGGAGAGGTTCCTTCTCTGAACCATTACGGAGATCCCTCGACTGATGAAATCATCCAAGTCCCTAAATTATCAACCAAGATGGCGGGCTTCTTTACCTGGTTATGGGACTGGCTGCTGTGGATGTTCTGGGCGACCGAGATGGACGTTGCGATCGTTGGTTTACAAAATGCCGGCAAGACGAGTTTAGTGCGGGTTCTTGCTGTGAGTCAAGTCTATTCTAGTTGGCTGATCTGAAAGCGCCTAACTCCTATCATGTCCAGGGTAATGAATTCACTGTCGACACTGTGCCCACGGTCGCTTTCAACAAGAGGGAGGTCAAAAAGGGCCATGTTTCGATCAAGTGCTGGGATCTCGGAGGCCAACCACGTTATCGATCCATGTGGGAGCGATATTGTCGCGGAGTCAATGCCATTCTCTTCGTGGTTGATGCTGCCGACAAGGATGCCATCCCGGTCGCCCGCGAGGAGCTGCACAATCTCATGGACAGACCTACGCTCAACGCCATCCCCCTCCTCGTTCTAGGCAACAAGTCTGATTTGCCCAACAAGTTATCGGTAGACGAACTGATTGACGCGCTGGACTTGAAATCGATCGTTCATCGCGAGATCAGCTGTTATGGAATCAGCGCAAAGGAAGAAACCAACCTGGAAGCAGTGCTCCAGTGGCTGGTTGCCAGATCTGGGAAGTGAGGACCTCTTTTTGTTTTTGTGTATGGAATTCTGGTACTACACAGCCTTGATGGATCAACGGGACATGATTTTGTACAGCTACAGATTACACAGTATGCATATTGCAGTCCAGCAGAGGAAAATGTCCAGGTTACTCTACTTGTCCACATGTTCTCCGCAAGAATGTTCCAGACGCCTGCTGAGACAGGAAAATGATCGTACTTGTACGAGGAAGAGGTTTATCCACTGGTTCATCACGGTACTGAGAGATGCCTGGCAGACCACAAACAGGCCATTCTCCAGCGCAGCCTGAATGACGCGTAGCCAAGAACGACTCGCATGGGGAGCCCCCAGTGACCCGACCGTGTTGATTGGACGAGCCTCTTAACTGGGTGGCTGGCCGCTGAGGAGCAGGCAAGCAGGGAACCAAGCAGATACCGAGGGGTTGCTTCCGGGGGCAAAAGGCCAATTAGAGTGATGATGCTGCGCCACTTAGGTGCACTAAGACGTTATTTCTCATTCCTTACGTGCAAATTCCCCTCCCCCAAGGCTCTAGCACACCATAGTGACCAGACAGCTGTGGGCATCCCCGACTGCGCCCAGTGCTGCTGCGCCTTCTTGTACATGCCATCACCATACGTTAATTCTTCTTCTGCTCGCCAACTCATCTTTTCACTCTTGCTTGCTATCAAGTACGTACCCTGCCTGATCCCATCATCATCTCATCATTGTGCTTCTTGACTGCGACCCTCTCTCAACTCAAATATCATTTTAGCCTTGTTGATTTGTGTAAGAACTCCGTCCTCTGCGCCCCAGGCTCCAGCGGGAAACTACCGCGGCAAGGAACATTCCATCCGAATCGCCATCATCCACATCGTTTGACATCACCATATCCCACTTCCACACACTTCGTCGTTCACACACACATACGCATACGCACACACAGCAGCCATGAGCCTCAAACTCGTCACCCGACAATATTATGGAGACAACATGTAAGCACTGCCATGCTCGAATCAAAACCTTTATATGCCATTTCCTCTATCCCACTCGCCGCTCGTCGCAACCACTTCCACACACAACAAAACATCCTTTTGCTAACACTATTTCTTCGTTATGGCTAGATGCATCGACAACAACGGTCGCGCATACAGATGCAATTCAGCGTGGTATGACTGGGGTAGATGGGTTGCCCTCGGCATCATAATATTTGGCGCACTTCTCATCTTCTTTATCTTCAGGTGCGCAGACACGTCTAATCACGCATTACCAGATCTTTGCTAACTCTATACAGCTTGTGGAGCGCTCGCCGAAGACGTCGCATGGGTCGACAGCCTCTGTATGGTACGGGATGGACAGGCCGCACTCCTTGGGGTCATGCTCCTGCTCAGTACAACCCTGGCTTCCAGCAAACGCAGCAAGCACCCCCGCCTGCCTACAACCAAACCCAGAATTACGGCGGCTACTACGGCCAAAATCAAGGCTATTTTGGTGGCAGACAGACCGACGTCGAAATGCAACCACCGCAGAACACCTACAGAGGCGGCGACAACGTCTACACTCCCCCCACGGGTCCTCCACCAGCCAAAAAATAATCGAGATTGATTACGGTGTGGGCTCCTCCATGCTCGTGATTTTGTGGGGTTTCCGAATGCACATTTTTAAGAGCTGCGGTCCAGGTGGACTGCTGCCAATACAATATGGATGTTCAAGGTACCAGGAGCTGCGATGAGTGTACGATAGATACAAAGGGGGTGGCTGCTATCGAAACTTTGAAAAGCATGGCAACGGGGAGGACAAGATTCACGAAGAATGTAGCGTCACGAAAACGGACTAATTCATCAATTTCCACAATGTGTGCACGATCTCTCCCACTACTAGAGGTACAAACGTCTGCTAGTCCGGGCTCCTAATGTATATACCCGAAAAACTGTAGCCTCGCACCGGATCGGGTGTGCAGCCCCTGTTCGTAGGCCAGGCTCTCACAAGCGCCGGCGTTTCAGCTGGAATGTGCCCGCAAGATGCAAGCTCGGCAGGGTCAGATCGCCCTGGGGGAAGCCCGCAATGAGCTCCTTGAAGGGTGTCGATTGGTCCGTAGGCGACCCCTGCTTCGACCCAAACCCGCCTCATGGCCTTGTGGCCTTGTTGCTCCGCCTCCTGCGTTACTCGATCCTCTCTCACCTGAGATTCTTTTCATAGCAACTCCGCGAGTGCCCTTTTCTTTGTCTTATGTCCCTCTCTACCACACTCCGTTCCCTCTACGTTATCATCACATTCACTTCGGTTTTCCACGAACTTGAACGACGTTCGTCTACTTCACTCATTCTACACTGTCCGCAGGCCGGCCTCGGTATTTCACACCAGACTCCCAGCCTCCTTTCAACATCCACACTTCCACTCGCTAAACCAGACGAGAGAGATTCCATCGCCCTTCTTCGAACGACTGTGAATGAGTTGACGACATACTATCTTACTCCAAGAGGTCTACCATAGGACATTGACGAAATGGCGTACTCTTTCTACACCCGCGACGTTGTCTCCGAAGTACAATCACTCCCAGATACATTATCCAGCTGGGACAAATGTATGCAAAAGTCCTATTGCAAGTACGTGCCGATAAACCCCTCCCTCTTCTTGCCTTGCTCTAACGTTGACCCAGGTGGCCTGTCATTGCCGCGATTGTCATCGGCTCACTCATACTGCTTTCTGTCCTCTTTTGCATCGCGCGATGCCTCTGCTGTGGGGTTGAGATCTGCTCATGCTGTATGAGCTGTTGTGGCGGCTGTTGTAGGGGAAGTCGAAGTCGTGAGCGTCCTTCGAAATTTAAAGACGACTATACGCGCATGCCCCCTACTCCTTACCAAGGATACCAGCCTACCCCCAGTCCCATGGCGTACGGAAACCCCAACGCACCTCAGTTTGCTACGTTCGATGATCCCAGCACCAAGAGGATGATCAATGAAGATAGTCTGCCACCCATGCCCAGCTGGGACACTGCGACTAAAAGAAGAGTCGAAGACACCAGTGAGCCACCACACCAGAATGCGAATGGGGATCTGGAGATGGGCAGACTCGACACACAACCGCAAAGGATGAGAGGGGGCTATAACAGCGTCCCAAATGGACCCATGTCACCTATCTCATCAAACCCTCAACAAGATTATCCCCGTAACGGAACCGGCATGAACCACTCCTACAACTCCGACTTGGGCGATCAAAGACTTCTGAGCAATAACAGTCAGGAGAACTTCCAGGCAGTCCCGCTCAGCCCACCCCCGACCTATCGTTCCAATTCTCAGGCGCCGTCAGTTACAAGCGGTTCGGACAGATTCATCGCTGGTACCGCCAGTCCGAGCCCTTATGAGTACAATCGGGGCCCTCTGCCACAAACCGGCCCTCAATACCCCTACGCTCCAAATAACGCCATGAACAACCGATACGAACCACCACAGAATGATTACAATTCGCATAGGATCAGTATGCCGAAACCTTACAACCCTGTGCCTTCCCCGCCAATGCAAGCGCCATACCCAGAATCCACTGCATCGCCATATGATGCCCGTCCGCCAAGTTTCTTGCAGGTGGGAAGAAAAGCTGTCCGTGGAAGTACCAGAGAAGTGTAAGGATGGGATTGTTTCTTGATTGACCTGTTTCCCTTGGGGTCTAGATGACTACTGGGCTGTTGGGCGGCACACGCGTCGAATTCGACATCAGCGGGCGACATCGGCGGGCCCATTTATCCCAGATTCTGTTGGCAGCATGTTTTGCTGAGATCAAGCACATGGTGCTGTCTGGATACCAGCCTTTATCACTAACATAGGAATTGGACGGATGCCAACAGTGAGATGTGGTCAACAAGCGGTTGGATTTGAGCTTGAGACCGTAACCAGCGCGGATATATCGCACGCGGTCAAGGTGGACTGCGGACCCTGGGCCGATATGTTCTCCATCGACGCAAGGTTGATCGATATCTCCAAACCTGATGACCAGGAGCTCTAAACAGCAAAAGAACCAACAGCTTTTCACGACCTCAAAAACCGCCCCCCAAAAAGGAATGGAGCAAAGACCAAGAGTGCTCCATAGATGTTGGGCACCATACCCTACATAATCTGTATTTCTACGATTGACGGGCGGTGCTTCAAGTATCTCGCGCGCCCACCCAGCCTCCATTTGTGGGTGCGGGCGTGGGCGTGGGCCCTGTATTATATTTCTATTATACCAGCAATGATTTTCACAGGATCAATAACAATTCCAACATCAACGGCAATCGCACTGGGGGCCGCAATTCAGTATCTTGATCCACGTGCGGTCCTCGTAACATTGCCGTAATGGATGCTTATCTACCTCCTCGGTATATATCTTAGGTTCTTCCATGAACTGAATGTACTGAATATACTGAATGAAGAAAAATCGAATGAACATATTGTATTGCTTCGCTCTCCATGTCTATCCATGTAGCTACTACCTAGCAACTACCTAGCATTCAATGGCCTGAGCACAAAGTATATAGTCTACTCACTGGGAGGCCTGCCCCGCAACGTAAGAATCAATATCATCTACTCGAAGTAAAAGCGAAACTAAAGGGATAAAGAATAAAGGACAAAGGGGAAAAGAGAGAAGAGGAAAAAACCACACACCAAAGGACAAGTAGGTAGTGTGATCTCCATCATAATGTTTCCCTCATCGGCGCTCACGGATCCTCATGGGCAGGGTTGTCTGTGGTGGTTTTACACCGACCGGCGGTGTCAAAGTCACCCTCAAGGTCACCTCGCCTTTCCTCGCACTTCGCATTTTTTCGTACGCGGGGAGCGTGTCACAATTCGTCCTTCGCCGGTGTCTGTTCGCTCTGGTTTCCTGCGGAGTTCGTGTCCGTGCCCGGTATGTCTCTCACCACGACGGGCAACCCCTTGAGCGCGGGGTGTCCTGCGAATCCATCGACGAGCCGCAGAGCCGACGCCTTGCGGAGGAAAGCCACACCCAGAAAAACCTCCGGCTCCCAGGGAACACCTGCTCGCTCGTGGATGGGGGGGAGATCGAAGACGTTGAACGCAATATCCGCAAACTGGTTCAGCGCAACCTTGGGTCCGGCGAGCAAGTTCAGCGAAATTTTCGCGTGTGGTGTAACGTGGAAGGCGGGTGTGCCTAGGGCAGCAGCGCGTTGGTCTTCCTTTGCTATTGGGCTGAGTTTGGACGAAGTAGTCGAGAGGCCCAGGGCAGACAGCATGCCAGATGAGATGTAGTTCTCGGTCAACGCCAGTTCAATGTCTGCGAGGAGAGTGACGGGCTCTTTGGCGTTGTTTTCCACAACTATTGGAAGCGTATCTTGATCCTGACCGGCGAGCTCGGCGGAATGAAACTGAAGCGTTGGTTCCTTGTTGGCAGTTTTGGGACTCGATGCTGCAGTATTGGTAGCCTTGACAGCGTCGATAGCACTAAAGGCGGCATCCGCAAAGATTGTCGTTATAGGAGAGTCGCTTTGATGGACGCCCGGTGAACAATCCCGCCCTTCACAGCGACTTCCAGGATGCAGATGGGCTGGCAAATGATTCCATCGTTGCCCTGTGGGCACAGCGCAACCTCGACCAACGCAGCCTATAGGCCACCAATGCCTGAATCGCTCGAAACCTCTGCAGAAACCATCGGGACAGCCGGCAGAACAGCAAGATTCTGTGACAATCGCAGACGAAGCAGTCGCAGTGCGAGCTGCATCAGGAGGAGGGGTCGTGTCAAAGGGATAAATGCCATTGCATAATCCTAAGGCACAGGTTGGATCACAACAGCCCGAAGCCGACTTTGGATCAAATGTCCTTTCTTCGTCGCGGCTAAAAGAGCTGAAGATTGATTTCACGCTGGCTGTGATGGTAGGGTCGGGTTCTTGCGTCTTGGTAAGCCCAATATTCTTCTGTTTTTGCCCAATCGCAACGGTAGGCCATGACAGCAGCACAGCAAGGAGAGGGAAAAACACTGGAGAAAGCATCTTGGTAACAGCTATGAGGTGGGGGAGTAAATGGTTTGGTCGATAGTGTTTGGATCAGGCCAAAGGTTCAAGAATCTGCGAGCCATTTATACTTGGTGTGAACGCAATGACCCTTGATATCAATGCATGGATGGAAATAGATTTCACCGCTTCAAAGGTTCCTGGAAGCATAAACTGAACCAACAAGGACGTGATACAGTTTGGGCCGCCTTACGAAACTGCTCATGGGTTGTCCAGACAAGCACAAAGTGCTTAGTTTTGCGAGTTTTCGGTCAATACCGAACACACCGGGGCGCAATGTCAAACGGCAAAAGACACAGCCATGAAAAGGCTTAGTCGATGAAGCAACGGCGACAAGAGATCCCCGGCTCAGACGCCATTGGTTGATTCGAGTATATCCTGGTGAACTTTATTTAGGATGGCCATGTGGTACGTCGACTTGTCTGGTCGATGCAGAGGAGCTGAACGCTTTCACATGCAAGTTCAAGACAACAGGGACATCCCCTGATGAGGCTGCTGACTTGCAGTGAACAGCGAAGGTTTTGTGCCTCGCGGTGCCAGCTGAACATTAGGCAACAAAAAGCACCGGAAGCTCAACCATTGATCGTGAGATCTGATATCTCATTGGTTGATCCGCTGAATCGTCCAGGGCGCCTGAACAGGCCGGCCTGTAACGTTGATCCTCAACAGAAGCGCAAGACTGTTCAACCACTGGGGTAACAAAGGGGAAACCCCGTGCCGTAGTTCACGCAGGCCACCGTTATCCGTAGAAAGTTCCGCAACCCTGGCTCATCTACGCGCTGCGTACGCGTTGATTTAGGACTAGATCAGTTGTGGACGGCTCGCTTGTGTAGTGTTCTCAGAGGGATGGCAGAGTTCGATACGCGCTATGGGATGAGTTGCCTTCTGCTCGATACCTTGACAGCTGGGCTGTGCCCTCACCTATTGTTGGCTCTTTCTCCGATTGGTGTCATAGCATGACACCAAACTCGAAACCCTGTTGTGCGCTCCCATCGACAAGAATGCGCCTCGTCTCTTGCTTGAGAAGCTGATTCACGTCCTCCCTCGAAGTGGTTCCGCCGGTTGATGCTTCCATTCGCTTGTCTCCAAAGGCAGCCTGAGACAACCCAAGCAAGCTCAGTTTCGCTGCGATACTGCGAACGTTACCGCGGGATGCCCAGTATGCTTGGAAGGCCAGTATCAGCCCAAGCAAGGGATAGCAGAAACTCCATGCCACCAGTATCGCTAGTGGTGGAACGGGCACTTTGGAAAGCAGCATATGTTCACGCTGTTGTTGGCCAAGGGCAAGACGGCCTGTAGTGTATCCGCCAATGTTTGCTAGGACCTTGGTAGAGTATAGACTTCCAAATTTCTGGAGAAAAGACTCAGTCGTGTCTCCAGCCAATGCAGACTGTGTGAGGAAATCTTGTAGAGCAGGATCACCACCACTGATAGTCGCGTACAGTAGGTTTCCGTGGAAAATCTCCAGGATGCTGCCATTGCCGGTCGGCACCGCGTGGATATTCCGCAGCGCACCGTCAACCCAGGTATACGAGATGTCGTATGACGCCACGGCACAATTGAGAATGAAATCCAGGACGCCATCAGAGATAAAAGTGGCGTCTGTGTTGTTTGCCATCATTTCATTGCCAGACACAAATTGTCCACTTGTAGTTGAAATTCGCGCGGCGATGCCGATATAGAACGGATTCACCAAGTCAGAGTTGGGATATGGAGAAATGCTCAAGTCGAAGGCGCCCGAGTCATTGTAGCCAACAGTGTTGTAAATGTTTCTCATTCCTGAATCGTTGAAAAACGAGTACATCAGGTTGGCAGCCCCTTTGTACATCAAGAATGAACGATACGGATCCGGAGGGCGTAGATTATTGAGGTTTGTGCTCACGATTGGTGGCATCCCGATAGTGCCGTGAAACATATCGGTGCAGCTGAAGTTGGTGTAGTAATCATCCCAAAGTACCATGCCGCAGCTGGATGGGTTGACAAAGCGACAAGTTGTCGATATCCCGATAGTCGATGCTTCGTAATCAGTATTGGGAACCATCGTCTGTTGCTGGGGAATGAGGTATGCTAGCTCGGCCCCTGGGATGTCTTCCGTCGCCGTGATTCGAATCTCTGAAAGTTGCGAAGTGTTGTGGAAGAGCCGATTCGTTTCTGTAGCTTCAAAGTTTGCATTCGGGTCGACTACTCCGGAGTCGGTCGTGTCGGAACAAGGCAGTCCCACAAAAGTTCGGTTGAAGGTCAAGCAGAACTCAGAAAGACCGCGACCAAATTCCTGGGTTGGTTCTGGCGGAATCAAGATCTGATCAACCTCAACAGTCGACGTCGTGTAATGCAGGACGGTATCCGCTATGAACACCCCGACAGCCAACAGCAAACTCAGGAGCATCATCGAGGCGGCACAGTGTAAAACCGGGGGGATGCTGGGTCTTCGCCGGCGGACAAGGTACCAGAGATACGACCGAAATTGCTGTGCAGACGCGACCAAGATACCGATGAGCAAACTCATTTGAAATGGCGTTGGTAGGTCCAGATATTTTGCTTCTCTGGAGGCATCGCGCAATTTCCGAGACACGGTAAGCGCAAACACTGACAAGATGAACGAACCCAGCAGAGGTGCCACCGTAGACAGAAAACTGGCTACGAAAACCAATCGGGCTAGAGAAGTCAGTGTTGGGCAACAGCGTTGACAATGCCCGCAAACTCACTCGCAGAAAAGTTGACCAGAACAAATCCAGGCTCATGTAGTGTCGCTTCCGTAGGCTTGAATAGATTTGGGACAGGAACGACTCGGTACATATAAACCAGAGCAAGCAAAGTACCAGCCAACAGAGCGATAGGGATGCAAATGACTGCTGCGGGGAGTAAAATTGTTTGGATGAGGTTTTCATTTGGGAGTAACTCTGGATCGAAGCGACACTCTTCTTCGGGTGTGTCATACTGTCGTCGTATGAAGGACTGTCTGATATCGTTCTGCTCAAGAGGTATCTCGTTTTGAAAGTCTAGAGACTGACTCCGAGTCCTCTCCCCCGTTATCTCCTCTTGTGAAGGGATATGTAAGCTGTGCCTATTCGTGAGAAAGGTAGCGACTCGCTCCGAGAAGGAAACGAGATTCTTGGGACGTCTATTATCGCTCTCCATGGCATACCATTTCAAGGTGAACCAGACAACACAAAATGAAGGATGTGACCGAGACGGATGATATATGAAGTCGAGCACGAAAACAGATATCTTACCTGGTTCACAGTCAAACTTAGCTGATCTATACATTTGAAGCCACTCTTCATCTGGAGTGTAAAAGCATATCTTGATGGCGCAAGGCAGGGTGCAGCCGGTAACGTGGCGCTGAACGTCAGCCTCACACGGGCTGAAGGGCACGGAGTATCTTCACTGGTTGGACTTGGGACGCCCCGTGTATAGCTGTGGAACATTGATATTGAACCAGTGGCTCCCAGCTGCGATGGCACGATGGGTCAGGCAGAAGAGCCACAACCTGCATATACGACCCGCTGTTCCAATGACGAACGAGTGATGAGCAGAACTTTTGGATCGTGATACCAGGGTCTTTTGGTGGCCAGTTGGAGGAATGGCATCTTTTCCGGCGTCAAATCCACCAGCATGAACAAGGGTTGACGTGAGGGGCTGTTGCCGACCGGCGAAAGCGACAGTGCTGACTGGCTTCTCGGCCTCCTGGCCTCGGGCTTGCTTTTGCCATGTCGTCAACCCGAATACGCGGAGGGAAATTCTGGGTTGGCAATAGTAGTGCAGAAGAGGATGAGTCGAAACCGAGTTCGGACGCGTCGTGCAGTTTGAAGTTGGGAGGACGAGAAGGGATTGAAGGCGAGCAAGTGAGCGCAGACAGCCAAGTTCCGGAGCAGAGCACGTGACGGGCACCTAACGAGACGCAGGCGCCATTCAAGACGCGCAGCTTCAGCGTCCAAAGCACCCAAGCAGCATCACCTCAGTCTCTCAATCATCATCCCTCTTCTGCCTTACTCCAGCTCCCCGTTTGTTTCTTTCTTGCTTCTGTACCAACACACACTTCTTCGACTCTTGTATTTTGTGAGAACTTTCCAACTTGGACCCCAGAGCAATCAAACACTTTCCACCCTCTGTAACCATGGACACACTCGTTGCCCAATACACTCAGTCTCCCTTCACCAACGAAGGTTTCACATCAGAAGACCATAATGACTATTGCGAAACGCTACCTCCTCTTTCCCTTAAATTCGCCCTGCCGCCCGTACCGCGTCCTTCTGCCTTTCTGCGAGCAGCGACCGATGATTACTCGAATCCGAATTGCCCGATCAAGATTGCCCACGGTACCACCACCTTAGCTTTCCGGTTCAAAGGAGGAATCATCGTCGCAACGGACTCAAGAGCCACCGCTGGAAACTGGATTGCTTCGCAGACAGTCAAGAAGGTCATTGAGATTAATCCGATGTTGCTGGGTACTATGGCCGGTGGAGCTGCGGTAGGTTGACTCCTGCATTTGTCTTGGGACGTCTATTAACACCATCAGGACTGCCAATACTGGCTTGCTTACCTCGGTGTCCAATGTCGCTTACACGAACTTCACCACAAGCGCCGCATCTCCGTCGCCGCAGCCTCCAAGATTCTAGCAAACCTAGTGTATTCTTACAAAGGAATGGGATTATCTATGGGAACTATGATTACGGGAGTGACACCGCAAGAGGGGCCTGCGCTCTACTATATTGACTCGGATGGCACGCGGTTGTCGGGCAATCTCTTCTGTGTTGGATCAGGTCAAACTTTCGCTTATGGTGTTCTGGATGCTCTCTACAAATACGACCTGGAAGATGACGAGGCTTTGGAGCTGGGCAGAAGGAGTATTTTGGCGGCTACCCACCGAGATGCCTATTCAGGTGGTTACATCAATCTTTACCACGTCAAGGAGGATGGTTGGGTCAAGCATGGCTTCTCCGACACGAACCCTATTTTCTGGGAGACTAAACTGCAGAAGGGCGAGTTTTCCAACGTCACCAGCGAGTTGATCTGAGGCGATGGTGTGAAGTGAAAGGAGGATCTTGCACGTTAGATGCCGGGCGTTGGACAGGGGCAGAAGGGACTGTATCAACCTGCTGAATCAGTGTGTACTAGAAGGCTTTTCAAAGGCTTTTTGCCCAGTGTATTACAAATGCTGGGAGCCAGAACAAGGCGATTATGCAACGCAGAATACCTCCATCCGCTTGTCGCTGGTATCGTCAACCTGGATTTTTCCGTGTGTCTTTCAGGTGGAAGCTCGTGTCCCTCACCGCACTGACACTGTGAGGCCCAAACTGCGGAAGCTGATGGCGACATGTAGAGGGCCCAAGGCAACTCGTCATGCTCTAATTATCAAGTGATAGAACTCTCAGAGAGTCCGTCTCTTCTGCCGTCTTTAATGGTGACCCATCTAGTGGCCTTCGTGCCTACTCCTTGCCCCGGGCCTTAAGCACAACGTCCAAGCGGCGCTGTTCGTCCGTGTTCAACAACCACTGCAATTCCTCCCTGTGTGCCTTGTCCAGCCCCTCGGCCATTTGCTCCGCTGTCATAAAGTCGTGGTCCGCATAGTCAAACCCCGGGACCACCGTCTCGCTAATTAACAGGCCTTGCTCACTTTCGTCCCCCCCTTCTTTGTCGGGGAGCAGAAAACTCGCCTTGAACTTGCCACCCTCGACGATCCACTGGACTCTTTCTCCCTTTTCAATGTCCTTCCCAACTACAAAGGTCTCAATGGGGACTTCCTGCCCTCTGGCAGAATCCCTCTGGTCGAAATGTAAAATGACATAGCGTCCTCGGCCCCAGTGTAGGGTGTGTACTGTCCGACCCCTATTACGATGGAACCGGCCCACGGGGCTCTTCGGGCCCAAGAAATAGTAGATGGTCGTCGATGCGTGCCTCGTCTCAGATGTGTCCTTGGAAGTGGCGTTGGTCAACTGTGGAAGGTTCTTGAATGGGTTGGGCACAAGGAGCGGGTCGCGGTCTGTTTCGCAGAAGTAGCCACCCTCAATGTGCGATTGGAGCTGAAGAGTGGTGATAGTTCGTGACATAGACTGAGGTTCGGTGGCCGGTGGTGACGAAAGGAGGGTGCGGGCATAGCGCGTATCGTCCGCTGGGATTATGGACATTGTTTTCTTGGCCCTTTGAGAATTCCCGGCTAGCATACGAAATGGTCGATGGGATAATTCGGAATTTGTTGCACTTGCTAGAGCCGGTGTGGATGTTTGACGCCCTTTTAGATATCCCTCTAGTTCTCACGAAAGAGCCAATACCTGATCAAGTTTTGCCTGTAATGTAATATTTCGTAAAGGGCCCTTGGATCGATTTGTGGAGGAATTGAGGATATAGTATGTGTCGTAATAGACAGACAATTGAGTGAATCTTATGCTTATGCAAGCCCAGTCTCCGGATTTGATGGGATGTCTTGGTGCCGTGCATATAAAGCTTGGATGGCCTGAGTGGTTAGATCCACCCCCGATACATGTGGGTGATCCGATTGGGATTCAAAGGAGTGGGACCATCAATGCTGCCAGACATCCAGACTAGCCCTCAGCAACTTGTGTTTTGTAGCATTCTACCTTGCTCGTATGTCAACTCCCCGGCATGGCTGAGCGTCTCCATATCACTACCGCCGCTGCGGCTGCGCATACCACCACCCCCAGAGCTAGCCCATACCTCATCAACTGCCCATCATCATCTTCTTGTAGTGGCCGTGGGTATGCTGTCACTGGCTCCAAGCCAGCTTCAGAAATGACCACGAACAGCTCTTGAATTGAAGGCCAAGTAACACTGGTAGATATGGGAGGTCCTTGTGGCATGCGCTGGACTTGAGCAACATACTCATCCGGCTGGTTTTCGGATCTTTGGGTGGTTCGGTCGAGGTCGGCTTTCAGAGCGACGTACACTGACGGCAGATCTTCCAGGTGGGGGTACGTCTTCCGGATGTTTGGAATGTATGCAAACGAGTCTGGATCGGACGAGTCGTAGGCGTACACAATTACGTCGCACTGGTCCAGAAGTTTGCTCTTGTTCTCCAGAACAGCCGCCTCGGATTCCCCCAATTCCTTCAGTATGAGGTAACATTGCCTTCCGCCAGGCAGTTCCACAGTGTTGACGGCCACGCGAGGCTGGATAGTGGGATGATAGAGGTTGTTGAATGGCTGGGCCAAGAATGCGTCCAGCAAAGCAGACTTACCAGACTGAGGAGCACCCAGAACGTGAGCAAGGAGGACATTCCGGCCTACTCGACCTGGTCTCCGCCTTCGCTTGCGGGGTTTCGTCAACTTCAAAGCAGCCGTTGTGCTCGTATTAGAACGATCTGTTGATTCGAAGCCCAGATATGCGAGGTATTCCAATGTGGTCTTTGGAGAGGTAAATGTGGTCATGGACCACTGTGCAAGCCAGCCTTGTAGAGTGACATGGCCAGCATCATTCCTCATTGTGCATGAAGGGAAGTTGTTGTCGATCCATATTTGTGGAATCCCAGGCGTTGGAGCAAACAAAGAGGCCAGCTCTTCATCTCTCAGACCACCATCATTGTCTCGATCGGAAGTCAGGAACAGATCGACCAAGAAGCGATAACCAGCCGGAGACAGTTCGGCAGAAGCATATTCAGGCACTTCGAACTTGGGATGCAAAAATGACTCTTCTAGAGACAGGCTATCAGTGTACTGAAACGTCCGTAATATGACCCAGATGGTCTCATGACGTCCTTTTTCAGCGTAGAGTTTGTTGAGGAGAAGGAAGCCCTGAGAAGTGATGCCTCTCGTGGAAGCGGCTCCTGGAATATGGTTGTCGATGGTTTCTTTGATATGCTGCAGATCTTCAGAGCTCAACCCTTTGTCAAAGCATTTGACCTGAAAATCTTCCATCTCTTTATCGTTCAGAAGCCCATCCTTGTCCTTGTCGCAGAGGTAGAATATGCGAAGCAACGCAGCTACGGCGGCAGGTTTGAGGACCGATTCTTTTGCATCAAACAGAGGAGCGATCGGATGGGTGACAGCTTTCTGGCAGAGAAAGAATGCTTCATTGACATTGAAGTGATCACGGGCGCTAGTTCGTATACATGAATCAATCTCTTTAAACTCTGACATGACCGGTAACATTTCCTCCTCGACTATCTGAGCGGAAGTAGACGTCGTGATCAGGTCGGACTTATTTGCGCACAGGATAACAGGCAGATTGACGCCCAACGAACGAAAGTAGGGCAGCCAGAACAGAGCGACCCTTTCATAGCTGTAGTGGTCTGAATAGACGAGAAGGATGACATTGGACTTTCTCAGCTCTTTGGCTAGGGTTGCACGATCTTGTGGGAGAGCAGAGGTGTCGACAATTACCGTGGTAACATTTTCAGGAGTGCCCAGGGTCGGCGGGATTGTGATTTGAGGCAGAACAGCTTGAATCCTGGTGCTCACAAAGGTGTCTTTTACGAGAGAGGTGATGAGGCTGGACTTACCACAGCCCTCATCGCCGCAGACGCATATTCTGACGGTGGCCATCTCTCTCTTTTATGCAGAGAGGTAGAGGGTGGTCTCAAAGGTCCATTGTTTTGCGCCCGTCACGGCAGCTTCGGTCTCGGGCAGTGGAGAACCGTTGAATGCGGAGACGCGTACTTTTTAGGATCCAGATCGGCGGAAACGTGGGCAGAGCGATACGGACGAGAGACTCGAGGACGTAGGAGGCGTGTAAGGCGGGCAAATAATTCAGGAATCCCTTGAACGAGAAACTTCGAGCCTGCGCCTCAGAAGCGACGAAATCGACCCTGCGAAATGCCAAGCCGATGACGGAACAAGCTGCAGGCGTGGCAGGCAACTGACCACCAACCTGACAGCCGACGCTAAAACGTCCCGCCTTTTCCAGAGGAACCTTCGCTCGCTTCCTTGCCTCCACGGTTCTACTATCCATGACTTTTTCTCGCAGGAAAGTCCGCAGTTGATCTCCTTGACTTCCAAGCTGCTGCCTGTGTATATTACTCCCGACTCTCCCTACGAGCCTCCTAACATACAACCTGCCTTGCGTTTCAGTGAGCCGACCTCGGACGCGAGCCTTAGGAGCCCACTTCAGCTCACCACCCCCCACACCGAGGTTCTTGTCTATTCAGCCCGTCCAGTTCCGACTTGCGTGTTCCCATCTTTGCACTCCAATCCAACCATCTTGATTATACATCGGCTCAAGGTCACGATCTGGACCTGAGCACACGACCAGTCAGACGAGAAGGCAAGCTTCCACCACAGGGTCCTCCAACATGCCGTTCGGAATCAATAACCCGCTACCCTCGTCGATGAGGAGTAAGTGAAAGCTGCCTACTTTCGGGTCCCCATATTTACACAGTTTCCAGGCGAGTGCAAGAAGGCCGGCAAAATCCTCGCATCTTTTGTCGACCCCAGACAGAGCTTTGGACCTGATAAAGTCATCCCACCCTCCATCCTCGCAAGCGCAAAGGTCAGGCTTCTTTGAACTACTCGTGGTCACGGCTGACGGATTTTAGGGCCTTGCAGTTTTGACCGTTTTTAAAGCTGGCTTCCTAGGTTCTGGTCGACTTGGGTCCGGCGTGGTCGTCGCACGACTAGCCGATGGCTCTTGGTCTGCTCCTTCGGCTATCGCAACTGCTGGTGGCGGTTTCGGTGGTCAGATTGGCTTCGAATTGACCGATTTCGTCTTCATCCTCAACGACTACAACGCCGTCCGAGCCTTCTCACAATCCGCCTCCGTGACCCTCGGTGGGAACGTCTCCATTGCTGCGGGGCCCGTTGGACGAAACGCCGAAGCGGCGGGGGCTGCGAGCTTGAAGGGTGTGGCGGGAGTGTTCTCCTACAGCAAGACAAAAGGCTTGTTCGCAGGTGTCAGTCTGGAGGGCAGTGTCCTGATTGAGAGAAGAGACGCCAATGAAAAACTCTACAATGGCCGCGTCACGGCTAAACAACTCCTCGAGGGTGCTGTCAGGCCACCCCCTGCCGCAGATCCCTTGATGAGAGTCCTCAACACCCGTGTCTTCTCGGGTTCTGGCTACAACGATAACAGCATGTACAATGACATGCCTATTTATGACGACCAACATGATGATGTTGTCTGGGAGGGCAGAACTGGCGATGCCTACGGGGCGAATGTGCGCAACAACCGGTCTTCCACAGTCACTTCAGCAGACGACAACTACGTTTACCGCGACAACCCTAACCCCCGACGAGCCAATACCTGGGCTGATGATGTTTACGACCGAGCACCTGCTGGCCGGAACAATGGCACACCCGACGCTTTCTCCAGCCGCAGTCGGTCGAGCACGTTGCAGAATGATTACAGTTACTCCGACAACAAGCCTACCAGACCTACGGCCCCGAAACCAGTCTTCAGACAGCGAACTGGGTCGCTACGCCCTGACCAAGCCATTGCTCTATTCACCTTTGATGCGGACCAAGAAGGCGACTTGGGCTTCAAGAAAGGGGACATCATCACCATCACAAAGAGAACAGAAAACAAGACCGATTGGTGGACAGGACGGACCGAAGATGGACGGACAGGAATCTTCCCTTCCAACTACGTCGAAACGGCTTCATGAGCCGATCAAACTTGCGATCTGACTTTGAACTGGATGGTTGGCGACAAAATGGCATTTATACCCTCTTGATTTTGCTGTTTGGTCCATTTAGCGGCGGAGTTTGCACCAAACTTTCCTTCAGCATCTCTGGGACTGGGGGTAGGAGTATCTGAACAGGGGGTTGGCGCACTTGATCTTGTGGTAGACGAACAAAATGAGGACATGATACACTCTCAAACACTCCATTTTCCGGTGCCTCTTGGGTGCCTCTCGTCCTTGGCTTGCTGACCGTTTGCTTGCAGATTGCGTCGGTGGCTGTTGACCCGAATTGGCCGCTGCCAATGCTGATCCCCTGCAGATCTTCCTCCACATGGTTTCCACTTCTCCTCGTTTGCCCTCCGCAATTGTCAACCATATGCCGTCGACCTGCAATCACACCCCTACCGTGTTGACTTAGCTCTCAACGTCATGAAGTCGAATCCAATCGTTTCCAACAGGTATGACTGCAGGGTTGCAGAAATGCAACCTCAGGTCTGGGGTGCTATGCCATGGACTCGCCGGTCCTGGGACACGGTCGAGCTCTTGAGTACCACGATATATACTCTGGATCAGGTAGGAATCCATTGTTCATTTGCTTCGCCTATGTTCTCCTCTCGCCATCGAGACTATTGATCGCCAGACACCCGTTCAAAAACTTTTTCGTAATTCTTTCCACAACGAGGCCTGCAATGGCTAGGAGGAAATCGGGATTTTTCAAACACACCACCCTGAAGGTGCGAGATGACTCTGTCACTAGGGCATCGGAACTCTCAGTTCGACAATCCATATTGCCCATCATCCTTGTCACGACTCTTTACTTCCTCTGGGTATGAGATCGATCCCCTCCACATATCGAGCATCCTGCAAGGCCACTGACTAGGAAACATCACAGGGATTCGCCTATGGTCTTCTCGACACCTTGAATAAACACTTTCAAGGCGTGCTGGGCATCTCTCGTGCCCGCTCGTCTGGTCTTCAAGCAGCCTATTTCGGCGCCTATCCATTGGCCTCTCTGGGCTATGCGAACTGGATCCTCCGCCACTTCAGCTACAAAGCCGTGTTCATGTTTGGCCTGACCCTGTATGGCATTGGGGGACTCCTCATGTGGCCTGCTGGTCTCAAGAGATCGTTTGGAGGATTCTGTGGCGCAACCTTCATTATCGGATCAGGTCTGGGCAGCCTCGAAACCGCCGCGAACCCGTTCATCGCAGTGTGCGGACCGCCCAAATACTCGGAACTGCGTATAAATCTGGCACAGTCGTTCAACGCTGTGGGAACGGTGGTCGGGCCGGTGCTGGGGAGCTACGCCTTCTTCAAAAACACAGGCGATGACCTGCAGAGCTTGAGGAACGTACAATGGGTGTATCTCGCCATTGCCATATTTGTCTTTATCCTCGCGTTCGTGTTTTACATCTCGCCCATCCCAGAGGTTACAGACGCGGACATGGAGCACCAGGTTGCCATTACTCATGACGGATTGGAGGAGAGGAACAAGAGACCATTTTGGAAACAATATGTGCGTTTGTTGGTTCCGATTTCCTGTTAGTCTTCCGCTTTGCTCTGTCCGGGCTAACGAAGGCCTTACCTTGCGCCAATATAGACCGTCTTCCATGCGGCATTCTCTCAATTCTGCTACGTTGGGTCACAAGTTGCTTTGGCAGGGTATGTCAACCACGAACAAGACTGCAAGATGCTCACCCCCAACCACAACACCACCCCTTCCCTCTCAATCCCGGCTCGGTAACTAAAGCTCTTGCTTCCAACAGATATGCCATAAACTACTTCACCGAGATCGCACCGGTGTCGAACGCGACGGGTGCGGCTCTGCTCGCCGGCGCGCAGGGGTGTTTCGCCGTGGGCCGGTTCTCGGGCTCGCTGTTCATGCGCTTCATCCGCCCGCGCTGGATCTTTCTCTTCTACCTGACGGCGGTGATCGCGTTCTGCTCGGCGGCCATCACGGAGCGGCGAAACACGGGCATCGCCATGTTCATGCTGACCCTGTTCTTCGAGTCGGTGTGTTTCCCGACCATCGTGGCGCTGGGAATTCGAGGGCAGGGCAGACATACCAAGCGAGCAGCGGGCTGGATTGTTGGTAAGATATCACCACGCTCATCAATTCCCCGGTTCTTCGATGCCTTGCTCATCATCAACTCCCCCACATGAGACCTGAACCCCTTCTTTTTTTTCTATTTCCTCTTCCTTCTGCTTGGTTATATGACTAACCACATCTCCTTTTCTTTCCCAACCGAACAGGCGGCGTCTGCGGCGGCGCGGCTGTCCCGCCCCTCCTCGGCGCCACCGCCGACTGGCACAACAGCACGCCCTTCGCCCTCGTGGTGCCCGTGTGCTTCTTCATCGCGAGCTGGACCTACGCCCTCTGCGTCAACTTTGTGCCCTACTACCGCATCCCTGCCGACGCGATCGGCGAGTCCGACATCGGACTGGACCAGAGGGGCGACGCCCGCGCGAGTGGCGCCGACGTGGACGTGCATGCGCACGGCGCTGGTTACGGCGACGGAGTCGGAGACGGAGACGTCGAAAAAGTCGGCGCCGTGCAGATTGAGCGTGGCGGGAAAGATGATGTGGTGGATACCTAGGTATTGTCATTCAGAGATAGAGAGAGCGACGGTGGACGAAAAGGCTGCAAGTTGCGTGCGTGCGTGCGTGGGAAGCAAGAAATGAATGAATATGGCAACGGAAAGGAAACCTTTACTACCTAGGTAAGGGTAAGTAAGGGTAAGGGTAAGGGTAATGACGATGCTCATTATATGCTAGGTAAAGATAGCTGGCATTCGAATTGTTCAAGGACTTCAGGAGTTCAATGGACAGATACGATACCATTGATCTTTCTATCCATAGGGGATATCATGATGGAGAGGAAACAAGTCGACACAAGCTGAGTGCCCATTTCGATCCAAAGAGTACATAATGTAGGCTAAGGTCCCGCATGACTCTGTCTATCCCAAACACGTCGTCTCAATCACCACGACTCTTCCACCCCCTTGGCTCGCTGCCGCTCCTTGCCTTTCGTTTTCAACATTTGTCCAATCATAAAGTGATTTACATCCTCGTCCGCCCAGTAACTCAAGTGGCTTGCGATACTAGCGAGCAGAGACACGTCAAACATGCCCTCTTGAATGTGATAATCGACTCGTCCGTTGCTGTTCAAGGCTCGGACCTTGGCTTCTTCACGCTTGAGTTTCCTCGCTCGCTCCTGCGATTGGCGGAACTCGGTTGAAGTCCGTGCCTGGGCCTCGTCGTCCGCGGCGTCGGCGGCGACTTGCAGTTTCTGAAAGCCCGTATAGAGTGTCTCCATTTCAGAGTCGATCAGGGTAGGTGCGTGTTCTGTGGACGGGGAGGATTTGGCCGCCTCAGCAACATCTTGCTGCTTTTTCTCATCTGCCACAGGTATGTCGAGTTGAACAGTCGCCTGGGCACCTTCTTTGGCTGCGTTCACGGCTTTGGCCTTGTCCTGAGACAGCGCTTGCTCCTCACCGGTAATGCCCAGGCTTCTATTAATCAGACTGGATGCCACACCTGAGGTAAGATTGTACCAGCTCGACATGATTTGCTGGCTGACCCGTTCAGAAATATTTGAAATCCCGGGAGCGGCAAAAAGATTTTTCTTGGTGTAGGGGATCGGTTGAGGCTTCAGCTGCGCCATTGCTGGTGAAATGAGGGGTTCCATGCGATAGGCTATAGGATCTGTGGGATGGAAGATATTGAACAGTTCGTTGCATTTGGGTGAAGAGGTAGTAATGGGTATTAGACCGGAAGAGCTGTTGCCGGCGTTCATTTTCGATGCAACACTATCGAAGGGATGGTTGTTCATGGGGTCGGGGTCAAACGGCGATGTGGGCACGACAGTGGCTCCAAATGCACTGGCACCCGCTGAAGGTCGTGCAGAAATCATTCTGCCCTTGAGCATCTGGAAGAGACCAACCGGCGAACCAAGGGCAAAGAAGTTCTCCACATCAAAGTCGAGACGAAGCTCGTTTTGTTCAATACCGTGCTCCCGTGATGTTTTGCTCGATACCCGTCTTGGTCGTGTCTTTAGGTCTTCTTCCTGTCTGCATAGAAGATCAAAGCAAATCGCACTCCCAAGGGAATGTCCACAGAAGCTAACCTTTCCCGAGAAACCGGTCCGTTCTTTGAAGAGGCGATAGACTCGATTGGCCTCCTTTTGTACAATCGATGTGATGTGTTCTCTGTAAGCACTTTGGTATAGGAGAACATCCAGAGCCAAATCGGTGATCAAATTGCGAACCGCTGGTACACCGTCCACCGTGATGTCCTGCAACGAAGGATAATCATCATCGAACAAGGCATCAGCATCTCCAATGTCGTATTCTTTGCGGCTTTGCTTCAGACTTTGCTTGGGGAAATCGAGCTCGTGTCTCCAACAGATGGGAAGGACCTGAACTCTGCAATTTTTGGGATCCCCGCTCAGGGCTTGTAAGTCGGGAGCAGTTTCGTAGACGACCTTCATAGACTTGCGCAGAGTATTGACATCATGGACAAAGTTGATGCTGTCGAGACGAAGACCGAGCCGTTGGCCGATGCCGTGCGTTACAAGCACCAAGTGGTCAATTTGTCTCGCTTGATCTTCTCCATCTCTTTCCCTTGCGTCTTCCATTTCGCGTTCCTCTTCTTCTCTAGCTTCTTCTTCTTCACCCAAGTAGTTAGAGTCGTCTACCTTGGGAAGACCTGCCAGCGACGAGATCTGGCGCTCTAAGGCCGTCCGCCGAGGTTTCTCGACGTTGTCCTTGTTCATCACCTGAATCTTATCCTCTCCGACGTTAGGTGTGGCCTCTGAAGGCAATTTAGCAGATTTTCGCTTCTCTTTGGTGCTTGTTGCCTCCGTCGACTTTGAGTCATCCTTTTGCTCGCCTTTTGGTGGATCGGCGAGCTTTGTATCAGACCATCCACGCACTACCTTTGTGCCACCATATCCAATGAACCTGCCGTAAACTGTACTGCTAACCCGCGAGAGGAAATCATCCGTTGTCAGATAGGCTACGGTATCGTCCATGTATGTGACTGTTGTATTCATGTGAGTTCCGAACAAGCGATATGTGTTTGGACTGGCAGAGAAACTGTCGTCCTGTGAGGGGGGCGGCTTGCCCAGCGATGGAGAGGCTGAGCTATCTATAACTGCCGAGTTGGGTCGAGATCTAGGCTGGGAGGCTGAACGAGGAGATTGTAGGTTTGAACGTCTCCATGGTGCCACTTTGATATAGCCTTCTTCCAGTTGATTCGCCAGATTCTCATCACAAGGTCTCAATGGGTTTTCGGCGAAAAACCAGGTACCTCTGCGGACCTCATAGACAGGCCCTAACCAGTAGGCCGGGAGAAGTTCACGCTTCTCAACGTCGACATCATACAAATAGTCTTCGTTGACAGGTACGGTGGTGGCGGGCGGAGGCTCGGCTGTCCTATCCTTGTTCTGGTTCCTTTGAGCAAGGTTCTGATATGCCTTCTCGATGCTCTGGGAGTCTGACGTTGAAAAAGGTACCAGTTTCTTTGGAACTGGTGGGGGTTTGGCCTTTTCTTCAGGTGTTGGTTCTGGAGCGAAAGGTTTCCGTTTGGCCACGTCAATTGCGTAATACCACCGGGGCTTGAGAGCGGGACAATCCTTGGGATACCTTCGGAGACTTGGAGATGGGTTTAGATTGACAGTATGGTCGAGGCCGGACGACTGTCTAAGAGCTGGTGATGCATCACTCGGTTTCGGCAGCGGTGACTTCGGCGGAGGGGTACTGCTTCGTGACCAAGAGAAGATTGAGCTCGCCAGAGAGGACTTGTTGGCTGCTTCAGCCATGCCCCTACGGACAGCCCTGATCAGGGCTGGAAATCGATCCAATATGATAGCATGTAATTGGACGCCTTATCTAGGAGAAGGGGGAGGCAAGGCTGCGGGTTAGCAAAACGGGACGCGCGGGAGAGGGACGCGGTCTTCGGGATGAATTTTGCAACAGGTTATGCCGTAAGGTATAGAAGTGGTCTGGGATAAGATGTCTTATCTAATAGTGATTTGAGGGATGTGATACAAGGGCTGAAGATGGTCAAAGAATCGAGTTTGATGATGGAAGCTGTAGAAAGACCAGCTCGCAGCTTGCCAGCGGTGACCTTCGGTGATGCAACAACCCAGGCCAAAACAATGGCAGCCTTGCCAAGCTCCGCGCTAGCCTTGCAACATTTTCCCTCCGGAGTGTCTTTAGCTAGAGCCTAAGCCTAGTGCCTAGGGGCCTAAGCACGCCTGGTGAGCCTCAGCTGGGCATGACTAAGGAAAACTGCGCCACCGCTGCGTCATGGCAGGGAATTTGGTGAACTGGTGCCCCCCCCCCTAAGAAGACAGATGCCCAATCGATCCGGGCTTACTGTCTATTGCCCATGCCACTTGCTGAGTGAAGTGCTACAGCTTGCGACGCCTGACCAGGCACCACAATAAAGACCCTTTCTATATCTTCCTCCTCAATCTCATTCTTCCTTGACCATATTCGCCCTCTCTTCGTATCTGACCCTTCCCCTGGGCTGTATAGAGCCCTCGTCTATTTTCCTTGTGCGGGCGACTGCCCCTCCCCCTCCTTCCACCATGGCGGCTATCCTCAAACTTCAGCGCAAATATCCCCAGTTCCCTCAGAACGAAATCTTCCAGTTGCAAGATGCCTTTCGCAAACTCGATGTCGACGACAAGGGCTATCTTGACGAGGCCACCGTCATCAAGGCTACCCAGCAGTCCGAAAGACAATCCTATGATGTAGTGAGACAGGCGCTGAAAGAGGTGGACCTTGACAGCTCACGGCGGGTGGAACTGGAGGATTATGTCGACCTGATCGCAAAGGTGCGCGATTCATCTCCTGCGCAACGACGCTTGTCCGTTGGCGCTCAAAGACCTGCGGCTGGCAACGGTCTTCCTTCCTCCTCGGGGCATGCTTCAAAGCCCAGCATCGGCGGAGGCGGAAAGATTCACGTTCAAGGCTCTTCTGCCAACGTTACGCACACCATCAACGAGGAAGAGCGAACCGCTTTTACCACCCACATCAATGCTGTCCTTGCCGGCGATCCCGACATCGGCCATCTCTTGCCCTTCCCCACCGATACTTTCGAGATGTTTGACCATTGCAAGGATGGTTTGGTCCTGTCAAAACTTATCAATGACAGTGTCCCGGATACCATTGATGAACGTGTGCTGAACAAGCCCGGAAAGAAGATCAAGACTCTCAATGCATTCCACATGACGGAGAACAACAACATTGTCATCGAGTCCGCCAAAGGTATCGGCTGTTCCGTAGTCAATGTTGGTGCAGGGGACATCATCGAGGTTCGAGAGCATTTGATCTTGGGTCTCATTTGGCAGGTCATCCGACGGGGTCTTCTGGGAAAGATTGACATCAAGCTGCATCCCGAGCTGTATCGACTTTTGGAAGAAGATGAAACTCTGGACCAATTCCTTCGCCTACCGCCCGAACAGATCTTGCTTCGGTGGTTCAATTACCATCTCAAGAATGCCAACTGGCCACGAAGAGTAGCAAACTTTTCCGGCGATGTCAAGGACGGTGAGAACTACACCGTTCTGCTCAACCAGTTGAAACCAGACGTCTGCTCTCGAGCTCCCTTGCAGACGCGAGATCTCCTCCAACGCGCCGAAGAAGTCCTCCAGAATGCCGAAAGGATTGACTGCCGAAAGTTCCTGACGCCAACTGCCCTAGTCGCGGGGAATCCAAAGCTCAACCTGGCCTTCGTCGCCAACCTCTTCAACACCCACCCAGGCCTAGACCCGCTCGAGGAAGGTGAAAAGCCCGAGATTGAAGATTTTGATGCAGAGGGCGAGCGGGAAGCCCGTGTATTCACCCTCTGGCTGAACAGTCTCGACGTCCAACCACCGGTCCACTCCTTCTTTGATGATCTGCGCGATGGAACGATTCTCCTTCAGGCATACGACAAAGTCATTCCCGGCAGTGTCAACTTCCGTCATGTGAACAAGCCTCCTGCGCACGGCGGCGAAATGTCGCGGTTCAAAATGGTGGAGAATACCAACTACGCCGTTGAATTGGGCAAACAGAATCGCTTCTCTCTCGTGGGTATTCAAGGTGCAGATATCACTGATGGCCAGCGCACTTTGACTTTGGGGCTGGTCTGGCAACTTATGCGCCGAGATATCGTGTCGACCCTTTCCGGACTCGCGCAACGCATGGGCAAGCGGGACTTGAGTGATTCGGACATGATAAAATGGGCCAATGAGATGTCCCGCAAGGGTGGCAGGACCTCTTCCGTCAGGTCATTCAAGGATCCCGCGATCACGAGCGGTATCTTCCTGTTGGACGTTTTGAACGGCATGAAAGCGAACTATGTCGACTACGATCTTGTTACGCCTGGCAAGACGCCTGATGATGCCTACGCCAACGCCAAGTTGAGTATAAGCATTGCCAGAAAAATGGGTATGTGTCCTCTGTGTCCTTTGGTTGAGATTTCTAGCATGCTCCCGGTCGAAGTGTTCCAGCAAGCATTACTGACAAAAGACTGTGCAACAGGTTCTACGATTTACCTCCTCCCCGATGATATCATCCAAGGACGCGCAAGATTGGTTACCACTTTTGTCGGTGAGTTCTGCTGGCAACGCATTTTTTCCTCGCGTCTGGTATATTTAGTGTCTAACCTGGATATCAAATGTAGGTGCCCTCATGCGGACGGCTGAGAAGCTGGGCGTCTAGATCGATCAACCTCCACCTCACCTTTCTCCATGCGTAGGGCAAAGCGATGCAATTGATCCTCGAGCGATGGCGCAGCTATATCTTCCTTGCTTCTTCAATGTATTCTTCTCTTCCGCTACCTAGGCCAGGGCTAGGACTAGGACCAGAATCGAGAACACTGGATCAGGGAATCGTCACAGGGCAGGTGAACACAGCAGAGCGAGTCGTGAAACAACACCCTCAGACAGGATAAATGGACAGCCACCTGCCCCTCTATTGTAGCGTGGCTGGGGAGAGCGGGTGGCCATGGACAGAGAGAAGGGGAAGACACTCGCTTTCTCTGCTTTGCTGAATAACTCTGATGCTCTGATACCTAGGCTAGGTAGAGCAGGACCATCTCCAAAAAGAACGAAAGAAAATGTGACTGGCCTTGTTTTCCCTTTCATCCTGCAAAGTTCGAAGTTCCAGCCTTTTAACTGAACTAGTGATCGAGCCACAGTTCACAAGGGGGTCTCCGACGATGCATTCTGCAAGTACGCAAGTTACGAAGTTCACAGATCAGATTCTGGTCTTTTGGTCTTTTTGCAAGAGACGTACTAGTTTGTTGTATTTTGGTTATAGATTGATCCATGCCGTACCCTAGCCGCCGGTATACATGGTCCCGTAGGAGACTCAGACGCTTCCTTCGTCGATACATATACTTCTTGTCCATCTACCTGATCAGAGTGTGGTAAGAGACTCGTTCAAAGTCAAGTCCCACGTACGAGGTAGAAGAACGAAGAAGCTCGCCGATTCGTCTCCGTCTATGGACCAGTAGCCACGCACAACCGAAGCCGGCATCAGAGACCCGAATAGATTCACAATCGTGCCGCGTCGCTTCTTTCAATGGGAACAACAAAATAACCGTCAGCATTAGCCTCCGCGTGGATATCATCGAGAAGTTCCCCGTCATCAAGGTACGGTGCAGGTGCAAGTATACAGGCAATGTAAACTTCACACTCACCACCCACAGGTGTCTGCCTCAAATCCGTACACCGTCTATTCGCCGCACCAACTACCACCCCAGCGGCCGCAGTCCCTCTTCATGCCACGAGCGAGGTGAATGGCGACTTACTTTCCATCCTTCAAATGCTCCTCAAACCACTGGATCGCAAACACAAAAGCATTCTCCTTGGCGTAAACATCGGCTCTCTTGTTCAAGTCCCCTCTTACGGCAAAGCCATGGACCACGCCGCTGTACAGGTTGATCTGGTATGGCAGACCCGTTTCCTTGAGGATAACCTCACTCTCGTGACGTTTCTCGGTCGGAAAAATCTGATCGGTCTCCGCGGCGGCAATGGCAAGAGGACCTTTGATGTCGCGAAGCTCATCAGCTTCGACGAAGGACGGGTGGGCGGTATAGCCAACGTCGATTTTCCCAGCGTCAGGGCGGAGGTGTCGAATAACATATTTCGCACCGAAGCAATAGCCTACACCGCCAATTTTCTGCAAAGTAGGAAGGTGTCAGCACATGCTCGTGCAAATAGGGGGCTCCATTGTTTCAGGGTTATCTCCATCTATCTTCTCTTGAACGCAGAGCAGCCTTACCTTGCATCCGTACTTCGTCCTCATTTCGATAAGGCATGCGTCGATGATAGGGTCGACGTTGGGCGGCAAATGAGCAGTGTTCTTGGGGTGATATCCACCCTTCATCCATTTCATAATATCGAAATCGCCAGGACGGTTGAGGGGAATCGGATCTCCGTCGAATAGATCGGGCATCATGACGAAATAGCCATTGGCGGCCAGTTGGTCTGCGATCAATTGGGCATTATTGAAGCGGTGACCGATCACATCAGTGATGCTACAGAGAGGAGTCAGATTTTTCAGTCCTAGAGCAAAAGAAATCCAACCAGATAGCTAGCAGACAGGGCAACATACATAAGGATGCCAAGTTCGGTGCTCTTGTTCTCAGGATACTTTGTGTAGATCTCAAAATCACCTAATCGAGAGAACTCGCCGGTAGGAGTGCCTTCGTGCTTGACGCCTTTGTAGCAGCAGGCTCCGGGGGGGTTGGAAGCCATCTCGAGGTGGGACAAGCAGATGAGATTAGATGTAAGATGTTTGAGAATGGCTATGAGTATCCGGACGGAGAAGGAACCAGTGCCGTGAGAAGACTAAAAGAAGGGCGCGGCAGGGACTTTATACCAGTTGGTCAAGCCTGGGAGTTCGGAAGGAATGGTCCTGCAGATTCAAAGATGAATATGTTAATCGCCAATGCCAATGTCACCATCGTATAGAATCACCACTAGAATCAGCGGGAAATGGCAGCGGGAAAAGAGGGGCAGTCGATTCGAGGGCGGGTGCCCGATCCGGCAGCCCCAGGTGCCGAAATCGCTCTTCTTCAGGAACCGACCGTTGATAAGCGGGACATGTGGGCGGACAGTGAGCGAAGAATTAATAGAGGAAAAGCACGTCGTCACCTATACAGGGAAGGTGGCAGCTGGGTGGATATAGTAACCAGCGAGCCAGGTACAACACCAGCAAAAACGGCTTCGGAATGCCTACGGTCCTCAATCCGACGCGCCCCGCTGGAGTTAATCGGAGATAACCTCAGGGTTGATGCTCGTTGACGTCAGGCGAACCACCGTTCACGCAAGCTACAGCATTTGCGCTAGTCGGTAAACAGAGACACAGATAATTTTCGGAACGCATGTGCTCAGTAGAGGCAGTGAGACACATACGGTATATACAAGTAGATACCACTAAAGAATGTACCTGAATGTCCTGCCATAGTTCTCTTCTCCCACATTCGTACCAGCCTCGCCACTCGTCGCCCTTTGCATCTCCGAACCGTCGTGCGATCCATACTTCCTGTCCAATCTCTTGTTCTCCCACACCAAAAGTGTCCTCAGTGACAGGGCCAACAATGCATTGAAGAACATGAATCCCGCACAGATGCTCTGCCCTTTAACATATCGCGGCTCTTGGGACTTGGGGAATATCCTAGTGCCGAGAAGTGGCCCACATTGCCCAACGAGGTTGAGGAGGATTATTCCCATTCCGCGACGACTGTCGCTTCCCTGGTTATTGACAACCCACGGTAGAATGTTGGCAATGGCGGGAAACACCCCGGACGCACAGAGAAACGTTCCGAAGTACCTCGGGGCTACCGCTGTGCACGTTGCCAGGAGGATATAACCGATCCCGCCCACACAACTTAGAAAGGCAATCATGAGTCCGCGTTGTTGACTTCGGTCCGCAATCCAACATGTCGAAATCGTGACAATGGCCGAGACAAAATATGGGGGAGCCGACAGCCCTTGTGCGTTGATGGAGGAGAATCCCATCTGATTGAGGATCGTGGGCAAAAAGACCGGTAAGGACGAGTAAGAGACATTGCACGAGAAGTACATCAACTGGATTCTCCGTCAGCAAATTCCGGTCGCTCTATCGCGTTGAGTAGCACTACCGCTGTAAACCATGCTTTGGCGTCAAGCAGGGTTTGCCCGACTTCCGTGAGCCTGACACGGTGTTTGCCTGCCTCCTGGTGACCATGCTGCCTGATGACTCTCGCCTGAGCAACCTCCTTTTCTTCTGCAGTCAAGAACCGAGCAGTAGTCGGGCTATCAGGGAGGAAGAACCAGGCCAAAGGAGCAGCCAGGATGGTGGGGATGCCTTCCACAAGGAAAAGTAGCCTCCATTTGGCAATGCCTGGGTGACCACTCGTGATTCCGTACGCGAGAGCTCCAGCGAACGTATTGGCGAGAGGAGCTGCCGCGAAGAAGATCCCGCTACGAAAGCCATGCTCGTGTCTGAGGTAGAAGAAACTGAGCAGGTAAGGAATGCTAGGCCCGAAGCCTGCTTCGGCGGCGCCGAGCAGAAATCGCAAGGCCATTTCCCCGCCCCATGACTGAGTGGCGGCTTGACAGGTTGCAATGATTCCCCTTACGACATTGATTAAAAGTCCCGTAGGTGGTATCAGAGATGCTCTTACCAGGCAAGAGTGATAAAGCAAGCCCAAATATGTGGCTTTCTGGTATCTGTCGGCGAAACACGCTCTGCAGACTCCCAGCATATTCACTTACATTATCTTCCACATGAAACCCTGTAGTTGACAGTCAGCATGACGGCCAGCTCAAACCCATCCGGCCATAAGAGCGCACCTGGAATTGGAACACAATATATGAGATGTAGAATATTGTCAACAACCACTCATATCGATTGCTGGTCAGATCGAGGTCGTCCTCCATTCCAGCAAGACGCGCATTGCCGATATTGGATCGGTCAAGGAACGAAAGTAGAACTGCAAACTGTCAACCAGTGGGTTATGTCAAGGAATACAGTCACGCTTCGGAACGAGAGCTCTATCAAGAATTCATCTTGGTAGACAGAACGAAGATAGGAGCTCCCCACTCAAGGACTTGTCTTTTACATCATTCACAGCATCCTTTGACTGGAGACAGAGCGTTCAGATGGGCGACTCACATAAGAAGGTAACAAGGGGAGTGACGTGCAGGTCAATCTTGCGCACAACCCTCCTCTCCAGTACAGGGTCTATACGCACACTAGCAACGGTTGACTCTTTGGCATCTGTGGAAATATCTTTCTCGGCATCAGTCGAGCTTGGGGGATCTCTTGATACGCTTTCATGAGAGACAAGGCCCGTAGGGGCCACACGTTGGGCTCTAAATATGCCCATAACGCCGGTACAGTACTTGGTGTGGACAAAGGAAGGAAAGATGGACAGAGGAAGAACGGAAGACCAGTCGTAGCCACCGAGCGCAGGAAGTTAGCACGTCGGGGTCGCATGTTGTCGGGGACCAAGGAGATTTTGTATCAAGCAATGAACTCTAGAGGCTAGAAGAGGGGAATTTGTTGAGTTTGTGTTTCTTCCTGGAGCTAGAGCATTCATGCGAGGTACATTTGTGGAAGACGACGGGATCTGGGCTGCAAGAAGTCCGGGATGACCACTCAGATCACCCCACGGGAGTGCGAGCCGTGCCGATCATGCCCATCTCGTAGGCTTCAATAGCTTCGAGCTGTGGCGGCATCATTGAAGCGGGAAGTAAAGCCGTAGCTGATTATGGACCTGCGTGATAGCAAATGCTTGTTGGTGGTGCTAGAGAAGCTTGATGAATCGAATGATGTGAAAGATGCTTGAGGGTGATGGAGACCAGCACCGACGCAGGCTTGGCTCTTGGCATTTGCTTGCGCCAGCCTCGTCAGGCACCAAGGCTCCAAAGTAGTTAATTACAAAATAATCTGTTCATGCCTGGAAAATGGCCCCCAAATCAAGTGTCTCATCAACAGGCATACTTTCGCACTTCTCCCAATGTGTCCTGGTACTCTCTGTGCTCAGGCTCCAGTCCCCAGTCCAGCGTCCCTGAATTTACGAGTTACAAAATACACAATGCATCTGAGGCGTCCCATCAATCCGATGCATTCTCTGTGCAACACCGCAAAGGCCTGCAAGTGCAATGGCCGAAGTGGTGGTCAACGATCAAGGATTTCGTGAAATAGTTCAGGGTGAACCCTTCTGTTATGGCAATCTCGATGTGGAGAATGAAGAGGTTCGTTTTCTTGTGTTGCAGCGACAACCAATGGGTGATGAACAGGGTGGACAAGACGGTCTGGTCAGCTGTACCATGGAGACTCAATTGTTAGGTCACGCCGACCCATTCATCGCCGTCCGGAATGCTCGAGGATACCGTTTGCTGGAGGAATTGATTCTCGTCAATGGCAAATGCCTCCTCGTCTCGGTTGCGTTACACAGGTTTCTTCGATACTTCAATAGCTCTGGCGACAAACCTATGAGGCTTTGGATCCGATACATATGTGTCGACCAGCAAAATGCGGATGAGATGGCTCGCTATTGGACCCGCGAATTCCAGGATAAGATTTACGAGAAAGCGAAATTGGTGGTAGACATGCAACATTTTCTGCGAGATTTGATGGACCAAGGAGTGTTTGAAAGGGTGATTGATTCTCGATATAGAGATTGGACCAAGAAGTGGCATGATCTACCAGATCAATGGCCTTTGCCAAAGGTCTATCCCATCAAGCTTGGGAGCAGAGTCTCCAACGACCAGCCGACTCAACCCTACCAATACGTGCCACTGGATACCGTGGCTGACGAGACCCGCATAATCGTGATCGACCCGAATGAGGACAAGCAGGCGCCGTTGGTGCTCCATCTGGCGCACTGTCCGCTTGCCTCTGACGTGGTCTACCACGCTTTGTCGTACACGTGGGGGAACGTGGACGATACCGTCGAGATCACTGTGATGGGCCAATTGATGCAGATTCGACAGAACCTGGAACGTGCCCTCCGTCGGCTGCGGCCGTCCTCGTCGCCACGTGCATGCGCTGTCTGGGCAGATGCTATATGCATCAATCAATCTGACATGAGTGAAAAAAACCATCAGATCCCTCGCATCGCTGCCGTCTATGATCATGCTGCAGTTGTTGTCTGTGACGTAGGCGAAGAGGATCAGTACAGCGATATCGCCCAGGACTTTGTCAAGCACCTCCAGGAACCTATGATTCGCATGGACGAAGACTATGAGTTCATAATCGGCAAGCCAGAGCGGATCGATCCTGGCGAAATTCCTCGACTTTGCGCGGCACTGTACCTCTTCCTGACCCGGCCTTATTTTCGGAGAGCATGGGTCGTGCAAGAGGTGGCCTTGGCCTCAAACCCGGTGATTTCCTGTGGGATGCGCAGTGGCACCGAATTCGAAGCACTCGAGACGGCGGCAGCCCATCTGAGCGACATGATATCGCGGGATCCAGATCTTCCTCAGAAAATGAAAGATGCGACCCCCGACTTACGAGACGTCGACCGAGCTCAGCTGCTCTACATTCGCAAGCTCCTTTATTTTCGCCACCTCCACATTGGCAGGAACCGCGGTGGATTTATTACACACGGCATCAGAGACACAGCGCCCGGATACCTTGAATCTGCAATCCTTGCCCGAGATTTTGAAGCTGCCATCCCACACGACAAGTTGTTCGCCCTGTGGAATGTCGCGCGCGACAGGACTGGATTGGACTTCAAGGCAGATTATTCACGCGCTTACGAGGATACCTATATGGACTTTACCAAAGCATGGTGTGCACACAGTGGCAGTCTAGATATGATTGCCGCCTCCGAATTCACCAAGCCGGTCGATCAGCACGGATTCTATTCGAAGGCACCTTCGTGGTGTCCGGATTGGAGCACCTCATCGCTCTCGAGCTCTCTCGTCCGTCGTGAGAGATTCCGGCCACTTCGCATGTCCATGCAGGATGACATTGATGGCAGAGTATACTGCACCGATGGCGGTCTCTATCAAGAGCCTGGGGAAAACAAATACTTTGAGTTCGACGGCAACACGCTGCACTGCATGGGCATCATTCTGGACAAGGTAGATGGTGTTGTGGCCAGCCCGATTGATGGTGTCCCCGTGGAAGCAGCGATTCCCGGCCTGGTTGGGTTTTGCAAAGACTTCTTCGCGAAGAACAATATCACCTCCTACGACGATGTTGCGCAAGCCGCGATAGCAATGGTGCACGGCGATTGCGTTGCTTCGTGGCCAAAGACAGAAGACGGTTCCAAGATGCCTCGGGATGAAGATTTCTGGACAGCACCATATGCTTGCATACCCTTCAAGCCAAGGTTAAATCGCGACCAGGACCCAAATCGGTCTCGCCACGTCCCCTGGTGGGGAGCCAACTACTCGCGCCTAGAAGCGTGGGACGTTGTCCGCACCATCATGCGTGGGAGGAATCTGTTCATCTCCGAAAAGGGATACATGGGTCTCCTACCAGCCTATGTCGGCAAAGGCAAGGGTGAGGGTGCTTACGACGGCCACAACGGGCCGCTCCACCTGGCCATCCTGGCGACATGTTCCGTCCCGGTCTTGTTGGGCGAGCACCCGGAGATCGCAGGCGCGTACAGGCTTCTAGGAACGTGTTTTGTGCAAGGGTGGATGGAAGGGGAGGTCCTCAAGGACCAGAGGGGCTGTGACCAGCCAAGCGAGTTTTGGGACGCAATGGCCGGCGCAGAAAAACTCAGGATCGTCTAGAGAGAACTTGTGAATGTTCTGGCCGGTAGCTAGCTAGCTCTTCACGTTTTGTCATGTTGGTAGGATCGAACGTGCTGAGACAGATAAGTATTTGGTAGGTATGTGAATCATAGAGGAGGAGTTCACAGAATACACGAACGGACATACATAACGTACATATGTACATACGTAGTAGCAACCACGTTACCACGCTACTCGGCTCGCTCTAAGTACCTATTATTGAAGAATAAGTCCGCTTGCATTTCTCCCTCTCTGCCCGTCTCACTCTCTCTCCCCCTCTCTCCCTCTCGGCCTCTCTTCTTGAAGGTAATATGCCTCGCGCACCAACTACACCAAGTCCCGCTCAATCTTGACGTCGACGGGGACGCCAAAGCCATGCTCGCCGCCGACGCGGTGTTTCTTCTTGCCGACCTTCTCCAGCTCGTTGACCAGCGGGTTCAGCGCGAGGGGCACGGTCAGGGGGTCCTCACGACGGCACTGGACGCGGAGCACGACGCCCTGACTCAGGCCCTTTTTGCCCAATCCATCAGCCCAGCGCGCGGCGAGCTTCACGCGCGGCTGCTGGACGTCGATGATGTGGCCGGCCGGGTAGACGGTGCCGAGCAGGCCGGCCAGCGCGCCCAGGTAGTTCGCCCAGAAGCCCTCCTGGTGGGTGAGGATGGCGCGCAGACGAGCCTGCAAGGCCTCGTGCGGAGGCGGGAGGTCGACGTTCCACCGCGCGCAGAGCGCCAGGGCTAGGATGGCTCGGTCTGTGTGCGAGATGCCGTGCGCCGAGGTCAGCACGCCCGTGATGGGTGCGTGCAGCGCTGACAGGGCGCGCGTCTCCTTGGGGAGAGGCAGGTGTAGGTACATCATGTCCGCCACGGCGCGGATCAGGGATGGGGTGAATGACGGCGGGAGGGAGCGGTCGAGGTGGTTCTCGCCAGGTAGGCCGTCCCACAGGAGGGCTGCGAGGTCGGCGGCGGAGGAGGTGCCGTACTGTGCGGTGGCCGCGGGTAAGGGATCGAGTGCTTTGATCGGCGCCTCGAGAGTGTCGAAGAGAAACCCTTCGCGCACTCCGCCCTGGCAGAACCGCACTTGCTGGATCATGGGCAGTGCGCTGACGAGGACATTGACCAGGAACGCCACGGCTGGGACCTGCTCGGCGCGCCGCTTGGAGATCCTGAAGACGGACTCCTCGGCCGCCACGGCTGTGATTTCCCTCGTCTGTTGGAACTCGCGCTTCGAGACGCAGAATCCGTTGATGATGGGTATGGGATACGGCGACACCTTGTGCTGCGACATGAGCAGGTATCCCCAACCCCGAAAGCCGCCGCCGGAGAGATACAGCGTGAGACCGCCGTGCATGGCCTTGTGCTGTAGAGAATCAGGGATCTCCAGGTCTTGATAAGCCTGGCGGAACTGGGCTTTCATGTCCTCTTCCAGTGCTTCCAGTGGCGATTGTACCGCGGATTTGGATTTGTGGTGACCGTCGTGATCGGAAGAGGACGCGGAGAGTTCTCTCAGCCTTCTGGTCATGGCTGCAGCGCCGTAGGGGAACGAGATGCTGCCCCTGGGACTGGTCTGGACGTGGCCGTCTTTGGCGATCATCCACGTTATCTGAGTGCTTCCTCCTGGATTTGTCGGCAGTCAGTTAGTCAACCAGTCAATCAATGACATTTAAGAATCTTCCTAAGCAGAAGTGGAAAGGGGAGGGATGGGCTCTCGAAGTACCACCCAGATCCATGACCAGGCCCTCGACCGAAGCAAAGCTGCTGGCCACCCCCATGGCGCCTATCCTCCCTTCAGCCTCCTTGGGCAACATGTCGACCTCCCAGCCCGTGGCCTCCTTGATCTGCCGCCGAAAGTCGGCCGAGTTTTCCGCATTTCTCGTGGCTTCGGTGGCCAGGACTCTGATGTTGGTCCCGGGCACCCCAAAGTCGGCGCATGCTGACTTGAATTTAGTCAGTGACGAAAGGACCTCGTCGATGGTGTCTTGGGGGATAGGGCCCTTGACACCGGTCGAGTATTGGGCGTCGAATAACGAGATCCCTTCGCGATCTTGGTAGACAGTGGGAAGGGAGCGGGCGGTTGAAGGTGAGAGGTCGGTGATGGAGAAGCGGATGCCATTGCTGTCGACGCCCCCATCCCGGGCACTGTCAGTATCTGTGTAGCCGCAGGAAATGGCGTAGAATATCGGCTGGAGGATGCTATATTACCTTCCCATGTCCACCAAGCCATAGAGGCTGCTTGGCGAGGGCGTGCGTAACATTGCGGGAAGCGAAATGCTGGTTCCGGATATGGATTCCAGCGATTCGGTAAATTCGGGAGGAAAAGGCACCACACCAAAGACGCGGCAGCCAGACGACAAGCAAGTCGCCTTATCTGAATCTTAGAATGGCGGAAAAGCCCATTTGACGATGGATGGATATTCTACTAGGGCTACAGAACAACATCTTGTAACAGAAGAAAATTCAGTTGAGGCGGCGGTCGATCCTCTCGTGTATTTTTTCCATGTCACGGCGCACGTGGGACTTTCTCACAATCTGTACGGCTGCCGCAGTTGATAAACTAGATAAACCACTTTTGGTCACATCAAGGCATATTGTGTACACATATCGAAGCCATCTGTGTCGCATTGCCCCTTTCTATCAAAATGCTGGTATACATTAAAGTTTTAGTATAACAATCAAGCCCGAACCTCACCCACTCCCTCCCGGAAAAAGAGGGATATACTCATCCTACGAGATCTCTTCATCTTCCTCAGGGTGGAAAGCGTCTCCAAAGGCAGAGCCCTCCATACCATCCAAGTTTAGGTCGTCATCGTTCTCATAACTTGCAAGCGCATCCCCAGCCGTGTCCACTTCCACATTATCAAAATCCCCTCCCATTCCGAAATCAGGAGTGTTCAGTGCTCCGTCCGGAGGAGGCTCAGCCTGAATTGGCTGTGGCTGATCAGTGCTCTGGCCATTGGACTGGTCCCCAGAGGCCTCGGCTACAGCATGATTTTCGGGCTGTTGATCTTCATCTGCCATCTCGGGAATTTCCAAGTCGTTCTGACCTCCATCTTCCCCAATCATAACCCATTCGTCTCCGTCTTGGTTGACATTTTCAACTTGGTCGTCCATACCATCCATGTTCACATCTGTGACAAGATCGTCCATTCGCGGAAGTTCTTCGGCTTGCTGGTTGGCTTCTTCAGGTTGCTGTTTGACCTCCGTAGACTGTGCCGTTTGGGCTTCAGATGGTGCAGGAAGTGCTTCCGCATTCACCGGGGTTTGCTGCTCGTTGGTGACCGCAAAGGTTTGTTGCTGCTCTTGCTTTGGCTCGTCTACCATATTTGCGCTCAGCTGAGGCTGTGGCTGCGGCTGTGGCGGTTGTTGAGCGCTGGAACTTCCTGCATTGGGAAGAGTTTGGATAGTCTTCTCTGGCGAAGAAACGACCGGAGCTGGAGGCTGGGGAGGGGCTGCAGTGACTTTGTTTCGCTCCTCCAAGCCCCCTCTTGAAATCAGCGTCACGGTATTGGTCTTTGTCAGCTTCTGGCCCATATCTGACTCTACTGTTTCCATGATGTCGTCAATGGCGTCTCGCGGGACGATGTCGGCATCGCCATTGGGACCATCTTTGGAGATACTTGGTCTCCCTGCCACATCCGGCGCCGTGCGCAACTTCTTCTCGGCAGCTGTCAAGGTCGTGGAGCGTCGTAGTTTTTCCAGTCTGCGAGCGTGCCGTTTCCTCATTTCTTCTAGCTCTTCTTGCATTTTGGCTAGCTTTTCAGAAGCCCGTTTGATGAAGTCATCAGCTTGGCCAGCAGGCAATTTCCCAACTCGTGGCGGCGGCCCATTGCTGGGTTCTCTCGCCGCCGAGACAGGAGCGTCGAAGAAATCTTTGGTCAGTTCTTCCAGCTGGCCCTTACGCCCAAAACCCAAGTCGCTGGGAATGATGGAGAGGGTGGGATATGGCGACTCAATTAGCTCCTCCATCCATTCATGGTGTTGCTCATAGCGAACCCGGCTGATGTCTCTGGGAGCCATAAAATCAAGCAAGTCACCACGAGAAACGTCTTCTTCCTCCTCCACTGTCGTGTCTTGGGTGATGCTGGCACCTCTTCTATGACCAACCCCAGGAGGAATTTGTCCTTGGGCAGGTCCTCTGGGTACCCCCGGAGGCAGGTGCATCGTGGGCCAATTTGATCTATCGTGCAGCATAAAGTCCTTTCTAGGTAGTTGCCCTTGGCTCTGAATCATGCGACGCTGTTGCAGGATCGCATGAACATGAGGCAAAATGGGGATGTTGGCGGCGGGTACGTGGTCGCGCGGAGAGGCTTTGGAGTAGTGAGTCAACCACAAGCTAGGGTCAGGGTTCGGGAGACCATGAGCTGGGTTTCCAGGAAGGAGGCGATAGCGTCTTCTGCTGTGTGTGGCCATGACTTCGCCCGTGGCTCGAAAACCCGCTCTTTGCAGAAACATTTCCAGAGTCTGACAAGAAGCATAGTTAGCGCGCTGCGATGAGTTTGATATTGTTGGTTACCTACATATCCACGGACTTCGGATTTGTACACATGCTCCACGTCTGCCCAAATGAAGCCGTCACTCGCATAGTTTGTGCCCAGGTATTCGAGGGGCTGCCATTCGAGGATCAAGGTGCCATCTGGCGGAGTGTCGATGAACTGCCATTGCATAGGCTGCAGGTCGCGCACAATCTTGGGTGCCTCCAGGAGGTATGCGACAATGGTATCGACTGCAGGATTGCTCGTAATTGGGTAACGATATTTGGAGACGAGATGCAGATGTGGTAGCTGAGGTGCGGGCAAAGGTCAGTTTAGGGTTGTTGGAAAGGAATCGAGTGGAGGATTTTGCAACTCACCAGCTGTGGCGGGATGCCGGCCGCGGGGTCTTTCATCAATGGGTTCATCTTGGAACAAGTGCGCGGCTCTCAGGGCGAGATTGTCGGTATCATGGGTCTCAATGGTTGTTGGGTGGTTGTTGCAGGACAGGGCGCGCCTGTAACTGCGACGCGATTAAATCTGGGGCTCAACTTTTGGAACGAGGCTGGGGATCTTGGCAACCAGCCTTATCACGTGCATGACTCTCAGTCTTTTGTACTGTACATATCTTCTTGGTACAAATTTGTATAGGCATCGCCAGAGCCGGACATCGTCTGTCATTACTTATGGATGGGCGATTGACCCCAGTGCTGTGGAAATAACCGTGCAAAATTGCTGGTCATAACAACTCCACCTCTCCCCTTTCCACGCCTTTCTTGACGTCCTTCCACCGAACAACCCAGACCTCTCCTCTCCTCATCCTCAGCACTACACTAGCACCTTCTTGCTCGCCCTGATCCCTCGCCTCGTCGACATCCCGCTCGTTATTCCACGTCCCCTCATTTAAGCATCTGACGACCACAGCCTTGGAGCCGTCGGGCCCTTCAATCATAGGCACTACTCCGCTGGAATCATCCAGTCTCCGTAACCCCGTCGGCAGCGAGTTCAGAAAACTCGAATCATAGAGGTCGCCTAGGAGAGCTTGATGATGCCTCAGAAAAGCGACTTCCGGCGCTGACATGATGACGGACGTCTTGTTGTCAGAGTTGAGATGTTGCGAGAGGTAATAAGTGGCATGCGAGGTCATCTTGGCGAGCCGTTGCCTGAGCAAACTCCGGACCAGGAACTGCGTCCGTGATAAGTCGGTCTGTAATATCGCAAGGACTAGATTCGCATTCTGCGTGCCGCCGGCTGGTTTCCCACCCACGATCCCCTCCATAGAATTCGAGTAAGTGTCCCCTCCCATTCCGCTCGCTAGGTCTTCAATGCGTGATATTTGTGCTTGGACACGCGCCATTACACGGGCCATTAGTTCTGTGGGATAGGGAAGTAAGTCCGGTGCGCAGCGCTCCGATGTCCATGCGCGTGTGAGGAGCTGGTGGTCGATGAAAGCGTCCGTGTCACTGACCGAATATGGGTGTGTGGGTGTTGTGGAGGGTTGAGAGCGCGACACATCTGCGAGAATGTCGGAGATATCAATGTCCATTGTACTCGGTAATAGTCGGACTCGAGTAAAGATGACTCTGTGGACCACTCCGCGAAGATTGGTCTCTCTGGACCCAGTTGACGCGGGCGCGGACGGCTGTGCTTCAGGATTTGATGTACAGAACAGTAAGGGCAACAATATCTCGACTGGACCCTCGACACTTCGGTAGTCGTTCTTGGACTGGAAGGAGTAGCCTCTGCCAATTTGCTTGGTATGTTTTGACGGCGAGTCTAATTAAGTGATATACATCAATGTAGGGGAGGTCTGTAGGCAAGATAATAGCGTGTCTGACTGGTGACCTAGAAAAGGGGCACGTAGATATTGCTAATTGCCTTAGGAAGGGAGTGAAGGCTACCAAAAATATGTAATAATAATAAAGCTAGGGTCTTAGTCGGGGCCCTTGAACCCTAAAAAGGCCGAAAAGGATCCTCAAAAGCACCTAAAGATAATACTTAGACAGGAGCCAAGGCTCTATTGAGTTAGTTAGTTACTCAACACATTACGACAACTGAGAAAGAACAAATATTCTACCTCGACCATATCATACTTGTATTAATTAAGTTCTACCTTTTGCAAAGACCATGACTGATTGATTGATGATGAGACAAAGTGATACAATCCGTCTCAGTACCTCGTAACAAAAACAACCACCAGCCACAAAGAGATGCACCCAAAGCAACATATGTAGAAACAATAATAACCTGATTATTCAGGTATGGATGGCACTTTCCAAGTCCCAGTTCAATCTCAAGCGTCCACGGATAATTCTTTCTTGTTTTTGTGTCCTTTTCTCTCCCCTCAAATGTAATGAATGTGGTTATCTCCCGGGGCATCTAGGGGTCGGTAACGATCGTCACAACCGGGTTGGTCACGGCAACGTCAGTGACCGGGCCTCCTTGCAAAATATCAAAGTCGCGCTCGCGGACCCATTGGAGTCTGTTGGCATGGAGAAGTGCTTTGGCTTCATCCTCTCGGCACTCCTGCACGAGCTGCAACGCTTGTTCCGCAATCCGTAATCTCTCAGGGGGTTCTGGTGCAAACCAGAATCGTCTTTCCACCTCGTCGGTTGGTTCCACAATCTCACTGAACAATGCGGCGGCTTCGTCGGGGTTTTCATGGTGCCGGAGCACATTGGCCAGTGTCAGGCGTATCCAGAGCAGCGACCTGTTGTTATCCTCCCTACTGTCTCCGATGCTCTGGTCGATGAGGTCCCGCAGAACCATCCTTGGTCGGTTGTAATATCCACGGTCGAAATCTATCAGAGACAAGACGTACTGCCACTGACAACCGCGCTCAAAGTCGGTGGTAAATACCTCAGAAGATTTGATCGCCTCCAGGACTTGTTTGGCAAGATCCAACTTTGTATTGTCTCGATATTCCAGCGCCAGCGACAGGGCAGTGTCGACAGTCAGATTCAAATCATCGCCGAAAATTTTTCGTCTCTGCCTCCAAGCATTCAACAAGGATTCTTCCGCCGTCGAGTGCTCTTTCAATTTGCGGCAGACCATGCCGAGCGCTGTTCGTGCCATGATGGACAATGGATGAGCATCCCCCCCGATGGGAGTCCACTCGCGGAGGATGATCTCATAATTCCTACGAGCTGTGATTAGTTCCCTCTGTCTTTCCTGCACATACCCTTGATAAAGTCTTGTCACTAGACCCTTGGGCGAATTCTCACCCTCCAAGCGTTGAAAGGCCTTTTCGGTCTCTTCGAGGCTCGCCATCGCCTCCTTGAATCGAGCACAAGAAAATTGTGCATAGCCTAGCAGTTGCACAGTAACGTAAACATCCAGGCTGTCCTGATCGTAAATTTCTCTTTGTATAGCTGCAACCTTTGACAGCTCGTGCTCGGCTTCCTCGAATCGGCGTTGCCAAAAGAACTCTTGTAGCATACTCGTTTTTGTTTGGAGCGTTAGTGGATGTCGGGCACCCAGACTACTTTCAAAGCCTGCTGCCACCGCTTCCTTGTACATAAAACCTTTGTGCCAGTCTCGTTGGGATCGCCCTCCAAGGTTGAAAAATTGACCGAGTCGCATGAATGGGAGATACGGGGCCACCTTGTCTTGAGCCTTTTCCTTCAATTCTTTCTGTAGCTCTTCATGTGGCTTGACAAAATAGTCCTTGATGGGTATCTTCTCCTGCGTGTCCTTGTCCAGACTGTCATACCATGTTTTGAGCATCGTCTGTACTTCCAATTGTGGCGCAATGCCACTCTGTTGCTTCGCCTCAAACAGATTTTCTGACCAAACGACACTCTCAATCCCCTCCAAGAATTGGGAAAGAAGACCGAGAACGTCAACTGGGGGCTTCCGAAGCGCCGACACGTGCTCATGCCAGTGAAGAACTGCATACTCGTAGAGAACCGACTCTTTCAGTGGTTGACTGTCGTCACTATCCGATACCATGTGAGGTGGCAACAGATGTTTCCGTAATAGCCGTAAAGCAGTCTTCCAAGAGCGGTACCTTTCGTTGGTCAATTTCTCCAGGCATTTTCTGGCGAGAAACAGGTCAGGATCCTCCGACCTGGCGTTACTGTAAATGTACTCTCTAAGAGTGGGATGTGTGAGGTAGACGTGAGCGGCTCGAACTCGCACGAGGGGATGGCACAGAGCATCGAGATCTACGCCCAAATCCTCATCGTTACGCGATGAGCCCTTAAATTCGGCATTGCTGTCATCACCATCAACCATGAGAAACAGGGACTGCAGCGTTAGAGGGGACCGCGTTGTGGCAAGCACCCGGAGAATGCACTTCTGCCGTTCTTGATCTTGCTCTTCGAATTTGCAAGCACTCTCCCTAATGACCGCTTCATATACTCGCTGCGGTTCAGTTGGGAAGGCTTTCAGTTTCTGTGTTCGAGTCTGAAGACTGGGTCCTTGACGGACATGGTCCAGGAGCAGATGCACCCAGAGAAAGCTTCCTGCGCTGTCTCTATCGATTCGACGTAGGATTTCGTGCTGGATTGATTGCAGTCCTCGGAATCGCGAGATCTCTTGTATGGCATACCGTTCGATATCTAATTTTGTCTTGTCAGGCGTCAATTCGATCATGTGTGAGTTTGGTATAGTTGGCTCGCCCCTCGACGTCAGGACAACTGCGTGGTCGGCATTTTCAGAGATGGCCGTTAATGTTTTCATCAAAAGGTTGCGGTCGTCGGTCTCACCGCATTGGTCCACCGCATCGATGATAAGTATCACCGGGGGAAGAATTGACACGATGTCTCTCGTAGTTTGGGCCAGTTGCTGCGTACCACACTGGCTGGCATGCCCAAATGCAGTGCGAAGTCTCTTCAACTGTATCAGCCCTGGAGCAATATCATGGTACGGATCGATCAGTCCAGATGTGCAAATTCGCAGGAGCATTGAGAGAAACAATTGGCGGATCTGGTCACGGCTGCGGCGAATCTCAGTCCCAAATGAAAACAAAAGTATTGTCTGATTTTCGAGTGCGCTGGCGAGCGTGTGGACCAGGACCGTCTTCCCCGAGCCTTGAAGCAGAGTTAGCACGGTGTCAATCGGCGAGTTTACAAGGGAGACTTGAACCAGGATCCCCCTTTATCCAGAGCGGCCACCTGTCAGCCGTTGCAGTCTTCCACTTGATCCATGTTGGATCCGACAAGATCCATTCGCACGTCCCTGGCGTGGGCTCAGTGGTTGGAGGCTCGGAAACTCCTGCTGCCGTATCTAGCCATTTGACCAGGTCACGTATCATTTCGAGTACTTTAGCATCTATACAGAACGCGTTGGGTCAGTAGGCAGTCCTGTGCTAGCTCGACTACCTGTTATCATGCATTACCTCGCACCTGACGGCTGTGATACAGTTTCAGCTGATGGAGAGCTATAGAACGGTCAGCGGTACTTTTGCGAGAAGTCCAACCTGCAAGGAAGGGCGAGATTGAACGCACATTGCTGGGTTTGATAAGTTTCAGCTTTGATATTCTGCAAAATGGCGGTCTGGTGCCTAACTTCTTGAAAATACACTTGATATGCAGCTCGAAGGTCTGTAATGCAGTTGAGGTCTTAGTGAGCGTCAACATTACGCCAGCAATGGTCGCTGTACGGAGTTGCCGAATCATGAACTCTTGCCCTGCCCCAGCCACACGGCCTTCCGGCCTTCCCCCCACCAGTGAGGCTGGGACAGCTCAGAGACAAAGTTTGTATGCGTCTAGTGCTTGCTCCGAAGACTCCATCCAGGATGTATACTCACCTTCGCGGAATTTTTTCTGAGCAATGATTTCGTCGGTAACCCTAGTCTCATGTACAATGTGTCCTGTTTATAACCATCAGCAACGCAAGTCAGATATTCGAGACGGAAAATGGCTCATGGATCCTCCTTACCTTGGTGTATGGTATGTGTAATGCGCTGGTCAAGTCGAAGCTCCAGAGCCTTGAGGTCCGAGAAGCAACGATTCAGCTTCAGCGAGATACTCCCTCTGAGCACGCCAGCTATTCCTCTTCGACTGATTTGAATCTCGAGACGGACGAGATAGCCGAGAATATGGGCAAAGTATTCGGCAATTTGATCCAGGATATCCCGATTTTCCTTAAAGGTGCGTGCGACTTGTTCGTAGATACCAGTACTTCCCGCAATCACCACCAGCGCATGTCCAATGTCGTCGAGAAATTGGACGTAGGAGGCTCCCAACTGTTTTGCGCGTTAACGCAGTTCGACTTTTAGAGGACTTGTCGACCACTGAAGGATTGGAATTTCTCACCTGCAAGCAGAGGCGAATGGCTCCCCACACTAGAGCTGCCACGACCGGTTGAGTCGCTACAACGACATCACCGGCGGGTGCACAATCGTTCAATTTGCGGATGATGGTGCGCAAGGTACTTTTCCAACCCCGGTCTAAATCATTCACGGGTCGTCGGTTGGCTTCGATCGACCTTGCCAGCTGTCCAAGAGTGCAGCAGTCGAATTTCTTGCCGAGCTCCTCAACCTTGAGCTTCTTTTGTCGATCTTTAGTGAGGCGGCTGTTGAAGTGCTATATGGTCAGGGTAAGGCTGGTTAGTGAGTAACACAATGACTCCTCAATGATCATCTGCCCTTCCTCTGTCCAAGGCACCCGTCCGGTGAGGCGGATGATCCTTTCACCCCTGAGGCAGAAGCGCCAGTAATGCCTGTTGGCTGTGCCTAGTCTGGTTTTCACTTGGCCGAGGCATATACTGTATCGCAGCATAATTGTAGAGGACAGAGGAGGGGCCCGGAAGGGGGGCCTCGAATGATCCCCACCACCGGCCAGGACAGGGTGGAAGATGATGAGGGATAAGGTGATACAAGTGAAACTCACATCAACCGCTTTGAGCCAACATTCTTCGACAACATCGGCGGTGTTTGGTGGCTTTTCTGGGGCGTTGAGCATCGTCCACATATCCACAGTGAGTCTGTGATACAGTCGAAGTGTTGTAAGATCATGGACGCCATGGATTCCTGAATGGAGGCAAACTGTGCGCTTTATGCTGGTACAGTGAGGCTCTTTGCATAGCATTCAGCCCGTTCTCACTCTCGTAGGGCAGCCAGTATTGTCGTGGGTGCGCGCGAAGACGTGGGCGCGAGCGTGGGTTCGGGGCGTGGCTCAGGGCTCAGGGCGCAGGCACGAAGGCTACAACAAGCCCTCCTTTGATCTCATCCCGTATGCCCGAATGCCTCTGCAATCAAGTCAGAGGGTGTATTGATCACAAGGCAGATTGTCTCTGGAAGCTCACCTGGTTGGTTCACATCACCCTCGCTGCTGCCCGACAATGCCTACCAGGGCGAGAGCATTGCTCCAATCACCAATGCCGACCCGCCTGACCTGGGGATCGAGAGCCTCAAACTGCGCCTTCCTCTATTCGCCGCCGAGGTCTGTCGAGTACTGCTCTTTGCTACTTGTGCGCCTTTGAGTCTTGTATTTGCCTTCTCTGAAAACCCAACACGATTACTCCAATTTATATTTCCTATTGTCAATCTCATCCGACCGATCTACACAGGACATACAAACAATGGCTGAATCGCCATCGGGTGGCCGTCACCGGCGTCACTCGCACGAAGCGGGGTCTCCTGTCAACTGCCCTAGCGGGTGTGGGCTCCGACACGAGCCTGGGACGGACCTGAATCAGGCGTCTTGCGACTGCGAAGAGGGCTACTACGACAGGGAGCAGCGAGTTTTCTATACTGGCAGCGATGTTCGCGACAAAAAGTCTCCTGAAACACGTCAAGAATATCTGGAGCGCATCGAGGGAACTCATGCAGACCCCAAGAAGAACAATCAGGGCGATTACTTCCTACCAGGAGATGGAATAAGATACGAGGTTCTAAGAAGTCTGAAGGATGACATATTTGGTGAAAGAGCTCAAATATGGGAGCACGAGCTAGTGGGTACACACCGATCACTTTATGTTCCCTGTGAAGCCTGCTCATTCACCCTAGAGTGGCCAGCGAGGCTGGTTGATTCGAGCCGACAGACGAAGGAATTATAGCTGGCCGGTAAGTTGCTGAAAGCAAATGGACAGTCCTACACATGGCTTTTGCGTTTCAGACTAACATCATCACAAGACCATCATTGGGCGCCTCCAGCAGCAAAGTCAGAGTCAGGACACTCCAGATCGAGTGAGGCGACCTCCAGATCCACGGCCAGCCATCTCAGCAGCTGGTTCGTCTGGGACCAGGCCGACCTCCGGTTACACTGCCCCGCTGACGACTATAAGGTACGGAACGCCATCGTAAGTTTGCCAGCCTGCCATTCGTATATACGCACCCGTCTAACAGTGTTGAAGCTATTCGTCACAGAGCGCAACGGGGTCATCGTACGCCCAAGTTACCCAGACCTCCGACTTGTCTGGCGTCGGGTCCGGCTTTCCTGGGAGCCCTCAAGTGAACCTGTACGCTCCCAGTATTACGCCTCAATCCAGCGCTCCAAGCTCTGAGACTCGATCATATGCCATCTCCCGTCAGTCAACGGCCCAACCTGGGAAGGACGTCCATGTACCGAATTACATACCCACGAGCCGAAGGCCAAGGGAGGCCCAACCGCTGACCACAGAGGCGAGCGACGGACGTCCCGAGAGGACTAGTCAGTATAGTCAATCTTCGAACATTCGCAGTGGGGTGCCTCGGGCCATGACAGACTCAGCAGATGAATCTACCTCGCGACGCGGGGGGTCAGAGATAACGTCGACATTGCCCACACGGCAGAAAGGGACAACTGCGGATGAAAAACAGAAGAGAAAGAACCGGAAGGGATGAAGACCTTTCTTTCCCTTCTAAAATGATACCCAAAAACAAAAGCCCGCAAAAAATGGGAATGGTTGCAATGGCCACGTTAGCAGACAACATGGTGTTGGCTATCTGGATGTAATAGAAACGGACACAGAACGATTTCGTACCGCTCAGCATGTCCCCTATGTTTGTATTACTTTTTGGATCTGGTCTGGAGTTGGGTAGGGCGTCTGCCATTTGTTTGTTTTTCAGGACATGTTTCGGGTTCACTTTGGAGGACAAGCATCATCGTCTGTCTCGCTAGAGGTAGCAAGCAAGAGTTAGTTCAGATCCAGAGGAGATTTACATCTCTAATTAGTTGCATTCGATGGCGAAGACAGTGAATTCTTCCCCAGAACCTTCCCCTTTATATGTGAATCCCGTTACATCTGCGCACCTAGGTACCTTGGTACTCGATAGGTGAGACGCAGGTAGTGCCTAGGTACCCCATAATTTAAACCTCAGTCTAACCCGTGCGACCCGACCCGCCGTGCCCGCCTACTACGGACACTACAGAAGTGACAGGGAAACTAATTTCTAGGTAGCGGAGACAAGCTCGAGGCTTGATCGAATGCCTATTGCTCCCTAGCAAGCTAGGCACCACTCCAGAGTTAGTACCCCTCGTGGCCTCGCCTACGATGACGATAACGATCACCTACGCAGTACTCGGTACCTGTGACTCGGTGCTTGGGCTCGGAATTACAAGTCCTTGGATAAGCACAAGTACCTACCGAGTAACCTAGGTGCACCCGTAAGCGGAGGAGGTTAGGGAGTGCTCTGGAGGTTCAGGCACGCCCACGGTATGCTTGAAAGCTTCACGTTGGATAGGCAAACACCCCCCTGCCCCCTTGAGTTTCTTTCTAACTGAACAAAAACTGCTCAGTCTCTCCCCCTACCTCCCCCC